CTGGACCTCAACCGCAAGGATCCGATCGCAGTGTGCACCGCTGGACCTCAACCAGATAGTTTGCCAGATAAAATCCACAAACACACAACAGACACACAATCACAAACACACGACCACAAACGCGCAACCACAAACACACAACCACAAACACAATCACAAACCCACAATCACAAACACAATCACAAACACACAACTACAAACACATCTACAAAGACACAATCACACACACATAACCACAAACACAAAACCACAAACACACAACCACATCACAAACCCACAATCACAAACACAATCACAAACACACAACTACAAACACAACTACAAAGACACAATCACACACACATAATCACAACCACTACCACAAACACAACCACAAACACATCCACAAACACACAACCACAAACACAACTACAAACACACAATCACAAAGACACAACCACAACCACAACTACAAACACACAATCACAAAGACACAACCGCAACCACAACCACAACTACACAACCACAACTACAAACACATAATCACAACCACAACCACAACCACAAACACACAACCACAAACACACAACCACAAACACACAACCACAAACACAACCACAACCACAACACAGCACAGCACACAACCCGAGGACCCACAAACAACATCGAGAACTACAATACTAACGACATCTAACGACTATGGCAACATGCTCCTCACTATGGCATCAAGACAAAGGATTGAAATGTCATGGTGGGGATCACTCGAAGTAAAGTAATTTGATGCTGATCGTTTTTATTTTTGGACCCCTCACCCCCACCTTCGCCACCTTCCAGTCTTTTCTCCGAGGCTCTCTCTAGCGGAAGTGAACACAGAACGTGAGGGGGCCTGGATCCAGCGGCTGTATCGTTACCAGTGGGGGTATTTCGGCGAAGAGGTCATTACAGTATATTACAGTGACCTGACCCACTTGGGTTTGGACCCTATGTTTTGATAACACTCTTCAGTACCAAACACTTACACTTGGTGGGTACTATAGGTATCCTGCATCACCAACCACTATCTCCGACCACTATGACCACACCCCAGATGTTTCGGTGTTTCTGCACGATTGAGTCCAGTGCTGTATGCCTGGACCCGTACGTGGTGTTGACATGTTTTGAATTTTTTGACAGGAGGAAACACCACACGAAATAACAAAAGGGATGTATCACCCCCCATGTCCGTTTTACCAGAAGCATGCTCCATCCACTGTAAACCGATCTTTCAGGAAGAACCATACACGATCACCCAGGAGTTCAGTGGACAATCACCTGACCTGACTTATCACCGTTTTTTGAACATTTAACCGGGGGACGGGGAACACACGTTGGACCAGCAGTGGCAGGGGTTGGACCCCGAGGCTCACCAGTTTCGTGCCCGCATGGTTTAGAAGAACAGGCTCCTAATATAAGCACCCGGAGAGGAATTTCATGAAGCACCGCCTGTGAGCCGCGGAGCAGATGATTGATTGGACCTTTGGGTCGACTGGACAGTCCTGTCCACCAGAACACAGGCATTTGCAGCCATGATTCAGTGCTTCTGGAACCAATTCGGGATTGGAAGAGGATCAAAAACGATGTGCTCAGTGCTTCTGTGTATAACACACGGTGGGAAGCACACGATCACTACCCGACGCGGCGGATCCATGAAGAAGCTGAACTCGCATGGAGGCAGCACGGAGGCGGCGTACGCCCCACCTGGGCCGAGGTTCGGAACGAAGCTGCAGCTGAACGGCGGAAGGAAGCTGCAGCCGAGCACTGAAGCTGATCTCAAAGCTGAAAGAAAGGCTTCAGCAGGTTCAGTGTTTTTGAACGCATACGACTGGGAGCATGACGACGCACCAGAGTTGCAGAGGCTGCTGCTAGTCACTGGTGTCACAGGTGCATGAGGCAGCTGCACTCACTCTCTAAACAGGATCATTCTCACTGACCGTCAAGGACTGGGCGGAGATGCGCATCCGCATCGCAATGTCCAGGGCTTCGCTGGCCTTGCACTCAAGCGTGGACACCCACAGACAGCTTATGTAAGGAAGAGAGGGAACTTCCCAGCAGACCCGAGATTGACTATGGAAGACATCTCAGCTGTTCTCCAATGTCAATAGGTTCCAATCCGGATGGCCATCTATGGCCGCCACCTATCGGTTCTTTATCGCGTTCGCTGGAGTCCGAGCGAACAATTCCTAGTATGTCCTGGTCGATCGATTCCAGGTCAAAGACGGTTTTGGGGGGGGGTGCAACTAGACAGGATTCAACTGATTCTACTTTCATCGCACAACCCCCCAAGCTAGCGTGGCTGACCTGGCGTGCAGGTCGCGGCTACAAGAACCGTGAGGAAGCACGGGTTTGGGCCAATGAGGCCAGCGAGGAATTGGACAGATTTGTTTGAAGAAGTAGCACATTTCCTTGCGACCCACAGTCCTTGAGTCCTGTTAACTTTTCACAGGTCTTCAACATATGTACGACAGTTCTTGAAGCAAGGGTATCTGAAAAGGGACCCTTCAACTAGCTTCATCTACACAATCCGCTTTTGTTCAGAAGAACCAAAATGGCTCGTGTCCCACCCGTTTTGCGCGATCTTCCTGGCGTCCGCTAGTCACGCCAGGCATTGACGATGTTCCGAAAGGAGGGCAACAAAAAGTGAGGGCACCTGGAGGGGCCCAGGGGTCTACAGAGGGGATTCCACCGGACTCCCGTAATCCGGGACGGACGGTTTGGTGCTGTTTGTTGCTCCCGTTTTGCAACACACCTGTTGTTAGGCAACATTTGTGAGGGATTCGGAAGATGTTGGTTTTCTTGTTGGCTTTTGCTGGCACCAACTGAACAAAAGGATTTGGACCACCAGATGGGTGGGGACGGTAAAAAATACGATGGCAGTTTGGGGGACAGCCAGATCGATCCCAAGCCTTTGTATATTGATTAAATCTTGAACAGCAGTGATTCAGTTACTCCGGTCAGAAAGTTTTTGGCGCAACTCAAAAAAAACATATAGCGGGAATTAGCGGGAACAGCCGCGCCATGTAACTCCTTTTTCTCGCTATTTGGCCGTCATAGATGGCGCAACTGGTCTTTGGATTGCAGAAAATTAAAATTCTGCGGGGTGTCTGTGCGGATACTAGTTTTCCCTATTTCCCAAAAAACGTTTGGGGCCTATAGATGGCCCAGTGGCCAAGTTCTGTACATTTGGCAAAAAATGTGTGGCCCGGTACCAATATTGATTTCCTCATATTTCCTCTTGATTTCCTCTTGCCTCTTGAACTTATTCGCTTCCTTTTGATGTCCTTTTGCGTGGGGCAATAGATGGAGCGGTCCCAATCTCCACTATTTTCTGCAAAATAGCGCACAAAATCATGCAGAATCGAATTCCTGTTCTTTTAGCCACGGGGCGCATAGATGGCGCAACACACCTGAATGCCCCTGATACCGAAACCTGGCGCAATAAAAGAAGTCACCTCATCAATTTTCCCACCGGTGTACTTGAATTACAGTTGGAAAGGTTATTGCATTATATACTTTGAAGGTGCCAGCTTCTGCAAAGTGAACTCTTTGGAGTGCCATCCAGTGACCTTTTACAGGCCCGTTCGTGACCTCAAACAGGAATACTTTGGAAATGACTAGACTATGTATCTCTTGATGCTTGGCGGATGTTTCCACCATTGTCGCTGGCTGAGGACCCATTTTGGGATGTTCGTCATCCCAATCATCATCTTAGATATTGAGTACTTATGTCAATGGTTCCATAGCCAAGCAGCACGATCTAATGCCCACAACGCCCCCAACAGTTGGTCAATCTGTTGTGCAAACAGTTGGCCCAAAACAACAGGATCCTGCCCTCAGATTCTTCCCAACTCTCACCCCAAGCTTGCTTCCATTTTGCTACACTGCTACACTCCCATCCCAGAGCCTTGATCTCACATTTGGTCCCCTACCTCCCCATCGCCCACCCCAAATCTCCTGCCTCACCAACGGGCAAACGCCCATGTGTGTCGTTCTAGGTAATCGACGAACGAACGAACATAGATGAACATATGACTCCTCTGGATCGCATGACTCCTCCGTGGGTTCTCGGACAGGTCAGGATCCTGAAAAAGTCCACAGGATAAAGTTGTTGGTGTTTTTTCATGTTGTTGGACACGCTGGGACAGCCCGTTGCATCAGTGCTATTGAGCCGTTTAGATTTTTTTCTTGGATGCCTCCAGGTCCAGACATTGGGGCCATGCTTCTTGTGAATTGTGGAGGAGGTCTGACAAGAAGCAGGTGTAGTTCTCTCTACCCACCACAAGTGATTTAAGTTATGATGAATGAGTTTCCTGGAACCTACTAAAAAGCAATAGTAGTATAAAGAAGCAAAGGGCATCAGGGCGCCTGCCTTTGGAGCGGGGGCCCGGGGGTCTATTCAGGTCTACTACAGTGATCTTGATCTCTCTCCCCCCCGCCACTGGACGAGAACCGATGGCGTCGAAGAAACACGTCTTGAGGAAAATCCCTGAGCGAATCCACCAAGTGGCACCAAGTGGCCTCGATGAATCTGTCCTCCATCAGCTTGGGGATCACTCATGGCCAGACTAAGACGTACTGAGTGTTCGATATCTGGTCAACGGCCACGGCCTGTGCGAGGCTGTAGGAGCCAAAACCCCACCAAGCCCCCAAGCCCTTGCTAGTCGATCACTCCACCATACTCCACCCGCCACCCGAATGTGAAAAAACGCTAACGAATTGGGGCGGCGCTCCTAAAGGCGCTCACACCATCAGCATGTCCTTTCTACAAAGCTGTTCTGTTACTGGACCGTAACACGCCCGTCCCATGATCCTTTTGTGACATGTCTGTCTTAGGATGGAGGCCTACACTCTCATTTGCCTGCTGAACATCAACATGACACTGCCTCAGTGGTGCCGATGGCTGCGACGACTGGTGGGGAGCACCCCAGGTTCCACCTTCGCGTCCCTTTCGGAGTTTCCTGAAATAGGTTTGGGTCAATACAACAAAAACAGCAATCCCGGGTTAGAGAAAGCACGGTGAACCCCGGAAGTTGGTCCTGTCTCGCGTCGAGCATTCCACCGATTTGGATGATTTGGCCTCTGTGGAGATCGGAGATCCAGTGATGATAAGGGAGATCCAAGGGATCCAGACGACAGCTGTTCATTCGTTTCGTTGTACGTGATCGAACCAGAATTCCCGGTCCATCCAGCGCGCGCTGGTGTCCATAGTGGGGTGGCCAGTACGACATACGATAAGGGACGTCCTGATTGTTTTGTTCATAGTTCCAAAAAGGGTCACATTCTAAAATAATGATGTGATTTGTGTCAGACCAGGTCTACGTGTCAGATCAGAAACCATCGAACACGACCCTTTCATGAAGACGATATGTGGATTCAGGTCGGGCGTGTTATTCGTTCCACGCCAGACCTGGCCTTCCAAGACATATTGAACAAACGATAGTGACCTGGCTTTGCATTGTAAACTTGTTGGTAAAACAGCCCTCTTGTTCGAGAATTCGATCCCTTAGTTAGATGGTGGGTGGACCATCAAAGACGCAAGCTCCAACAGCCCTCGGTTACTCGCTAAGGAAGTGGAGGGGAGACAAGAAGATCAGCCCTCCTGTCGTGTGTTGATCCGGCCGAATCCTTCGTTGTGAATCCGGGAAACTGGGAGCAAACAGCTGGATGGTTCAGTGGATGATGCTGCAACAAACTGTTTTGGAATGGCTGGGGAAAGTCCGTTTCTTTCTTTGAAGATTCCCATGTTTGTGAGAACTGAAAGACCATGGATGTTGCATGTGCTGCTTTGATCAATGCATGGTTTGATGAAAGGACATGTGTCCAATGTGTATATTATGGGCACGTGGAAATCCTGGCAGAAATTCACTACTCTCTACTTGCTGATATTCTCGCACTGGATCAAATTTGATCGATCTCTGACGAACGCATGATGGAAGTAGATGGCCTGGTCCCGAAAGGAAGACGACTCTCCTCTACAAACAGTGGATGAACTCCAGGTGTGGCTTTGTGAAGTCTGGTCGGTCTTAGTCTTAGACTCTTAGACGTTGTTCTATATACGTATAACTTGTTTATCGCTGTAAACCCTAGGGATTCACCTCCAGACACTGTCAAAAGCCCTTTCAGGAGATATGGAGACATCATAAGGCATCTGAATTGGTCAAGGTGCTGCTGGGTGCTGCTGATCCGTTCACGGCACCTTGCTTTTCGCTGCACCGATCGCACGTGGTGATCGGCCTACCAACACGGTAGATGCCTTTGCCAGGTTGCCAAGATGGTTTCGACTGCGCGGTGAATGCCTGCAGCATCTTCAAAGCCATCGGTGATAGGAGACCAGCTCTAGGTGTTTGGTTTCTCTGGGCGACGAAGGGATTGGCCTTTGAAAACTCTTTCAAAACAGGCGTCTGGAGCCGTTTTCTCACCGCACCCTCTGCTGAAGATCCATTGGTTGGTAATAGTTTTTTTGGTTTTGTTTTTGGTTTGCAATTGTTTTAGTTTTTTAGCGGGGTTCGGAGGGGTTGGCCAAACACGGCAGAGTAAGAGCTCAGAATGCTGATGATGTGCACTAACCATTGTGAGATCTTTCCGGATGCAAGACATGTCAAGAAGTACAGGGAAGGTCAATGAATCATGTCCATGAAGGTCACAGACAATGGAGACAACGCCCCTCATCCCGGTTTATAGCTAATCTAGAAGACTACTGTTGATGCAAGAGTTCCACATGTATACTGGGTACCACCTGCACAATGAATCCTAGAGCCTAGAGCTTCCTTGTCGTTGCTCACTTTCCGATGAAACACACCAAGCACTTCCATGCAAGGTTTAGTGTCGAAGCGTTCAAAGGTCCCATGCACCAGGTCTAGTGTCGCCAGCCGGGATCCATCTCAACAGGAATCCTTCAGCCACTTCCCAATCGATCCCCGGATGGTCGGTACTATGCGGGAATCCAGCAGGCCGCTTCCTCCAGGTGTGATGAAGCAGCTTCTTAGCCCTCAGGAGGTCTCTCCATGACCACGAGAAATGAGAGATTCACCTGCTTACATTGACATTTGAAATCAACCCCAACTGGTTGGAAAGTATGGTATGTATGATATGGTGTTGTATACTATTATATGGAACCTCCAACAGGTGGTTTCCTGGTGACAACAGGTGCCCCGAAACCACCTGTTAGGGTTCTAAGACCACCTGTTGGAAGGTCCTGGTATATACATGGAGTGTTTGGGTTAGGGATCCTTAAGACGACGCAAACACCTGGTAGGAGAGGCGAAGGCCTGGCCATGCACGGTGTGGCTGTAGCACAAGTGCGCGTGCGGCAGCCTAGTGTTCCCTCTGACCCACCGGAAGTGGATGGCATAGGCTCCGGGAAGTCCATTTGGCTCTAGGAACGGGAGGTTTTGGATGAACTCGGTCGCCAGACTCGGCAGTTTTGTGGTGAGTCGAAAGCGAGTGGATATAGCACTCCTTCACAGAGCAGCTCGGCGTGACATCCGTGCATGAGAAGACGGCGATATGGCAAAGACACACTAGTTTTGAGACCTGGGGCAGAGGAACTCCTATGCTCGAGCGAAACCAGAAAGGCGCTGGTGGCTTCAGAGCCTGCTCTCGAGCAACATTGTGATTCTCGGAGGGTCAAGAAAAAAGAATGGCATGCATGTGACACCACAGAATATACATGAATTTTAATACGGTCGTTTGTGTATGTTCATGTAATTACTTCCGGATGTCCATGCTTCTTGGGTTCTTTTTGAAAGCGATGTTCTGGGGTAAAACAAAATTTTGGTGTGTAAACCCAAAAGGTTTGGTGTGTCTCATGTGTTTAAAGGTTTGGTGTGTAAACCCATGATAAACCCCTTAAACAAAAAAAAGAGTTCGCTGAGTCAGGGTGGTCCCTTGAACTCCCACCCACCTGGGCTTGCTTTTCCGCCCAGGCGGAAGTGAACGAGGTGGTGCTGCAGGGCGCAACCAGCTGGGAGGTACCGGCTGAAATGGATGGATCGGAAGTGGATGTCTTCTTTGGAATGAAGTGGATGATATGGGATGCTTCGGAGATATTCGGAGGTATTCCATGGGGAAGTGGAGGTACCAAAATGACATGACTGAGGATTCTAGATGATTGTGAGGTTCATGATCGGGATCCGTTTTTTCCGGCTTTCCGGATGTGAAACATTAAGACATATTAAGACCTGTCCACACCGCTGGGTGTTTCTTGCCGGGGTGTTTTCTTGTATGTTTTTTCTGTTATCTTCCAGTAGGTAAAACCCAGTTATATACTCTGAAACCAGGACTCAGGACTGTTGTCCACGTCGTCCACGTCGTCTTTGTTCTGATCCTTTGCTCGTTCTTGCCTTGTGAAGGCAACCCACAGGACTTCGTGGGGTGAGGGAGACTGACTGGGCGACGAGTCGGGCCATTGACGACATGCCCCTGGTAAAGCCCAGAACTTCACACCTGAAAACCTGGCTAAGCGTGCAAACACCGTTTTCCACCTGGACCAGGGGGGAAGCTGGAAGGAAAAGGCTAGAATGAAGAGCTCTCATTCATTCAGAGTTCGGGTGATTTAGGGGCTGTGAAGACTGTGAAGGCACCGAAACTGGTGGAACATCATCCCATATCATCCCCAAAAGCATATCACCTCACCACGGTTGGCTCTTTGGGGTGTTTGGAGACCCACAGACACAAGTGCGATCGACACAAGGCTAGAGACGGATGCACATCCGGCGCCGACGAATGGACAGCACTCCGGGAGAACCTTATGAACATCTGAGAGTCTTAATTTAAGCTCTTGCATCAAATGCTTGCTTGGTGGGACTGAAATGCTTGGTGAGACTGGGACCCAGGCTGCTGCAGATGAGGCTGCCCGGTCCCTCAGAGAGGAGGTCGATGTGCCAGTCGCGGTCCTGCACACGGTGGACAGTGTATCAATGAACCCATCAGGAACCCATCATCCAACATCTAATTTTGCCCGGAGAAGGCACGACATGTCCTTCATTTCAGTGTTATATGATATATTGGTTGTCATGCATTAACTAGCACCTGATGTCACAGCGGTTTAAGTTGTTTAAAATAAGCTTAAACATGTTTAGAAAAGTTGTTTGAAATAAAGTCCAAGGGGTGTCCAACGGACTACCCCACACTACCTATAGGCTTCCATTGGGCACCCCTTGGAGGGTCCTTTTAGTTGTCATGTCATCCATCATGTCGAGTTATTTGGTTTGGACGTGGTTTTGCCGACCTCCGGTGCAACGGAAGATGTCCCAGCGATGCGCGATGCCGCTCTTGGAGGCGACAGGAAGTTAACTTGATATTCACCTACCATGGATTTATATGGAATTCCATATCAATTCTCATAGATTCATGTGGATGATTGTGGATCCTGGATATGATTTTTTTTTTCATGATTGTGGATCCTGGATTCATATCGGATTCCCATGAATTCATGATTCATCTGCTTTTCCCAGTGGTGCAGCATGCATCAGGTTTCCACTCCGGTCTCCGGTCTCCGTCAGAAGTGGTCGGTCATTGTTTGGACCATTGAGCCCCTGGAGAAACCGGAGGACCATTTTCATTCAAGAAGACTCCCCCCAAAACTGCTGGTGTGGTGCCATCCACTTCTGAGTTATCCATATGAAGTGGTACATCCCTCATTTGGATCCACATGGCCGAACCTGAGAGAACGTGATGGGAGACGCTGAACATGCAGGTTTGGGAGGGTCCAGTCGTACCGAACCTGAGAAGATTATGTGGATCCCTTCACTCAGGCCTGGGACGCTTCTCATTCACTCACTTCACGCCTTCGTATCCTCCGGTTCTTTGCACCCGAAACCACGGGAAAATGAGGTAAACTTGCCTGTGGCATGTTTCCTTTTAAAGATAAGATATGATAAAATACTTGTACCTGGAGGCTCCAACTGTGCAGTAATTTTGGCATATTTTTGCATGTTCATCTATACCAGCCAGCTTAAGGCAGACCTTTTGTCGGAAGATCGTATGGTATTCTTTGGGAATACCCCAAGTATAGACACAAGGGTAAAGATCCTATCGGACCCAAACCTTCCTTTGGCTAGACGAAAATCGTTGGTGTTGGAAGCTCGGGCGGCGAAACCGGCGTCAGGTCCGGCTTTTCCGCGAGAGTGGCCAAAAGAGAATGGAAGCCTTTGAACGGGTTCCTTGGCACAAACTGCTGAAGATCCTGATGAGAAGCTGCTGAAGATGTTCAATGTGTTGCGGTTTTGAGTAATATATTTGAGTTTATGCACACGCGAAGACCACCCGCACGGAAAGCACTTGGTGCTCCCCGAGTTGGGTCCCTGAACGATGTAGGGCTCAAAGGGTCAGAAGAAGTGAACCGTGAGGAAGAGAAGGTTATGGAAACACAGAGGTGCACCGAGTGGAACGCAGGTGCAGTTTTGCACGTAACATTGCAATGTTTCACATGTCGCCCGAACAAATGTCTCACATGCTGCATGTTTGTTTAAAACATCTACAAATAGTTTCATGTATACAACAATGAAGCATATGTGCATGCAGTAAAAATCCTGTAACAACTTGTCGCAAGTCTTTTGATTTATGGTGGGATATACTGGATCAAATTTGCAAAATTTGTGTATCCCCCCCGTGGTGTTTGGAAGAAGTTCAAGCAGAGGGGAGCTCCTCCCAACGATTCCCAGTTCACCCACCTTTACAGTTTCAATTGTGTATAGGAGTCATTGGTCAAGACTGCAGTTTGCAGGGGTTGACTGCTGGGGTTGACTGCTATCTCGAGCATGATGTTCCAACATTGTTCCAACCAAGGACAGCAGCCGGTGCACAGCGATTTTTCACCTGTTCCCTCAGCTGAGGTCTGTGTGGCCCAATGGTACATGGGCATCAACCCTCGGAAGGCAGCGAAGCGTGGAATGTGGACGACTAGTGAATAAGACTCAGACCCTAGTTCCTAGTAACTTCTTGTGACTATAGTAGTAATACCCTTAAGTTACTACTAGTAGCGATGCACTTGTTCCTAGTAGCGATGCTCTGGGGCATTCCCATATGAAGATGGGATGTGTTTTAAAGTGGGGAGACTTCCCGGTTCGACCCAGTCTACCCATTGGGCCAGTGTTTCTCCCCTAAAAAACAGTGGGTTCAGAGGGCGCCCAAGTTCGGTGGTTCTACGACCTGCATCTGTCTGAGACATGCACGCCATCGAGACTCTGAACACCACATGTTTAGAATTACAATACACACCCATGCAATATCATTCTGCAAGATAAATCCCCTTTCCAAGATCTACCCTTCGAACGTATAGACCATCCATCATGGTTTACCGGTCCACACATCATCCTCCGAACCCCCGCCCCGAACGGCGGTGGTCGGAGACCCCGTGGTCGGGTTTCTTGTTCCTGAAATGGAAAAGCCGCAGCCCTGGTCGCAGAGATGGACCACCGGTATATGTCGGATTGCACCCTCTCTTTTGTCTGACGTCTCGGAGCTCTCGTCTTCCCTCGTGACTTCCGTCACACCTTGTTTTGGGTGTGGCACCAGGGGTGTTTCTCAGAGTCCGTGTTTGTTCATCTTCGGGGAAACAATGACAAGATCCTGAGCTTTTAAATATCATTGAGGGATCCGCACATCTATAATCTCTATATATATATATAATCCAACTGATGTCACCGATCTCCCAGTTCCTGTCGTACAACCAGGTCAATCGAAGTCTACGGCGTCTACGGAATTTCCTGCGCTTGATGGGAGTCCATCATGTAGCGTCGACGGTCCACCAGGTAGATGGTGCCCAAGGTCTACCCGGTATCAATTGATGGTGTTTCCATGCGTTTCCTCTCCCTAAACATTCCACTGGCACTCGGACACTGGACACTCGGACACTCGACCTGACCCAGGCGCTATATATAGTCAGTCACCCACTCACCGCTACCTCTCAGGTTCGGTCTGTGGATCCATCTGCTCCCGCCATGCACCGGTGAACTCGTTGGTCACACACGACGCGGGAGATCGCACGACCACGGCCGATTCTGCCAGGCCATGAAGTTGGCTGAGGATGTCATGAAGTACGGCCTCCAAGTCGAAGTAAATCTGCCTTGTTGAGACACCCAACTTTTACACCCTATATATATTAGTCAACCCTTGAAAGTACCGTTGAAAGACCATGTTAAAAAGATCTGGATTATGTCGCTGTGAAATCACGGTAGAACCATATGACCATATAACGCAATATATGACAATACCCTCCTGTCGGGGTGTCCTGGCTGGACTACCCCACACTACCTATAAGCCTCGATGGCCTGAACTGGCTCCATAGGGCTAACGTACGTTGCTGCGAGCCCCGCGAGACCGGAGCCCCGCGAGACCGACAGCGAAACGGCGGAGGTTGTGCCAAGAGCTGCGGTGCCGTCAGGAATCGGCGGCTCTGAGCGCTGGGGAGCCGAGAAAGGCGCCGCTGGCGCCAAAAGCCAAAACGAGCCGCGAGGGAGGACGTGAGCCGCGAGGTCGGTGTGTTTTTTTTTTTCGGTTTGGGACGTTCTTTTTGGTTGCGCAGCTTCTTTCGGTGTGGGAGGTGGAGTTGGAGAACGAGGGGGGGAGAAAGGAATGGGACCTTTTTTGTTGCACAAGAAGGTTTGAGGACAGTTGAGTTGGTTGATGGAAGCAAAGTACCTCTCCAATAAAATTGTCTACCAGATGGATCCATAATTGTGCGACCATCACTTTGTCCAATGGTTTATTGCCTTTATAATATATGAAGCATGCAGCGTCATGTCTTTGGTAAGTCTTCAATTCTGTTTGCTTTGGGAGCATCAAGGTCGGTCTTGGTTTTAAGATGTTGTTTTTCCCGTTGCGCAACGTATACGAAGGGTTGGTCAGAATGATCTGGCCGGCCCTTCCCTTGAAATCTCTCTTCATCCGAATCTTTCAGAATTGTGTTCTTTGCGATGTTAATTGTGTTTCAGAGGTCAATGTAGGTAAATATACCATACATGGAGTGCCTGGGAGTGTTTCATCGTCTTTTCCAATGTTTTCGTTTTTGTTCTATATTCTTTTTTGAGATTTTGTTACTTTGATGACACAACCCTATCCTTTCAGTGGAGAACCAACAAGTGGAAAAGGCTCAAGCGGAAACAGCTCGAGGGTCCGGATGGGCCCTCCGACCCATGTCTTTCGCTGCCAACATCAAATGCTTGGCAGTCTGGTCCAATGGCCTCGCAGGAAAGCATCATTTTGGATGCTCCACATACTCCAGGACACTTGGTTTTAGTCTACTTCAGAGGCCACCCCGGAGTTCTCCAGCTTGACCAACCTACCTGGGTGTGTTATTTCCATAGGGGGTCCTTTCAGGCATTGCGACCCCGTCAAAGAAGGAAAATCGACCAGTCTACCATGGGTTGGGTGCCTCCCTATTCAATACACACATCCAAGAATCTAATATCGTAGATCGATGTGTTATTGTGGACCAAGGTCTTAGTCCAAGCCCATCTTCAGCTGAAGGAGGGCCTGAGCATGTTTGAGCGTGGAGTTGAACAGGTCAGGAAGTCTTGGTGAAAAAACAATCATGTTTGTGAATTTGGTGTTTTTTGTTCACGCAGACAACCCATGTAATCAACATGTGCACATGGGGGTTAACATGTTTGTGTTGGGCGACTGTAGACTAACATGTTCATGTTCAAAACTACCAGAGTGAGGATTGGCTCACTCTGTGACTTAGGGATGAACATAGAGATGAGCTGGTGGATGGTGCTTCCGCCTCAAATCCTCAATCCATCGTTTGAAGCGACCTGAAGTTTCAATCATGATTTTACTTCTAGTGATCCCCACCCTGAAAAGCGATTTGTGCAGATTGACATGATGTTCTGACGCTCGTTCTGGCATGAAATCTGATTTGCGCTCTGACACATCATCTATCATAAAGCCTGGGAAACGTTCTGGACTCTGTTCTCACATCTTTGTTGGCGTGTGTTCTGGCATTTTTCCTGTCTGACATGTGCTGTGACTTATGGACCAACTTCAGTCCTGGTATGTGTTCTGACATGTATTCCGACATTTGTTCAGGCATCAAAGATGTCCTGACACTCTATCTGGCATAAAATCAAACGTTCTATCTGGCAAACACTCTGAGTTCTATCTGGCAAAAATGCTGGCATTCTATCTACCACAACTGCTTGCATTTGATCTGGCTTCATTGCTGGCTATTTGGCATCTACTTGGCAAATACTTTGGCTTTCTATTTGGCATGCATCCTGGCATACAATCTGACATTATATCTGAGCGGTGCCCGATCGGGAGCTGGCGACTGAGGTCCGCCACTGTTCATTGTGATCTGGAGCTGGCGATTGAGGTCCGGCAGTGCCCACTGCGATCTGGCGCTTGCTGTTGAGGTCTGGTGGTGCCCACTGCCCACTGTGATCTGGCGCTTGCTGTTGAGGTCCGGCAGCATGGTGCTTTTGTGTTTGGTTTGGAGTTTGATGCAGTTTGATGCTATTTCACTTAAACCAAGGCTTAACATTGACGTCAAGTGGCTACCCACATGGAAGAAAGACATGCAGATAAAGGCTTTGAACATCGTGTGTCGTGCATCAGGGTTGCAACAAGTCTATCCATTCAAGGAGACAGAGACATCCGAGGTGTTGGTGCGTCTCTATAGGACATGGGCGCGAGCCTTCGGCAGACCCAAGTACGTGAAATTTGATGCCAGCCGATGCAATCTAGGTCAACCCTTTTTGGATGCTCTGGAAAGAGATGGGACCACACCATTAGATGTTCCTGGGGAGGCCCATGAGCAAATGGGAGATGTTGAGGTTCAAGGCAGGCACTTCTCTCAGATGTTGGTGAAGGTCATGGACCAGATGCAACCGGAAGATTATCCCCAATGTTTGGAGTGCATGGATTGTACCATTGAAGCCCAACTTATGAGGAGAGGAGGCTATAGCCCCAATCAACTCGTGTTTGGAAGGGACCCTGAATTTCCAGGAGATGATCTGTTGGATGATTTCAAATGGAGCCATTGTAGAGGATGCGATTGCCAATTTTTCCTTTAGGGCAAGACAGAAGGCTCGTGAATCAGTGTTGCAATCGTTGGATCATCGGGCTGCTCGCATCGCTCTCAATACAAGACCCAGACCAAAGAGGGAGTTTAGACCAGGGGATGAAGTCGCTGTTTGGAGACGGGGACGTGGCATCAAGAAGAGCATGGCTAGGTGGCGAGGCCCAGGCATTGTAGCAGGTGAGGCTGGAGGCAATTACTGGGTATCTATGCCAGGGTCATTTGTCAAATGCTCACCAAAACAATTGAGACTTCGAACGACTTCAGAGCGCGAGGCAGACCGATTTTTGGTCCGTGATATTAGGGCAGCAGCGGCACAGTTGTTTCCGGAAGTGGGTCACACAAAGGCCACTCAGAAGAACTTCATTGACATCACGAAAGATGATTTTCCTCCAGGTGACCTATTTCCAGATTCCGGAATGCAGAATGCCGCAGGCGAAGGGACTGAGAGACCAGAAGTCCCAGAACCGCCTGAAGTGCCAAATCCTCCACCGTCGCAAAAGAGCAGTGAACCCATGACTATTTCATCATCGCTGACTGGTCAGCTGAATCAGATGTCGGAGGAGGAATTGACAGCCTGGAGAGAGTCAGCCGACCGAGCTGACCGGCTGGATGGTCATCGCCGGCCCGGCGGACCTGGGAGAAGCTCAGCTGTGTGGAATCATGGGGGTACACGTCGATAGTGTTCTTTTGGGAGGAAACGGGGACCCTTTTGAGAAGTCAGTCGTTCAGCTCAAGACCAAGTTTCCATTCCGCAAGTGGATGAAGAACAGTGGTACATTTTGTGGATCTCAGCTCAATCAAGATCTTGAAACATTTGCAATACGGGTAAGTCAGGCAGAGTTTGCCGAGAGCATGACAAGACCCAAGCTGCGAGTCAAGGAGCCACCACATTTGACGGTCACTCCAGACGAAGCTTCATCGCTAAAATCAGTGCTGGGTGCTGGATTGTGGCTGGCAAAGGAGACTCGACCAGATCTCTCTGTGCAGGTGAGCAACAGTTGTTACCTGCACCTTTGTTGGGGGGAAGCACGAACCGTGGCCAACATCACTAGGAGAGCCAAGCAACACAAGGATCTTTGTTGGAACATTCTACCGATTCCTTTAAAATAGATCAAATTGTGTTTACATACAGATGCAGCATTTGCAAATGCGAAGAGACAAGGAACACAGGCAGGATACATTGTTGGAGTGACAACGGAGGAGTTGAAAGCCGGGACGCCGGCGCCATGGAGTCCAGCAGTGTGGAAGTCGTATCGTTTGAAGAGGGTAGTCGGCTCAACTTTTGCTGGGGAAGCTCAGGCTCTAGCAGATGGATTAGGTCATACTGAGTGGCTGGCATGTCATTTGGCTGAACTCAAATCCCCTACGTTTAGTTTGGGCAGTCGACAAGACCATTTCAAAGAGTTCGGGATACAGGCCATCACTGGTTGCAAGAGCGTATACGACCATCTTCAAACCTACGCGTCACCAGGTAGCATCACAGACAAACGAGTAGCCATTGATTTGGTCATAGTGAAGGAATCCCTGAAACGGTTGTGGGGATCAATCAGGTGGGCACCCACCTGGTTACAATTAGCGGACGCCTTGACCAAAGAGAATGCAGACGCTATGGACATCCTCAGGGGGGGCAATGAAATCGAACATATATCACTTGAACAATGAAAGTGTGATGTTGCAGAGTGCAGCGGAACAGCGGGCTCTTCGAGCACGCAAGAAGAAGACCCCGGAGGATTTTGGCTCAGAGGTGTGGTGGGTTCGAGACTTCAAGATCGTGAAGAAGATGGTGAAGATCTCAGCCAAGGGGCTCACCGAAGAAGTTCGGGCCTTGTTCGAGCTGATGGTGTCCAGGTTTACCAAGACCAGCGAGGAGTTCTTGGCACACATTTCACAGAGTCGGTCCATGTGTAAAGCAAAGCTGCCACTTCACATGGTGAATTCCAAGGAGTTCCGTGGAGAAACAGGTCTGGCAACATTCACCTATACCAAAACGACCCAGATGATTGCCGTGCAGGCCGGCGCAGCTCACTTGGACATGATCGAGGACACTATGAGCGATGTCATGGAGAAGTACGGGGCCACGCTGAAGGCCAATGAGATTCTCCCAATGCGAGAAGGCACGGGAGAATGGTCTGAAGCATTTCGAACGGTCGTACATGAGGGGCCTCACTCGCAGTTCATGGAGAAGGACGAGAGTGAAAAGAAAACGACAGGAGCGCCTTCGTTGGATGCCACTCAGGCTCTGACACCCCAAGATCCTCAGTTCGTTGCAGCCATTGCAGAGATGTGCCATGAAGGAAGCAGAAAGCTGCATGACTACCCAGCCTGGAAACAAAGATTCCTGCAGACGATGTGCCGGGACTTTGGGGCTGATCCCCAATTCGTCATGGATCTGAGCGGATTAGCAGGGCAATTTAGTATGGCAACTGACGATGAAGGCTGGTCGGTTCCGTCGGCTCCAGCGAATGGTGGAGAACCCATAGCAAAACCGAAGCCGTTGATGCGGAAGTATGGATATCCTAGATCTCCTTAGATTTCCGTGTGTGAGCGCTTAACCCAATAAAGATTTTGGATCAGTGTGAATTTCACTGGTGTTGGGGTTGAGCATGTGTTACCGTTGCTGTAGAGGCTGAGGTAGCATGACAGGAGGACTGGACGTTCTCGAGGGACATCGACCGCAATCCGAGCCATAGCAAAAGAGGCTTATAGCTAGCTGCAGGGGCGGCTACATCAGGGAGTTTGTGAAAGGGAACCAGGCCCTTACAGTCCGCAAGTTCGAGACCAAAGTACTGATTCTTTTGGAGGCGTCTAGATTTACAGTTCATAAGCCTGTTGGGTGCTTGAATAAGCAATGTTTTTCAGGCCACTAGAGGGTGCTGTTTTTTTCATGTGCCCATGTGAGCCATTCACAAAACATGGAGATCCAGGGAGACGGCTGAAATAGATGAAATAGTGCATGTTGGTCACCCTGCACCTCCAGAGTCCAGAGTTTCCCTTCCTTTGTAATCAAGGTTTTGTACGTCAGGAGCACTGGTTTTAGGGGCGTTTTTGGGGGTTGCCTTCTTTGATGCGACAGCAGGACAAGTCGAAGACGTGGATGGATCAGGAATCTGCTCGAGCTGTGCAACTGGCCAAGAATGGTCCGGGTGCTCAAACCTGCATGGTCCTGCTTTCACTAAGCTTGGCCATTGAGATCATTTGAGATCCATAGATCCTGGATGAACGTGGATGAACCATTAATTAGTTACTGTTCTATTTCTCCTGATTGAAAAAAACATGCGACTGCTTAATGACTTAGAGGTTCACCAACTGTTTGTCGCATCATCTACTGAACACGTATTTTCGCAGTGAATGCCAAATATGGACTCACTTCCGGGGTTGCTGAGGAAGCTTGTTGGGAACCTTGAATCGCGTGAGGCACATTTGCAGATTGATCACTGCAGTTCGCAATCCCAACGCTCTGGGCTGGGCTCGTGGGGGATTTTACGAACGTGCCAGCTCCTGCCAAGAGAAATCGGCGGCCACGAGGCACATTCGGAAAGGCTCTTGATGCGACTATATTTCTGGTTTCCATGTCCTTTCGTGGGAATGACCCGCCCTTGCAGTCCCTTCCATCCTGTTCCTGTTGTTTCTGGAAGGAGTCCACACAAACAAATACTTTGCAACGCAAATTCTGTGGGTCGTTTCAGGTCGTATCCATTTCCGATGTTTGTCAGAACTGAAGACTCAAATGCAAAACAAAACATCCAAGCAAGTTGTGTATGAGGTGTCACCACGATGTTACCACAACTACGAGACATCATGACCCGCAATTAAACATATGATTTACACGGATGATCCCCTGTGGCCTTCTACAAACCCTTCTACAAACCGTCTCAGACGTGATGCCCTTCCCTGAACACTCCATGGGATTGGGATATATGCATACATTGCCCAATTGACCCTCTATTCAACCACCCTCAATTGTAGGCAATATATGGCTGGTCCCATTTGGATTGTTTGGATATGTTTGGGTGAATCTCAAACTTCTCACTTGCAACCCTCTAGCACCCCACCAGTGGTTCGGGGTGGAGGGCCATCAAATCGGTGTGGTATGTTATGGTGTTATGGTGACCGATCCTTTGCATTTGCTTCTAGGCTTCGACCGCTTCCGAGATCTGGGCGATCGCCAGGGGCAGGCACAGAGCGCATCCGCGAGCGCCGCGGTCGCGGAAGAAGAGTCGACACGCCACTGGAAGAGTGGAAGATTTGATAGCATGGATGTGAGCTGATGCAACACGCTGCAAGTGTTGCACTCGGATTTTGGGGCCCGTTACACTCCCACAATGCCATCCTTCACTCTCTCACTCTCTCTTTCTCAGACTGTTTGCCCGCTTCCATCTCATCGATCAACTCTTCCCAGCTCAATCAACTTCAGCTTGGAGCTCAGGAGATCCTGATGACCATGGCCGCATGGCCAAACCCCTGGAAGCCGGACCGAAGCCACCGGGGACCGCCGCCACTCAGGTGGTGGATGTCTTGAAGCGAAATGGACCCTGAACCGAACCGCATTTTGAACCTTGTTTGTTTGTTTGAACCATGCGTGCTGTACCCTGGCCCCGTGCTGCAATGAACCTTGTGTAAACAGTTCCTTCGGGCCGGTAGTCACCGGTAGTCCTTCAAAAAACGCCACCTGCTATGCCCACAGTTGTATCCACCTGCTATCCGAAGCGCTTCGAAGCATGAGCGCTTCGACTTGCTCCCCCTCATCAGCGCATCCACCCCTTGTGGGCCGTGGCCCTTCGATGACTTTGGCGGTTGTTCTTCAGCTGAATGCGGCAACTGAGAATCCGTCAGCAACCAACACCAACCAGTTGGGGCACTGGGTCTTTACCAAACTCGATGCCAGTGCAATGCACATGTGGAATGCAAGGTGAGAGTGGTAGAGGAGATTACACCACGACCAACAAACCTATTTTTGACCACTCCACCCGACTGGAACCACTCCACTGCACAAGACGCACACACACACGTTTAGCTGGGCTGGAGAGCTTTCTGTGAAAAACCCGAAGCTCGGAGCCAGTCGAGCTCCGAACTCGATCTAAGGAATACCGCAAACAATAGCAAACAGCGAGATCTTGATTTGTATCAGTCACTCCTTCAGAGGCTACTGGGCCATGCCTAGATTGAAAGGTGATGACTTTTTGTTGTATGCTTTTGAAAGTCCAGCGCAACCTTTCAATGACACCCAGTTGCAGGTTGGGTAAGTCTTCATGGGGCAATGATCCATTCAGCGACCCAATCTGACCTTTCAAGTGATCTCGGCTGGTTTTGAAGCATGTCTAGTAACCCAGAAAGCTAAATTCAGGTAATTTTTTCAGTATGTTCATGATCTGATCTGGAATATGGTCATCGTTATTGTCATCATTGTAACATATGATTGCCTTTCAGGTCCCAAGGAAGACCAAGCTAGTCAATTCCTCCAACATTCTTTGAAAACACCAAAAATGCCAAGAGGGTCAAAACATGTGCCAAGAGGGCTTTTCGACTCCAAAGAACTGTCTGACACCTTCGTTTCGGGGACGAAGCGACGAAGCAGTGCTTCAAGACGTCTTCCGTCCAAATGGCGCGGGGAAGGAGCGACGGAGCCGTTCTCAAAGAGCGGAGGAGAGAGTCTGGCAGTGGATCCTCTGGTGGTTTCCCATAGTGGTTTCGCCAAATCCGACAGGTTGGGAAAAAGACTGACTGAGGAGCTTTACTTTTGGAAGACTGAGGGAGTCGGAACAACTTGGTAGACTGAGGGAGTCAGCTTTGTTTGAAGACTCTCTCTCGCTGGCACAGGCCACTGCGCTGCATGCGCTGGTCTTGGCTCACCAAGCACGGGTCTGGCCAGCAAGTCGTTTGAACCGGGCGGAAGGGTCGGCTCTTCGGTTGGGAGTTCTTTTGGGTGCTGGCTCTTTGGTTTGAATGCTGGTTTACAGGGCATGCTGGAGAGGTGCGTCGGCGTTGGCTTGTTCATGCCGCCAGGGCGAGAAGGCCCAAGCTTTGCAGACAGCTGAAGAGGCCGCCGATATCTACAAGGCGAGATGGTGGACTGAATGATTGGGACGGGGTTCCTTCTAGAAACCAATTGGGACAGGGGCTGTCAGGGCTTAGAGATCCTGGCTTGGACTCACCGTCATGTCCAAGCTGGACTTTGGGGAGGAAACGATCTGGACATCAATTCAGCCCGGAAGCAAGAACCCAAAGAATCTCAGGCGAAGCCAGCAGATCAGTAGGGTGAAATGTAGGGTGAATGTTGCCCACCCAGCAGGGTAACCAGAAGCTTTACTCATTTCAGGGTGTGTTCTTTGAGACCCATATACACAGACACAGAATATGATAGCTGTCTAGAGTCTAGCTATGGAGCAAACTCTGATCCGATTTTCGGGTGGCGGCCACCTTTCTTTAAACGGACCTGGAACCCATTTGACCGTTGTCTTGATAGGAAAAGGACCAGGTGAAATATGGAGGTTCTGGATGGTTCTGGTAGGTTACTTTCCTCTACAGACAGGTTGTTTTCCACTTCAAGATTAGTGAGTCCGAGTGTAGCTCTGCTCCTGTCTTGTTATTTTTTAATATTGTCTATACTTTTGGGGCTGGCTTCCCAGCGACGATCGTTTTTAGGGGGACCCTAGATTAAGGGGACACAAATAGATCTTCCAATCAGGGAAGTTGCTGGGTGCTTCGTTTGTCTCGCGCAATGACCGTGTTCTGGAGAACTTGTCTCGATTGATTCCCGAACTTGACCCCTGTTTTGGAGCCTTTCCACTTCGTCCCAATGTTGATGTGTTACTCTCAGAGTGCATTTCATGAAGTGGAACCAGGGCTTTTCACACCACAAAACAACCAAAACGACCGTCTGTTTGGGAACCAACCACGGACGTCACGCAGCGTTTCGCAGCAGCAAGCTTTCGCGGCGCGCAAACGCAGGAGATCGGTGAGAAGGTGCGGCGGTGGTGCGAGCGGGTGGAAGGGAGAGGAGGTGACCAGGCAACTGATGATGGAAGTGACGTCTACGCCGTACATACGCAGGATGGAAGAACATCGGGGTAGTTGGAATGAAGTGAAGCTGGTGACCTTGTGGAAGGTGCCGGACCCGGTAGTTATGGAGGGACTATGAGGGACTCGTGCCTGTGAAGCAGGTGTTCTAACCAAGTGCAACTCGAATCATCAGACCAACAGGTCTAAACAAGAACCCAAGATGTTTGAAAAGACCTTCTGGAAGGTGCTGGTCGAATCATCCGAAGCTTGCTTGGAGAGAAGTAAGTCTCAGGTGCATGGTTTCATGTTTCAGATATGTTGATGTTCGACCTTTACTTGGGCTGATTGAAGCCACTGACATCGTTTGGATTCGTGGCTTCCTTTCTCACCGCACTCAGGACCGAGGTTTCGGGAGTCAGGTGGGGTCAATCGCTTCTGGGCTCCGTCTCAGTGGTCGCACACCACCCCTCCTCCTCGCCATCTCAGGAGCCGAATCGAGGGAAGGACCAGCTGAAACGCCCAAGAAGAACCACCGAAACAGGAGAGAGATACCTGACAGGGGCACCCTCACCCGCCCTCTGCTGCGATAACTGACAGGTCCAGAAATACTATCACAGGTCCAGAATTTCTATCCATGCAGAAAGTTTGTTGACATTGCAAAACGAGCTGTGAGTAAAGTATAGTAAAGTTGCTGCAGTGGCGGTGCAAGGAGCCGTAGCTTTTTGCTGTCCCAGTAGATGCTCATGAACCCTCAAACTGCTACATGTTAATTCGGTAAAAAAAAACTAGTTGTGAAGTTCCAACACCCTCACGAACTCAGGGTCCGTTTCTTCTTAGTAGACCTAGACCGAGACTCCAACTGGGTCCCGAACAGGGTAGATCCCCGAACTGGGGAGAGACCACCTGGTGTTTCCCCGCAGTTCGTGGGAGCCGCCAATCCACACAACGTGTGGTCGATCGATCCGATGCGCGACCAGGGTGGAGAAACCAGCATGCTGCAGATCGTCTCGCAGTGCCACACCCAACTGTAACGACTCGGGTGGTGACGGTGGTTTCTCCGGAAACGGCAGAAATCGACCAGCGGAAGCCCTTCGAAGACCATTAACAAGAAAGGGTGACCCGGTGTTGTAGTAAAAAAGAAGAAAGAAACTCCTTGTTGAGACCATAATGATTGTTGTGAAAAACAATGAAGTCAATGGTGGTTAGAGATTTGGGGTGAGATTTGGGGTGAGATTTGGTCAAGACACGGCAACATAGAGCTTAAGGACACGAGGACTCTGAGAAGACTGAAAAACTCGTGATTCATTTTGATGCTACAGTTGGCTACCTTTGAAGTGCCAAAGGTGTTCCCTGTCCAAAAGGCAACCGGACACGAGTTAGGTGGTCCCATTGACTCATTTGTTCGTAAGTGGGACAACACCAGTGCCCCAGCTGCAAGCAGACCATAGTGTGCCTTTTTCTTTGCTCCCTGCGCCCTGGTGCTTTGCAGGTCCATTAATGGAAGGTTGCATTGACATGGCTCACAAACTTCTTCCTCCCACCCAGAAGCTGGCTCAAGTGGTACTGTATGGGTGAAATAGACCATCTATGTTTGTATATTCATACACTGTATATATATAGTATATATTGACTTGTTTAGCTCAGACCTCCAAGATGATTGGTATGTTACTGGACATTCGCAACCCCACAGTACCACAATTGCACTGGTTTTCATGCCATGCGGAACATGCACTTTCATGATGTCTTGCGATGATGTATTTGCTTTCCGTTGGAATCCGCAAAAGAATCGCAGTCACATGAAGAAATTGCTATCGATTCAGGCTGGTGTCTCACTGGGCAGCACCGGAGAGCTACTTCCACTCTTTGCGCCGCTTCGCCAGCGCGCCGCCGAGGCTTCATTTGGAGCTCGCCAGACCGGACAAAGCCTTCCAAGTGGCGCCACTGGGACAGACCTTTTTAAAAAGAGCAGAGCACCTGGAGGTGAACAAAGCTTCCACAAGCATGTCGTTCTTGTTGCTGCTGCTGCTGGTGTGTCTTCTTCTTCTTCTTCTTCTTCTTCCACCGTCGGCTTTTGGAAGGTATGGGTTTTGGAAGAGAATTACCAAGGTGTGTTTGCCATCCAACAAGTTGTACCTTTCGGAATTGGGGAGGGAAAGGCTGAAGTCACTTGAGTAGTAGAGGGGGTTGCTGAAGTGCTCTCAATTCATCGCTGAGAGTACCGAGTGTGGACCTAACTGGAGCTCTCATGGAGTCCTTCTGGGCGCACTACACGCGTTGCTGGGTGGTGGTTTGAGATATTTTTACTCCCAAGCTGGACTCAGGATGATTGACCGGCGCCAAAAACATGTCCAACACATCCCAAGGAGAAAACAAAAAAAACGATTGACAAGATGGTCAACGGGGAGCTTCATATCACTTCCAGGTGTTCTCTTTCACCAATGTTACAGATCCTGACCCCAACTCATCGTTCGCTCCGATCTGTCGACACCTAAACCCCGCGTGCCGTGCCGGAGTTCTCGGCGAAAATGTCCGGGTTTTTCGAATCCCTCCCTGTGTTCCCTTCCTCCAGTTCCTTTCCCCAGAAAAGAACACACACATATGCCGCCTCCCGCATGCTGCATCCCATTTTGCTGGTGAAAACAACGCCCGGCACGGTCGGTCAGACCTCAAATCAGGGGCCCTGGGAAGACCTCGACGTTCCCTCAGTCGATCTGAGGCAAGAGGTGGCGTCCATGGACATCAGTCTTCACGAGACTGCGGTGGCGCAGGAGACCGTGTACGAGGCTGGCGGGGTGAGCTGACCTGGCTGAGTGGCACCGGTACACGAAGAACACGGTGGTCGTGGGCCACGACTCGTGGCGTTGGAGTCAGCAGGTCGCGGCGCTATTGGGTGTGAAACTGCACAGCTGGGCAGCTGGGTGCGGGGAGATGTTGGAAACAGCTGGGTGAAGGATTTGATGACAGAGTTGGTGGATGGGAATCAGGTCAGTATGAATTCAAACACGATCAATCGATTTTCCCGGCAAACGTGCGTGGGGTGAATTCAGGGGATTGGCTTTCGCTCCTTGTTCCATCCACAGCTGGAAGAAGCTTTATGTTGTTTCACTTATTACTACTATTACCAGGGGTTATATCCAAAGTTGGCCATGAAATGCCTGGATTGGAGGAGCAATCTGGGAAGTTCATTGTTTGTGTTTGGGCATGAACGTGTTCTGTTGGATTGGTGATACCACATACAGATCAATACACCGAACACTCATGTGGACTCTTAGATTAATTATCCATATGAAGAGGTGTTTCAAAGGGGGGGATTATGCAGTCTCAGAGTCTCAGGGTCTGCATTCCAAATTGTGCACAAAGGCTCCCCCGTTCGACATCAGTGTGGATTTACTGCATTGGTCTTGGACCGAGAACTTCTGGGATAGCACTAGTTTGCAACGGACGGTGCCCACGATGAATGCAAGCACACGCAAGTGCACGCAGCCAGGCTGCTAGGTACTGGGCACAGTGGCAGGAGTGGTTCTTGGGATCGCAGAATTGTTAGATACAGGTTCTATCTGATTCTATGTGCTGAAAAGTGGCAGGAGTGGTGAACCATCTGATAAACCGTATCCGTGTTTGCCGTATTTTTTGGGTCGGTCAGACCGAAGGTACTACACCCCTGCGGTCTGTTTCCTAAGACCACTGGATGGGTATGACGGGTTCATTGCTCCATGCATGGTCAATTCTCAGGTCCGATGTCCTGGACCTGCCGCTCTTCTCGGCTCAGGGGTCCACCGAGGAACGACTCGTGGGGACTCCACATCACATCCGGATGAGTGGATGGGTCCTACTTCTGGTCGAAAACAAACAGACAGCAGATCTGTAGGGTCAAGTTGCCATGCAGTTAGTTGACCCGCACTCACAGGGGAATTGGCAAAAGTTGGGCAAAACCGCCGCCCAGCAAACAAGAGTTGGCAGTTCATTCAGCCTGTGCCGCTGGTGCATGAACGCATGCCACGATGTGTTTTGTCAAGGATGGAAGGTGGTATATAAACATGTATAAACAGTATGGGGGAGGGCCCTTGGGGCACACAGACCCCAAAGATTTTTGATGAGCTAGGATAGGATTTTACACACAACGTCATGTGTGATGGCGAGAGACATGATGTCAGAAGTCCGGAAGCTGAAGCTTCTTGGCATTTCACTGGGGCAAAATCGAAGAAGCAACATACTTTGAGTATAGAGGGTAGCCTTGGAGGTCTGAAACACATGACTGTAGAAAGGTAGCCTTGCATTCGAAAAGGAGTCCAGGAGGGCGCACGGTCACCCGAAACCCATCATTCCAATCCGGAGGTACTTGGGCAGCGCGGGCCGGAAGATTCGGAGTTATTTCAGTGGGTTTGTTCAGCCTACATATGTGGTTGGAGGCCATCGCAAGTAGGTATATCTACGATTTGGACATTAAATCGGTTCACTTCCGCACCTCGCAGGGAACAAGGACAGCACAGGACATGATTTTGTATATAGATATAGATGGTACCCCCCCCGGAACCTAGGTTTTCATATACTGTATTTGCAGTGTTTTCCAATGTTTTTGGAACGATTAGATGTTTGGAATTTGTTGGTTTTGTTGGTCTGGGGGGGGTCCATATATATATATATATAAGAACCTATATGCATACACACAGTGTTCTCGGAATCACGAAAGTAAACTGTCCAGTACTTAGAGAATTCCATAACATGTTTGAATATTGTAAGTTTTTTCTCATAAGTAAGAAGTAAGAGTGCACAGCACTCTTGTAGGGAGTCTTGCTTTGTGTACTTAGGGAGTTTCTGAACATATTAACACATTAGTTGGTTTGCGTTGTTTAATAAGTAAACAGTAAGAAGTAAGATTGCACAGAGGTCTCCTAGAGAATTTTACTTTTACTTCTGAGTGCGTTTTTTGTATCACGCGTTTATTTAGTATTCCGTTTGTATGGACAGATAGCCCTTATACTCTTCTTGTTCCCAAAATCTTTTAACCTACCCTTCCTCCCAAGTCTTTGATCAAAGTGTTTGATCGCAAAGACATTGAACCCTGCATGCAAAAGTCTTTGATCACAGTGTTTGATCCCTTCTTCATCCCAAATACTTAAAGCCCTTCATCCCAAGTCTTTGAACAAGAGCTTTGGAACCCTTCATCCCAAGTCTTTGATCAAAGTTTTTTGACCCCTTCTTCATCTCAAAGACTTTGAACCCTTCATGCAAGTCTTTGAACCATGTTTTTGAAGTTTCTTCATTCCAAAAAATATCCGTTCATCCCAAGTCTTTAAACACAGTTCTTCAACCCTTCATCCCAACCACTTTGAAACCCCTCATCCCAAATCTTTTAACAGAGCTTTGGAAGCCTACTAAACCCTTCATCCCAAGTCTTTGAATAAAGGTGTTTTAACCCTGCATCCAACGACTTTGAACCCTTGATTCCAAGTCTCTAAACAAAGCTTTGGAACCCTTCTCGACCGTTCATCCCAAAGACGTTGAACTCTTCATCTCAACGATGTTGAACCCTTCATCCAAAGTCTTTGAACAAAGTGTTTGAATCCGTCCTCCTGCCAAAGTCTTGGGGCCCTTCATCCCAAAAACTTTGAACCCTTCATCCCAATGACTTTGAATGCTTTGTCCCAAGTCTTTTCAACAAAGCTTTTGAAGCCTTTTGCATCTCAAAGTCTTCGAACCCTTTTGCACCCTTCATGCCAAACAAAGTTTGTGAGTGAACCCTTCATCCCAAAGACTTTGTTTGAATCCTGCATTCATCCCAAGTCTTTGAACAACGTTGTTGAACCCGTCTTCATGCCAGTGTCCTTTCATCCCAAATAAAATAGATCCTTATCCAGCTGGTGTTCAGATTTGTTCGAGCAATCCATCAGTTTCTCCAAATGCTGCGAGAAGTTATTTTGGCGTTCATGGTTTGATGTCTCCGCACCCTGAAAGATACGTGTGTTGACCTCAGTTCGTCGATTCAGATGAACTCTTCCCATACATTCCTCTGAAAGATACACTGGATATGAAGGGGGTGAACATCTTTGTGAACATGTGCGTTTCTTTTTTCTGGAAGTGACTTCATCGTCGCTGTGACTGTGGTCTTTCTTGGGGTTCCCTACAGCAACCTCTTGGAGAGGTGGGAAAACTCACCCTAGCTTTTGACATGGACTCGCCCAAAAGAGTTCATACATAGTTCATGTCATTGGGCGATTCACCGCTGATTCACCGCTCATGTCATTGAGAATTGGACGTGCACCTTTTACGTTGTTTGCAGCGCTGGACCAGCAATGTGCCTGAAAAAAGGTCTCTCCCAAATCCCTCCCCCATCCTCATCCCTCCAATCCGAAACTCCATCCCCTTTTATGACCCACCTCCAGAAAAGAGTCTTTCTGCCACTCCACTGCGACCTCTCCGCCGGCCACGAGGACCTCGCCACGCGGTCCGAAGACCTCGCCGCCGTGGTGGATGAGGAGGACCTGGAGCCCTCAAGCGCCATGGCGGCGGCGCTGGCCGCCATGGCCAGCGCCGTGCAGACGCTGCAGAACACACCCGAGCCGGTCATGGAGAGTGGAGGTGCAGGGTGGGTTGGTGGGGGTTGCACGTGTTTGGAAGATTTGTGAAGATGAGTTCTTGTTCTTCGTGCTTATTCTGGGAATGCTTCATCTAGGACTGCCTCCTCACAAAGACACCCGCAGAGGCTTCACCCGCAGCGCATCACCTGCCAAAAGGCCAAGTGGTGGACGAGGATGACGATGACACGGTCGCCGCAGAGGTCCCGCCAGAGCCATGTGAGGTGGAGGTCGACTTGGAGGTCGACTTGGAGGAAGAGACCTTCAGGCCGATTAGATGGGCTTTCAGTGGATCACCGGCAGGGCACCCTTTTTGGGGGGCAGTGGTTTAAGAGGAAGAGGTGCCTTAAGAGGTGCTTTAGGTGTACTGGCTTTTTTGGGGGGGGAGTGGTTTTGCCAATTTGTCCCCATGTTTCCAGACGAGCAGATGGACCAACGTTTCATTAGCCGTTTTTTTTTTTCAGGGACACGGTTCTAGGTAGTCTCAGAGTCCGTTGGAGTGCTCGTTGCAATTTGTTGTGAGCAAGTCACGCACGGATTCATGCCAGATTCCCAAGTTGCAGGGCTGGAATAGAGCAACCCCAGTCATGTGTTGTGTTCTTTTTTGAAGATACCAGGAGAGTGATTTGCTGAAATGAAGTTTCTTTGTCAAGCAAATACATTTGGACAGCCTGGACTGGACAGCCTGTGCAGGAGAAGACTGTAGAACTGTGCCTTAAGAGGTGCTTTAGGGACATTCTGTTATACAAATGTCCTGCCACTCTCTTCCTACCTGATGTACCCAATTAAATTACTTCTTGTTTTCACAGTGTTTCCCCACCTTCCACCATCTTCCACCAAACCCCCCAACCACCATCCCAACCGTTGAGGCCCACACCGCCCTCCACACCCGCGCCTTCCGCGCCTTCGCCGGTGCCGCAGCTGCTCGAGGGCCTGCGAGCGGCCAATCGGATGAAGTCCCAAGAGGTGCAGAGTGCCTTGATGTGCAGAGCCGGAAGAGGGAGGGAGTGGAGCACGAGCATGGAGCGGAGCGGAGCGCCAGCGAACATGTGCACCCAGATCAGCTTCTGTGCATTCCGTTGGGCGCACATGAGGCGTTTTGGGGGGGGGGGTTGCACACCCGAGACGTTTATTGCCAACATTGAGTCTTCCTGCGTATGAAGGGGTGAATTTTGGTCAACCTGCCACGGTGTTTGGTTCATGAGTAGAATCACTAAGGTTGTGTTGGGAGGAGGACACAGGACACTTTGGAGCTGAAAGGCCACGGATTGGAGCTGACAAACCTGACACCGAGGTTGTTGACACTAGCCTCGTGTGTCGAGACACTGTCGCACTGTCCAACAATACATGACTCAACTTTCAAGAGAACGAACACTCAATCCTTCAGGCAATTGGTTGTTTGACGTCACACGGATTCGCGCGGTGAAGGGTTCAGATTGCGTGGATCAGTTTGGAAGTATATGACAGTTGCGGGCGGTTCGCAGAAAAGTGAGCCAGTTGGTTGCAAAGAATACCTTGGTGGAGACCATGTAGTCAGCCCTTCGAAAGGGCCCGGGTGGGTTCAATTGCGTGTGGCGAACTTGCGATTGCCCCGCTGTCCCGGCGACTTGCGATGCTCACAATACCCGAAAGTGCGATGTTTGTAGGGAGGATCTAGGGGCGAACGCATTCCTTTTGACATGCAGCACGATGCACCGTGTGTGCAGCGCCATGCACACAGCCATGGCGCGTGAACTGGTCATAAGCTCTTGTGGCACCGCGCCTATTGCACCGCCAAGCCCACGAACAAATCCCGGATTCGAGACCTTTGGTCGCTGCGCTTGCCACTCCATGTTGAGAAGTTGGTCGTCCATGATGGTGGAACCCAGCCATACCAAGAATGGCGGCAGGGGTGTTGCGCTTGAGCACCACCACCATCACGCTTCGGGAGCAAGCTGGGTTTTGACTGGTGGTTACAGTAACGGTTACGTAACTAAAGTCTATTAAAGTGCACATGGTAATAAAGTACACATAGGCTAGGTGGGCTCTTTTTTCTGGGCTATACTGGGCTAATTGAGTTCTGACTGGTGGGCTCTTTTTTCTGGGCTCACCGTGGTGTTCCTTCGTTTCCCCGGTGTGGCCGTTGCCATGGCCGATGCCATCACCGGGGTGGCCGAAGGATCTGTTGAGGATCCACCTTACCCAGACGCTCCATGTGACTGGCATAGGACTGCCGAGAAACGGCCAGGGGTGGTGCCAGGGAGGGTCGGCAGTCCTATGGAAGTCCCATGGCCGTCGTGTCTGGGTACACGTTTTCTTTGTCGGAACACAAGGCTCCGTGCGTGCGAAAGCGACCCCACTGCTCAGCAAGGTGAAAACTTGACCTTGGAAGAGTTGGAAGACCAGCTACTGCTGCAGAAGGTCTTGGTGAAGCAGTTGAAGGCGGATTACGAACAACGTGCCACGGATGAAGTTAAAGAAAAAACAAATCAGAGCTGTGGATAAACTATATATTGAGATTCATCCGTACTAGGTGTTATCGCCAAGGTGGGACAACAGGAACCATTCCAAACTTCCAAACCCACCTTGTCACGTCCTTCCTTGAAAATCCATTCGATCTGAAATGGAGTGTTTTAGTGCTCCTACCAGGACCCACAGGGAGTGGTTCATGGACACCCCGAATCACATCTAAGGGGGCTATCAATAGAATCCCCTGGTCCGGGTGTCCTGGTATAGCCCTATGATCATCCAGTTTCAGCTGTGTTCCGAACAGCTTCCGAACCGACTCCCCTCCCCGTGGGAGCAAACCGCGGGAGTGCTCTGCGAGCGAGCGAAATTGCGCAGCGTCGCGGTGTGAGGCCTGGAGCGCAGCGAGGCGCTGGCGGCTGAGCTGCGGGACTTGCAGGGCTCTAAGCCGCAGGACTTGCAGGTCAAGGCAGGTCCCGGACCCCAGACCGGACGGCTTTCCGGTCCGAGACCCAACGGGTCCGGGGGCGGAGATGAACACGGAGTGTGTAGTTTGTGTTTGATTTTATATATATTGTCTTGAGCTCCTGGTTGAGTGGGGCGGATTTCGGATAAAACATGATAAAACACAAAATGACCTGCAGGCGTTTGTATGGCTTCAGCTCGTGTGGGCTGGGCGGGTTGGGTTGGAGGTTGAACAAGCAGGGTGCAGGGCAGGGTGGTGAAATTGGAAAGCGTAGAAAGACATGGGAGGTTCGAGCTGTGTGGTGTTTTTTGTGCAGAAAAGGGGATCCAGAATGAGGCATTGTGTCACATGGGGCTGATGATCATGTTTCCTGGGTCAGTGGTTTGAGAACGTGGGACTAGGTTGGAGGTGTTCTCAAGATTGTTCACTAGGTTGATCAGTGATTAAGGTTGGAAGATAAATACAACTTGTCACGCCTAGTTCGTCAACATTCCTTGAACATCCTTCAACTATGTGGCAAAAAAAGTTTCCTTTGGCAGAGGGGGGGATACTGGCATGTGTTTTTCCAGTATGGGTGATGCGATTTTGGGTGCTTCATCAACATAAGGCAATTGGGTATGAATTGGCCCTGACATACTGCACTCCCTTTCCTGACTGCACTCCATTACCAGTGGGTGGAGGACGAAGACCTCCCAGTGACAATCCAACTCCCATTCACACCCAAAGTCGGATGATCCTGGGATGCATGGTGTTTCGGGGGTTCATCATTTTCCTTGGCCCATGAATTTAGAGATCAGTCTTCATCTTTGTCCCCAGAGGATGGTTTGGTTGGTTCTTGGGATATATTTCTAGTAGATCTAATAGCTCGAGGTGTCCCAATAAACCAGAAACAGTTGGTAAAAGAGGATCACTAAGTTTTTTTGAGAAATGGCCTGCACCTTAACCATCATGATCCACTGGGCCCAGATTAGTGGAATATGCATGAATATGCAATATACAAACTGCAATATGTGTAAATTGTATTAATGGAATATATAGTACAGTACATATAATATAGTAATGGTATTATATTTATTTATACTGTAACATATAATACTATGTGATATACACATAAACACAATATCTAATAGGCAACAGTAGCAACAGTACTAGCTTCCCAGTTTCACCCCGCAAGTCTCCGAATCGCCGTTGCGCCCTTGCCCCTTCAGGTGGTCCGCGCCCGCGATGAGACGGAGAAGTTGTCCAAAGAAGGTGGTCTTAGCGGGTTGCTGCCGGGTTTGGAACCAGAACAGGCTGAAGAATCCCCCATCAATGTCAATCAGGTGATGCAAAGTCATATAGGGCGGTTCCCCCACTTCGGTGGAAAGTAGTTGGATCTTGCAAGTATAATTATGCAAGATAATAAGATATATGCCTTTTCATCCAATAAACACTGGGTGTTGGAACTGGACATGTTGCATACACTTGATTCATATGGTCCATGGATGTCCATTTTCTAGTTAGACTTACCACGCTTCCGATCTCCTCATTCCTCGCGGTCTGGTCCTTAAAAAACGGAGCTCCGCGCACAGCGCGACCCCCAAGGCTCCGGAGTGTGAGGCTCTGCAGAGCTCGGCAGAGCTCAAGGTTTTGTCAGTCCCTACAGATCCAAGTACCTTTTCAGAAGGTATGACTGGACCCTCTAAACCAACCCCAGTCCCACCTTCTCACAAGGTACTTGGAGCCCTAGGGAGTGAGTCATTGCCATATCTTGGAACAAGATGGAACCAAGGCTATCCGATCATTCAGTACCCGAACAAGATGCATGACCTTCGACAAACCAGGACCTTCGACCAACAACTGGCAGTCTCGAAGTGCTGGATCTCAAGAGACTGGGACTCCTGTTTTCTATTCCTCACACTGGGATCTCAAGTTTGGGTCACTTTGAAGGTCCCTGTTGATTAATTAGGTGCAACGCTAGCCACAGGTGTTGACTAATTTGGGTTGTGGTTTGCAATCAGGGGACGAATTTGGGAGCATTCCCTTCCAATGAAACGATGAAGCCCTTGTTTGTTCTTGCCTGCATGGCATTTGGGGAGAAGCAATTTGAGAAACGCCCCAAGAGTAGGGAATGGTGATTTTCCTTTGGTCGCAGAAGCAATTCGATTCACTTTTTGGAGACGCCAAGATGATGATTCCATGGGCATGATGTCACTGACGTCACCAATTTTCTGCGAAAACGAAAGAAAGGATCCTCACTGTGATACTCTGACCGTGACCCTCGATCGGGCACGGCAAGGTCTAGTTTGACATGCCCAAGTTCAACCACTTAAACCTTTGGAATTGATTTCCCAGCTACAAACCAACACGAGTTCAGGTACAGGCAGTCACCAGGCTGGTTCGGGAGTCGGGAGTTGGTCATAAGGTCGAGTCTGACCGTTTGGTACCCGAAGCTCAAGTTCGGACCCGACGACCGCACCTACAGTGTCAAACACATCACCTGCTTTTCGGTTCGGTAAGGGATCCGAACTTCGGGCACCGAACTGGACGTCTACGCTGCCGCCAGGCAACCGAGCGGCCATGTGGGTGGAGGATCGTTTGGCGCGTGCCTGGCGGTTGTTCCAAAGCAGAACTCCCAGTGACTTGGGCCCACACGTCGCCGTGGATGGTTTTTTTTGTGGCGCTGGTTCTAAGGCGGCGAAGATGTTGCATGAGAAAAGACGCACTGTTTAGAAAGGTGAGGCGAAGCTATATGTACTTGTTCATACCTGCTACCCTGGATAGATACCAATTCCAGTCCAGGATGCTAAAAGATAGCTTTTTGCAAGTTCTCGCAACATTTACGTCCAGCTTGTGAATTCACGTCCTTTTGAAATCCTGAACGTTTTTTTCACGTCCAAAGCCCGAACACTATAATAGTTGAAAAGACCAAGTTCAGCGATTACGGTAAAACACGTCCCGGACAACAATTCTCCTCCTTGCATACCAAAAGACAACAATTAGCGACATGGACAACAAAAGGTGGTTATATATAAGGTTTAGCAGGTATGCATCTATGTATACCCCCTGTCGCCTGTGGTTGCGTACCTCGTCGTGCACAATGTCCTTGCGCAGCTCAGCTGCAGCCAGGCCAGCGCCTGGCGCGAGACTTGGCCAAAAAGAGCCACGCAGAGTTGGAAGCCTTGCGGCGCTCGCGAGGACATGTCGAGGAGGATGTAGCGCTGGAGGTGCGCAGCCGGAGTCTCGGTCACTGGGTGGAGATGTCTCAGGTTCCAGTGGAGTTGGTGAAGGTGTGGATCTCAGTCAGGTGTATATATATATATACCTTCTGTTGACAACTCTTTGGAGAGAATCAGTGTCAAAGACACGGGCGACACCCAGAAAGAGATGGGTGAAGATCCACTGGTAGACTCTGTAGTGGCTATAGTCGATAATATTTACTTTTAAATAACTTTGCTTTGGTCATTTCATTTGTTTGGAAACCCCTGCTGCCCTATGTAGAAAACCTCAAGAATGTTCAATATTTGGGCAGGTGTGGGTCCCCCCCCAAAGTGTGAAGGATCATCAAATACATCAAAATACATCTTTGTGACAGTGACATTTTTGTGACCCAAAATCATGTCGCACTGCCTTCGCTCCTTTTGGATGTCCACCTTCGGCGCCCCGGCTTTCACGGTCTGGTGCCTTCGCTCCGTGGCTGTCGACTGCGATGCTGCGCCAGGTCTTGCAGAGCCAACGGCGAAGAATTGACGTGATGAAGCAAGACGCGACGGCACAGGACGAGAAGCTCTTGTCCTTAGGCCGGCGAGGGCGATGGAATTCGTCGGATCGGCTTTCGGTGGTCGGTTCGTCTTGTTCCTATAGCAGCCTCGATCTTGGTGTTCCTTGCCCTTAGCGATGCCAGTAAAGCCTACCTCCTTGGTGTTCCTTAGGGCCTTGGTGTTCCTTGTCCTTCGGGCCTGCGCTCCTATAGCAGTAAAGCCAGGAGCTACGTTCGTAGCGTCCGATCGCTCCGTTCGTAGCGATGCCAGGAGCCGAACGTAGCGTCCTTATGTCAGGTGACGGATCACCAGGGTGAAGTGTAGGTGCTTGTCTGACCATTTGTGCTTGTTATTCTTCCGTCAAGTCTCGCGGACAGCTGAGCATGAGGAATGTGCAGGTTCTATGGAATATGGCTCAATCTAAAGGACGCACCTGCGCCGTGACCAGCACACAAGCCCATTCTCCAAGTGACCAGCACAAGATCCCGGCAGCTCTTGCTCTTCAAATCAGGCCCCCTAAGCCTGGTTCTAAGCCCCATCAAATGATCCATCCCAGACACTCCATGTATTGTAGACTCTTGATTTCACAAGCAATATAAAACCTCCGTATGATGAGGTTTTACCATCCATACTACATTCTGGGATATCAATGCACCTTTTCACCTGATCAAAATTCCACCTGATCGGTCTGGCTGTAGGGCATCTTGGATCATCCACTTGGTGAACCAAGATAACCAAGAACCAAACCAGACCCACCACGAACATGCTTTTTTTCTCAGTCTGAAAACCAACACCCCAAGATGAATTGGTCTACAGATGGGGGTCCATAAATCTAAACCACATAGTCAACCCCCAAACCTTGTGCCATTTGTATGGTGCCACATAGTAAACCACCATGGAGGAACGTGCCAGCTGCTTGTTCCATCTAATCCACCAGCCACTCCACAGCCACAGCCGTACCGCTACGCGTTGAGGCTCCGATCTTCGCAGCGTTTTGGACTTCATGGTGCGCGTGAACCTGGACGCCCGCGGCGGTCCAAATGGACCCCTGGGGGAGCTGCCGGAGCTGCAGAACTTGAACTTCAGTGAGGTGGGAAAGGAATACCTTCATGAAGCTTGGTTCAGAAGGTGTCAGTATTACTCAGCTTGGTTTCTATATAGGTATCTTAGAATGGCTTCATGAGTGGTTTGATTCTTTTCATGTCATGCGATTCGTCATGGATTGGTCGGATTTGTTTCCCGCGGTTTTGCAACTGTTTCAGGAAGGCTTTGAAGATCTTTCAAGTTTCTATATGTTCCCCCTGCTTCCACAAATGTTTCGGAGGATGTTCGATGTTATTTTTTGCTCGCCGTGATTCCTCACCCACGCTAGCTGGATGTTGACCCGACGTCGGATGTGTCTTGCTCGGTTCTTCTCCCTCTCTTCCGTCTTCTCAGGAAGTCATGACCAAGTATGCAGTGCACCTTGGATCACTGAACGTCGACCGCCATCCGCTCCGGAGACGGGACGGAAGAGACGGAGTGTTAGCGAGATTCCCGACCAGTCTGGCTCAAGAGACCACGGGTTTTCTATGGTTTTCTGTTGGGTCGGACGCTCCCGTTTCATGGGTGTAGATGGTGTGTCCCATGACCTGTAATTATCACTATTTCCGAGAATGTCCTTGACTTCTAACCATGATGATCCACTGGGCCCCCCCAAAAATTGGATATACCCAAGGGTGTAGGCTCTAGTATAGAGGATGAAATAGGATGAACTATACATGTTTGCTCCAGGCGGCCAGGCTTACTATAAATACAAACATGCTACTCAGAAGTATCACTATCTAGGCTTATCTCCAACCGTCCATTGAGTACACTGTATACCCTATCCTATTATGACTCCATCAAATCCCTCTATGTCATCAGGACACTTTCTTTGTTTGCTCCTCTTTTGCTAGTAATTGCGTTGGTGTTCTTCATGACATATATACTCACGCGTCCAACAGTGGACTTTGCTTGCGGCCAAGTAAGTCAACATGACCAGGAGATTCTTGTCGAATCACTTTTTGGGAAGCTTCAGCTGCACAGCAGAATAAGGAAATGAGGTTGAAAGGAAATGAGGTTGATGGATTGACCTTGGTTCTTCCAAGACCAACAAGAAGCTTCACCTGGCATGGCAATTGCCATGCCAGTCTCACTTCTCTCCAGTCTCACAATGGTCAGCTTCTTCGGCACCCCGGAGGCTCACCAGTTTGACAGTTCGCTGGCTCTCCACCGGAGACCAGGTCAGGTGGACTTCGGCATCGGATTTGTTGATCGTTTGAAGAGCCAGCTGGGAACATCTCCATTGATCCAGGCAAAGCATTGCATAGCATTGATCCAGGAGGAAACCAACACACTCTGCATTCCTTCCAGGATCGAGTCAGCCAGTCAGGGTCGAGTCACCAGTCTTCTGCGTTAACTCCGTCTGCACCAGAGGTATCTGGAGAACTCCGGTTCTCCCTCGCAGCTCCGCCGTGCGGCGCAGCTGGCCACCGCGCCGTCGCTGGCCTCCGCGGCGCAGCAGATGCAGCGGAGGCCGCAGCTGCCCTTGCCCAGTCACGAGCGGGCGACTGACGCTGGGGCCGCCGACGAGTGGACTCGGACTCCATAGATAGTATATGGAGGCCCACATAGACTGAGCCTAGTATATGGATGGACTCCATATAGGGACTGGAAGTGGGACTGGAATAGTATATGCCTACTTACATGGACTTCCCGAACATTCAACCACCCCAAGGCATGGTAAAGGTGCCGTACACAGAGCGTATGGGCGATGTTGATCTCATTTTCTGGTGAGACGGTGTGAGACGGGAACACTTCGATTCTCGAAGGTGGGGAGAGGAGTCCATAGAGAGATGGTCCCTCCATCCCAGAAGGGATCTGTTTCAAGGAGTATTTGATGATGTGTTTTTTGTTTGTTTTAGACAGCGTTTTGGGTCTAGGATGATATTGACCAGAGATCAAGTCGCCATCTAATATTCCTGTTTGGTCAGAGAATCACTGGTTTTGGCACGCTAAAAAAGGGCACCCCCAACATGGTTCAGTGGTGGTGCCCCGTTTGATTTGTTGGTCACGGTTTTGGGGAAGACCAAAAGAGCACCAGCACAGGAGTGCTATTTTCTGGGATCTAGCTAGGTCCCCCCCAAGTAGCTGTAAAGAAAATACGTTGAAGGACGTTTCGCTTCCACACTTAACCCATCCTTCCTACCCCAGCCCTCAAGGACTCCATTAACAGCAATTCACACATTCGTTCCTACTCACGAAGTCATCATTCGTTCCTCATGTGTGTACCCAGCATCCTCCGAGACCTGTCAGCGGCCCTGATACCTCACCCTTTAGAGGTGACTGGGAGGGCGTGTCTCCGGTAGTTCGGGAGCTCCGACGGGGAGAGCGCATCGCCATCGCCGGTAGTTCATCTCAGATGGATGTTGATGGGTCATGAAGATCTTTTCATGGAACCCTGTGAGGAAGTTCTTCATGGAACTTGTCTATAAAGGAAGTCCATGTCTTTAAATGGTTCCAATTCCAAGCATCCTGTCAATCACTATAGTATAACATGTTAACGTTGTTAATCAGTAGTGTTGATGTTCTGTTTATTTAACGCCCGAACGGTGATCCTTTGTATATACAGGAAACCGATGCCTTCCAATTGTCCTACAAGCAGGTGGGTGTGTATTTGAAGAGGGAAGTCACCAGCCCATGGGTTTGATCCATATTCCATTTTTTCCAGGGGTTTGTGGGGGCTCTCTATTGAATTCACACTCAGGTGTGTCAAGTGGTCACAGACAGTCACAGATGTGCTTTGTGACCGCACCACTGAGGAGGCCTTTGGAGAGGAGAGGCAGCTACTGCGCTCGCGGCTCATGACGGAGACTGGCCAGGGTGGGATTGTTTGCAGGTTCCCCCGAGGGTGACCAACCAAAAAGTTTAAAGTTTCAGTCCTTGATGCCATCTTAAGCATGCAGAGGAGTTGTCAAACATTTCGGAAGTCAGAATCTTCAGTGGATTTCATGAGATCACCAAACAACCAAAGATCCAAGTAGCCCAGCTGTTGATGATCAGGTTGTCCATTTTGCTGGGGTAAGCAAGACACTGCAACAGTGGGTAGACACCCATCCATCACCACTCCCGGAGAAGTGGATGGTTGCGGGCAAACTCAAAGAATGCTTCATTCGTTCCATTTTTGTCCACAGAAAGTAGAGTTGCCTTTCCAGAAACTCACCAATTAGACACCTCTGGAAGACTTGGAAAAACTTCATGTTTCGAAAGAGACTGCTCCAGAAGCAGGGTGGTTCTTGTTAAAGGAGATTCTTCAACCTCCCCAGGAGATTCTTCAACTTCCCCAGTTCCATAATTGATCCATCCCTTGGACTGAGGAGATGCAGCAGGTTGCAGAGGTTCTGGCGCGTCCAGAGCCCAAGAAATCTGCAGGTGAGACGCGGGGTGTGGACGATGAACACAGAGACGAAGACATCACTATGGTTTGGTGGAACAGTTGGGTGTGTTGAACACGAATAGGATGAACGATGCTGCTAGAATGGTCAACATACAGGCTCCAGGTGGTAAATATACCGGACATAACATGGGAGTTCACTGCAGAATCACGGAATCGCTTTAGGAATGAATCGCTTTCCCTGAACTAGGGCAGCCTGGGTGAACTATAGGTGGTAGGATTCTGAGATGTTTTATGCCTGATGCTTTCCAATTAATCCTGTGGAGGGGTTACAGTACTCCGGATCCTTCTGCACGGGAGAGTATTGCTGAAATTGGACACAAATAAGCTGGTCTGGTCATCCATTCCATTCAAGAGCATATTCAATTCATCTTCGAAGACTTCACATTGATCCTTCAAGGTCTTTGCTCAGAGCTACATGTTTGCAAAACTGACCCCAAGGCACCTATGGATTCACATGCCTGCTGAGAAGTTGGAGACACTTTGACCAACCTGATAAGATATGTGGATCATTGTGGATGTGTAGGATTTCACGCGATTTCACGCTCCGTTTCTCCTTCTTCTGCGGCCGTGGGAACCGCTTCAGCGGAACCGGTGCCTCCGCAGCCGGAACCGCGCCGCCAGGGCCCGAGGAACTTCTGCGGGCGGCGGCCTGGGGTGAGTTGCGTGGACCGGTGACAGAGAGGAACCGGCTGCGGTGCAAGAAGAGTGGGACAACTGAGGAAAGTAAAACATAGTAAAACACCATGTGAGCTGCGTGGGTTCCGAAGTAAACAAGCAATCAGATTACGTTTCCTGTGGAAGCTGGCTTCATTTGGTCACTGGTCCGATGTTTTTTGTTGGTATGAAGATGTGTATGAAGTATATAGCTCAGGAGATCATGTGGTTCTCCTTTTTGTTGTTTTGGACATCACTGTGAAAGAGAGATGAGCCAAGCTTCAAGAACCCTTTGGGACGAACCCATCAAGGTGAAGACAAAACCACAGGGTGAAGCTACTTGGAAGTCAGCCGTCAACAACTAGTTTACTATAGGTCCACACCAGGACACAAGCTTGAAACATCTTGAAACCACGCGTGCTTTCTCCCCAAATCCGCCGAAACCCGCGTGTGTTCATGCTCGGGATCCCGCTGCTGGGGGCGAATCAAGGAGAGTGACAGGTGTGGATGTACTGGAATGGCATGGCTCCCAGAAACTCTAGAATTTCGTTGGTTTGACGACATGTGTTTCTTCCTGCGTTTGACAAAAAAACACATATTGAAAACCTTCCTGAGCAGAAGGAAAAGTCCCACCGGTCCACGGATCTTAAGGACTTTACTTGAAAAGGAAAGTCGATCACCCAAAGTGCCGTGTGTGGCGAAAGTTCAGAACACATCGTGACTTGCCGGAATTCACCGTGAGTGGCGAAACGAGCACGCGCTCGGGGAGCGACGCGGGGAGGTTGCGCGTTCACCGAGGCACCTTGAAGGAGCTGCTCTCCGTGCCAATGGAAGCGACGGAGGCATTTGGGTTAGTTGGGTGATGGTGTGACATGATGACATTTGATCTTGCGAATCTGGTTAGATTTGTACAGAGAATGCAATGACACACCCAGTAGCCGGGAAGAATAGAAGATCACCCACCTAAACCTGAGTAGCCGGATGTACATGTCTACGTCAGCAGGTCATGTTTAACGACCCGGATACACTACAAATACCAAGTTTCAGTGGTTCAATCAAGACTGTTTAGTTCGATCAAGCTTGCCACTCATCCGCTTCTTTCGGGGCTTACCAGGCTTACCATCCATCCCCAATCCGAAGCGGAGTGATATTGGTTGAGCCTTCATCGGTAATGTGAGAGAACGTGGCAAACATTTCTGGAGGAGTACATCGTGGTGGGGATCCATGTGTGCAGCTCATCGGCCGTCCATCAGCTTCCGTGGTTCAACACCCTCACACCCCACATTGTTGGTCTAGATCTCCAAAAGGGGCGCACCACAGGCCTTTGCGGGCCTTTAGCACCAGGTTTTGAGGGTCCCCTAAAGCACCTACATGATAAAGCCTGATGCAGAGTGTTCTCCGATCCCAGAGCCACTCCAGGAGCTTTGCGGCTGGACGGTTTGGCATTCAGCTGCGGCCCATGGCCAGGACAAGGCGAAACGCGATGCGCGATGCGACCGCGGATGGGATCCGCCGACTGGATGGGGTCCGTTCGAATCCCTTCACCTGCTAGGCCCAAAGAAAAAGGACCAAACCGCAAGCCCTCAGCCGCTGGGAAAAAGGATGGGAAGGATGCTGGAAGGATGCTGGTCCGGCTTTCAGACATTCTTCGGAAGGCATGTTTCAGCCGTAGATTCACTGGGCCGTGTCCAAGCCCACTGGGCCAAGTCAAGCTTTCACTTCTTTACCTCTTTTCGACCTGTCGGTTGGTCATTCTCCCTCGCTGTCAGGTCATCCGCTTCCTCCAAGAGCATGCCACTGAGGGCCTGGACGCCTTGTGTGACTGTGGTCTGCCACCCTTGGGCATCACTTGCTTGCGCGGTCACTTGGGCACTGCGAAGCGGGGCGGCCCAGGTCGCGGGTCGGGTGTTGCGGATCGCCTGAAGAGGTGTCGTGTGTCATGAGAATCGTGATTCCAAAAGCACTGGATGGTTGGAGTGGTTATTTACACCCGGGAGAATGAACATGGACCCTGAAAATGGATCGTTCGAAGACGACTTTTCCTCTACCAACCGACGTGGTGTTTCAGGGTCCATGTGAGTCGATTGCAGGATGTATTTATTGGTTGGTGTAGTAGTCTGTGTAGAGTGTGATAGTCCATAGTATTGTGGCAAGTCTTGCACCTTTGGGATAGTCAGATGCACCCTATGACCGCCGGTGTGTGTGGACCACCTGAGAGTGAGAGTCTCGGCTGAGCGATTCAGTTCATGGCAATGGGTTGGTGAGATTGGCCGTGTTAGCAGACAGGAGAAAGAGAACTGCATTACAAGAAGACCTTTCTCCTCCACTTTTCAGAGGTTGTCCACTTGTCCACTTGCTATTTCTGTTGGATAGAGAGCACAATATACAGTAATCTCACTCACATGGAAAAACGTGTGGCAGGCACGTCTGCACCGTGACATAGAGAGCTCTACTCCAGGTGCCTTTTGGAAGCCAAGTGCACCGTGTCCGCCCACGATGTCCGCGGCAACAGCGCGCTACACTGGGCCGCAGCCAGTCATAGCCACCAGGCAGCGGAGGAGCTGGCAGAGCTTCTGCTGGTGCCCTGGCGTTGGTTAGCAAAGTCAAAGCTTGATGCGGCGTGACATGTGGTGCGGCATCAATAGCCAAGGCCTCCATACACTTGGAACATAGATCCCTCCGCCTCAGTGCAGCCATCAGATGAACCGAATGAACTTGGCTTCGCGATCAACCAAACTGTCACCATTTGTCACCAACGAATCTTTCATGAACTAATATATATATATTATATATATATACACCCTGCGTACGTCCAATCTGACCCAGGTCTGGTCACCAACGAATCTTTAAGACCTCTTTGAGTGATTTATTCACTTGTATGACCAACTGACCGACTCAAAGAACAAAAGCGGTCAGGAACTCCTGACCTTTTTCTTAGGGATGGAGTGATTATTTGGTTCCAGTTTCAAGAGTCACATGTTGGATGGTGCCCTGGCGAACGAGCAACCACCATGCCACCATGTGTGGGTCCTATAATAGGAGTCCTATATGGTCCTATGATACCATGGCGACAAGTGCTCACGTTGGAAGTCATCAATTAGGTGAGTTCGCCTTCACCAAGTTGGTTAACAAAGTCGAAATTGTTGATCAGTCACATGTCTATGATCCAAGCAATATACGCTCAACTGCCCAAACTCCTTTTCAGAACAACTTTAGAACAGGTCGCTCAAGCCGCAGGTTTTCTATGACTGCAAGACTGCAAGGTCTTAAATGCCTAGCTTTCGTCCCCCTTGACACTCTTCACATGCCTATAGGCAAGTGCAAACTGGGACATGGAAACAGACATGACAAATGCATTCTTCTGTTCAGACCTCCAACTTCTCCAGGATGCCTCTGCAGATCCTTTCGCCTGCAATGGCAGTGGCCAGCTGCCGGACATCCCACGTCTCCAAGAGCTGGCGCTGCGCTCCAGCGAACGCCGGGACTCGGTGCCGCGCTCCCCGCGGCCCCGCACGGACGCGGCGCCACCGGACGCGGCTCGACACGGGGCAGGTGGTGAGGAGGAGGTGCCCAGGTGCCTTGGAGTCAAGGGGACACAAGGACAGTGCCTGGTGGAAAGCGGGAATGCTGGGGCTGAGGTGGCTGAGGTTTTGGGCGAAGCTCCAAAGTGAGGTTGTTTATGGTAGAGCGGCTTTCGCAGTAACTGAAACTCCTTGAGCCGGGACCCTTGAACACTTTTCTGGGTGGTGGTTGGTTGGAGAGAGGTTTATGTTCAACCTTCACTTGGGATGATTGAACCCATTCACTGACTAATATTTTTGGAAGTGAGTTGAAACCAGCCAGCCAGTCTTGGTCGGTTTTTGCATTTGATTCACTTTTTGCTCCAAGTCCAAGTCCCACGCAATTCACTGCCAAGGGTGTTCACACAAAAAAATACTGGCAGGGTCCCTCCACAGGGGATCGCAGGGGTCATTGCCTTGGGAAAGCGCAACAGCCTGACACGACCGGACATCTTGCACAGGGCTTGCTTGATGCGGCCATGTCTTGAGGTTCTCCTACATCCGCTTGGAGAAGAAGTCCACCAGTGGAGGCGTCAGACCCGCAAACTTGTTTGGCAGATCTGACACTGATCTATCAATCCTTGCAAGAAGACTCTCCTTTGTTCACAGCAACACACGCCAACAATTTCAACCTTTGTGCAGGAGGATGCAGGAGGGACAGTCCATCTCAGTATAGACCTCACACAACTCCCCTGCCTAACAATCCGCTTATTATATATATATATATTATATTTATATACCACCATGCGAAGTATAGACATCATCAGGACTGACCCCGCCCCCATCCCCCCTTTCTCGTCCTCCAGTTCATGTTCAATGCCTCCGGCCCTCTGGTCACCGGTTTTCCGAACGCCGACCGAGGCTTCCTCTCCTCCTTAAGCTTCCTGAAGCCCCCGGTGCGGGACCGCGCGGGGCTCATGCGTCGGGCAGAGGCGCGGCGCGCGGTGCACTTGAGCCCGGAAGAGGAGGATGTGGGCATTTGGTGCCCTGGCACGACAGTGGACATCTTATGTAGACTCTTGATTCATCTAATATCCTCTATCAGCCTCTATCCCATTGGAATTGGAAATCCTTCTTCATATGCTGGGGTTCTTCATCAAGAGTCTACATTATGCTTCTTAGAACCAGGGCCTTTCTTTGGGTGTCCAGGACGTGGTCAGGGGCGTCACTTGGTCATGGCCATCGGATGTTCTTCGTTTCGGGAACGGCCGTTCGACAGCTGCGAACCTCCGCGAGCCATCGGGTTGGGCCCGGGTTGGGTCCTTCTTCGGCGCTTCTTCGGGCTCCGCTGTGTGAACGTAGCCATGTGCCAAATGTTGAAGGAAAACGTCGAAAACCATAGGGGAAATCACGGGCGCAAACAGATGGCAACTTGAGCTGACGAAAGATGCAACATTTGGGCGGGATTGCTGCAACAAGTGGCTGACAAATATACACTGAACAAAAACTATGTGCTGGGCTGGTACATCATAAAAAAGGTAGACTGGAGCTTAGTGGATCATGCCCAGATTGCTGCAACAGTTCGCAATCTTCAAATAGACTACATTCGCCATGTGTGTGTACATCACCAAAAAGCCAACATGAATGGAGCAAGGCAGAGATTCAATTCTGCAGCCTGGGGTGTGCATACATTGCACATGGCAAGGCTATACCATGAAGTCATGATTTCGATTTGCATCAGCTCCTCAGGGCCAAGATTAGATCTAAGGCCACTGCAATATAGCTAGATAAACCAAAATCACGTTCTACAGAGGTAGGCGGCGGCATGTGCCATCTGTGTGTGTGTGTGCCAGGTTGTGGCGGCCAAGATTTCACCTGAAACCATTGCAATATAGTTCGACACATTAAGAGAGTCGGTGCCAAAAAAACCCTTGGAGTCCGAGTGGTCAATCCTGCGGGGTTTGCGCCCGTTTTGGAAACAGACACAGAGACACTTGGGCGCTACCTGTTGGCACATGATATTTCTGACCCTTAGTCAGGTATCGCATCCTCTTGTCTTTTTGGTCGCTGCCAGATTTGATGGCACACAGGTAGTTATGTGTGGATATGTTCAATGGGTGCTTTGACATTCAAAAACGGCCTGGGTGCCAACAAATTAGACCCGTCGCTATGTGCCAAACGTTGGTGATTGACTATAATTATACTCAAAAAACATATAAAGGAAAGTGTCACTGATCACCACATTGACATCACCCTGTAAGTAAAGCTAGTTTTGAAACCTCATGAAACATTTGTTGACTCCGCTTTGACTAATAATTGACATATAATAATATATCTAGAATGCTATTCTGTGCGACTGTTGAAGATACAGTACTATTCATTCAGCATGCTATTCGATCAATGTGTCAGCAGTCTTCTCATGTTCTTCTCCTTCTTCCACACAGCCGCTGCTTTGCTGCTCGGGTCACCTCCCACCTGCCGTCCACTCCCGACGGCCGAGGTCCGACTGGGTCACCGTCTTCACCCACGCGGGCCTCAGCGCGTGCGTGGCGCCGGCGCCGGCGCCCTCGAGCGATCCGACGAACAGCGCGTGCAACACGCAGGCGCGGCCGGAAGCGCATCGAGGAGAGAGGGTGGGCTTTAAGGGCCAAGGGAGGGAGTGAAGATGGAAGGGAAGAGAGTGTGAAGGGAGTGAGAATGTGGAAAGGGGAGGAGTTGTAAAACGGAAGCTGAAGCTTCATTGAAGGGTCTTTGAATTTTTGAAGTTAGGTCCGTTTCTGATAGCTTTTTGGGGACAGATTGGACCGACGGAGAGGCGGATTGTATGCGGCGATATGTCCAGGAGAAAAAAACAACAACACCTACCTCTCATCAGACCCTCTTCTCTCCCAGGCGTTGGTCTTGACTTCGGAGCGTTTGCTCTTCCTCCGCGCCGCCAGCACGGGCGCCGCCGTGCGCAGCGGGTGGTCCCTGGCACAAGGCATGGCGCTGCGGCAGATCCGGCAAGTGGTGGCCCAGCAAGATCGACTGGTCGGATCCGTTGTTGAACCGCGAGGTGGGAAGGGGCTCAGCCCTGACACTCCATGTATGTCATATGTATGTCTGGGGCGGTTGAAAAGGGGTCTATGTTATATCACAATAGGTCTTACATGGAGTGTCTGAGGAGTGGTAGAATGGAAAGCTGCTCCCCAAAAATGTCGACCTGGAAATCCAAACTGTCAGAAAGAACTTGCAGTTGAGATCCTTAGCAACACAAATGTTTTGGATGCACCCAGTTTGGTTGTTTGGGTTTCCAGGTAACATGACGTAATATGACCTTGGTGGAACTGAGGGAAGACTTTGTTCCCACGGCTAAGGGTTTGGAGGATGCTGTTGAAGATTCGATGAGGGACCTGCAGCAGCAGATATGCTTATATAGATGTTGGACCTGCAGTTATGAGTCATGAGGCGACCTCCAGTCAACCACTGGTTTGAAACAGTTGTCCGGTTTCCGAATTTTAATTCAGCGCTTCCTGTCAGTGTTCGTTCGACTTCCTGTCAGCGCTCCTCCTTTCCGGACATCATTTCACCTCTTTTCACCACCGGTTCCGTCCGCAGCCAAGGTTCCGTCGGGTGTGTATTGCCGCTCTCCGAGTGCTCTTCACTTCGGTCTGTTTTGGGGTTCCAGTGGATCAGTCAAGATCGGTCAGGGCAGTGCGTGTCCTTCCCTCGGTCGCCCCAACCAGGTCATCCCCGGGCGTTCGGATGGCTTGCTCCTGCTGCGGGTCCAGACCAGCGATGAAGTCTTGTCGCTGAGCGCGATTGATCGAAGTCCTCGTGGAGCGATTGCGTCGAATTTTGGGGTAGAACGGGGATCCGGGGTTCACCTCAACCCGTTCTACCAACCTCAACCCATGGCGGGTAGCGCTAGCATGGCGCCATCTCACCTCAACCCGTTCTAGGATGGCTTTCTCACCATGCTAGCGCTTTTGCAGCGTTTTCAGGTGGGATCCGGGGTCATGACAACTGAAGGTACTGTTTTGGGAGAAAAGCGCCGATTCTCAAGGCACCTGAGGTATACTGTAGCGAAGGTGGGTTAACCGAAACAAGCCCCAACTCACAGGTTTGCATGGTCAAGTATAATCAACAACCAGACTCCAGGTTGGTTAGATGTGTGTATGTTGGACCACTATGATACTATACAGATCTTTACAGTATTCCGCAGTATTCCCATGTATTCCCGTTGGCTTAGCGGCTTTACCTGAAATGTTGGCAGCTGGGTTTTTTTGAGATGTTGAATCATAAGTTGTTCATTCCTTACCAGTCATTTTCTTGGGATGATTTGGGCTGGGAAATATTCTGCACCTGACATCGAATCATTTTGGGTTGCCTGCACCATTGCATGAGGGATGGCTAATCTGCAGAGCAAAGGACATGCAGGTATCCTATTGTGCAGGATCCTTGACCTGGGGGGCCTGATTCGTGCAAGTAGCGGTTGGTAGATGACTCAGGTGCATACCAGAGCATGTCTTTGGTATGGTCGCACTATCCTCTCTCCTCCCCTCCCCAACTTGGCAACCCGGTTCTGGAGGTGGGTTGATGCTGGCTTTCACCAAGAGGTTCTGGGGGAAGGTATACACTCCCTGATTTTCTCATCCATGGTGAAGTTGCACGGCCCCCCGAGTTCGGTGAAGTCTGCGGGTTCCGCCGACCGGTTTGTGATCGAAGACTGTTTCTTCCACGTAGCCATGAGTGGAACACGGCAGCCCCACTCTGCTCACGCTCGTCTATAAACAGGTGAACTTCACTTATACCTGGACCCTTTGAGGGGGTGGTTAATGGACACCCCTTGACCGAAAAAAAAGGGACTATCAAAGGACACCCGGAATCCGTGGTGCTGGTATAACTGATTCTTTCAGGTGTAGGGAGTGTACCTGAAACCCGCCATCCTCTTCGCACGTCATCCGACCCTGAGAGGCACTTCCATACGGGGTCTCGGGAGACGTTCTTGGAAGAGCCTGGGACCTGAAGAGACGAAAACCAACGGATGGTCCTCGAAGGGAGACCTGTCGAAACCGTCGAAACCCCCAAGCATGCGTTGAAATAGGGAGACCTGTCGAAGACCTGACCCCCTGCAAGTTTCGGGAAATGGACCAACATCCCTCTGTTTTCAATAGGGAGACCTCCCGATTTCAAATACACGCCCAAATGCCGTCCCAGACCCTGAAGATGCAATCCACCCAAAGGTGATTGGTCAACAGTTCAGTCCCAGGGTCCCATCGATGGAAAGGTTTGGAGTTGACCGAACATGGCAGCAATGACATGCAGCGACTCATATACCAGACCATCGGACTGGCATATTTACATACATTGACCATCAGTCAGACCCCTTTTCAAGCACCCCCGAATGTATAGGTGAATATGCCAGTCCCATGGATGGTCTGGGATGTTGAAGATGAATGAGATGCAACGACTATCAACGGCTTATGACTTATGACATGATAATATGACTCAATGGCGGTTTCTGATCATCTCCTCCTTTTTGGAGAGGTCCCTTCAGTCCGGACCTCACAAGGCTTGGTACAGCATCCTCACCCCTTTGAATGTGTTTGAACCACATAATATACCCACATGATGTGTTTGATGACCAAGAAATCCTCCCTGATTAGATGGGCCACACCCTGAGCTTACAAACACAGGTCTCTGACGCGCAAAAAAAATGCGAACAGGAATTCTCCCAAAAGCCGGTGGCCTTTTTAGGCTCCATGCAGGTTTCTGTAGGTTCATGTAGTCGATGTAGCTTTACAGTCACACTGCTTGTTCTTAGTAGACATGCTGAGACTGTTGTCCATTTCAGGAGTGAAGAAAGCTCCAGAAGTTCCATCAATTGATACATCCCTGGAGTCCAAGGCCTGGGAGTCCGGGCACCGGCTCCGGGCACCACCCGTTCGGTGATCCGCGGTGATCGCCGTCCCAGGAGCTGTGGCAGGCCATGCTCCGCGCGGGTTGGCCCAACCGCGCCGTGGACGCGTCCGACGATGGCAGTGCCGTGAAGGACTTCTTCTGCGTGGACCCAGAGCCGGTGGGGAGCTGGGGGGGAGGGGAAGAGGCACGTGAAAAGAGACCAAAAGGCCAAGAGGAATTCACGAACAGTCTTGTGGCGCAAAGCTTATGAAGCCATGTGACGTACTTGTGGGCTTGGAAGGAGCTTCTTTTGGTGGTCCATGCAAAGATTGAGGAGCCTAGACAATCAGCCTTTGGCGCAAAGAACTTGATCTTTGCCAAATACTATGAGTCAGCAACCTGCATTCCTGCATGTCGATTCCGGGATAGATGCCCAGCGTCAAGTCGAATATGAATTTACTGTTCCTGGCTATTTCATGAAACTGCTGTGCTGTTCGGTGTGAACCACATCAACACGCTATGACTTCTGCCTGTGTCTAACCAAAAGGGCTTCTCGCAAGTTAGTAATTTTTTCAGACTCCACTGGTGTTGTACTTGCCTTCTCAACCTGTAAAACAGGGAGTGCAGCAGTGTATGCCTTTGATCCTTTTGCGCCTCAAGCGCCAGCAAGAAACCGGCCTCGCAAGCATGGGTCAACACCTCCACCTTCCACCCAGCCTTCCACACGATGCTCTTCTCAGTTGGAAGGTGATCCCTTTATTGGACCTGGCGATGCAAGAGGCCGCTCAAGGCACCTTGGCCTTCTTGAGCGGCAACCTCTTCGTGTCACTCGGGCAGAACAGACAGATGCAGAACCTTGGGGCCCCGGGGCGATCGCTGGGGCGATGGCTTGCTGTAGGCTCTTCCGATCTGATAGCGATCGGAGCCACGAGGTGAAAACAAACGCCACCAGAGAGACTTAGAAGAGGCCCATGCGGGAAGAGGCTCATGTCAAACGTGCCACCTGATGGCATGGACCCTTGGACTATCTTCCTTTACAACCTAGTGTACCTATTTGACATCATAAGACTACAGATATGTACAGATGCTTGTGAGACCAGGTGCCTTTCTGCAAGTCAAGGGTTTTCGGGTTGTACTCAAATCGGCCCTAAAAAAAGCCAGGTCCACCGTGGGTGATTGATTCGCAGCTCCCACCCTGATTTGATCACTGCCGTAGTGGTGTGTCTTGGCCTAGTTGGCCTAAGTGGTTGTTTTATGCACCCTGGAACCCAATCAAACCATGATTTGATTATGTCATGCAGCTCAGTAATGATTCTGATGCCCTGCCACAGTGGATGTGTGTGTGTGTGTGTTACTTTTTGCCCTGCACTTGAGATTGGATGTACAGTAATCCCATCTTGGCTGATTCCCATCCGCGGCTTTGGGATTTCCATCTGCGTCACGTCGTGAACGACACCACTCCACTCACCACTGAGTCGACAGACGACGCGACAGACGGCCGAGGCTCTTGCCACGGGCACCGAGCTCGCTGCTGCTGTCGGGCGCGGAGACGATTCGCTTTGGCTTTTTGGAGCTGCAGATGCTCGGCCCGGCTGCACCGCACGGATTCACCCAGCAGGTCATGTCGAAACGTGGGAAAGGAGGGGTGTTAGGACAAAAGAGATCAGGTATGTTGACGTTTACCTGATAATTTACCCCTTACCACTGTGATGTTTGCACAAAATTGGTTCCATTTTTGTCATATGGATTTGTTGGGAGACTGATCGCATACCAGGGGAAAGACCACTTCGCAGCACTTGTTCTCCCTTGTGAAAGGCCCGACCAACAGAGCCACAATAAACAACCATTTGTTGAAAGAACACTCTGACGAACACGTCGCATGGAAGTGGAGGATCGCCCTTTTTGAAACCTACTTTCCTTTACAAGCAGGGGAGAGCATCCACTTCCATGTCGTAGGTGTGTAGATCCAAAACTGACCAGTGACCAGTGACAAGTGTCCGTCCGTCCCGAGGGTCATGGGATCCGCTGGATCTGAAAGATTGGCTCCGAACCCGACCTCTCAGCGGGCGAGTTCCTGGCACCTGGATGTTCGGACGGTCTGCGCTGGAACGACACCATCACAGGGCGACAGATGGGAGTTGAGATGGGACCATTGGCCCATCCAAAACCATTGGCCCATCTGTCGCCCTGTGGCATGGAATTCAACCAAAACGCAGACACCGGTGCAGATTTTCGGGACGTGTTCGAACCGGGCCGGGGACGTGTTCGTTCGTCGGTGTTACGAAGTTCCCCAAGGATGCGACGGCAGCCCAAGCAAGCTGGTGCTGGAGTCTGTGTGCGGCTCAGTGTGTGTTTTACACCTGGAAGGTGTGGACGTGGAGCCTCAAAACAAACCGTTTACATGAGGTCTCATAAAGGTGGTTGGTGATTGATGAAGAGCCAATTCTGGTGTGGTTCTCATAGTCTTAGAGGTTCTTGTATGTGTATATATATGTATATATATTAGATTATATAAGCTAGTATATATGTAACATGTATATATCATTCTTGGTGGAACCAGTGTTGGAAATCGATTGTATGTGTCTTCCTCGCGGCTGCAGCGACTTTGAGCATGCTCTCCTACCTGATGAACTCTGATGGGTCAAAATCCCCCTTATCATGCCATGCTCAGGGTTTTTTCACATGTATCTCCTCTAGATCCACAACTCGACTTGTGATACCGCTGCCGGGCGCGTTTGCACCGGGTGCCGGCCGCGTGAAAACGACGCGCCGGTGGATCCCAGGCTTTGATCGGCCTGGCTTTCCACAGACCGTGTGTGAAGAAACAAACCATGTCGAGCAGATGTTCCAAACACTAAGATGAATGACCATGAAGAGACAAACAAAACAATATTGCTTTAGATGCCTGCAGCTGCAGCACTATCTTGGTTTAAAAAACACATACCATTGAATAAGGCGTGCGGATTCTAATTCCTTGGTCCCTTCAGCCGGGGGAACCGCAGCGGAACCCTCACAGCCTCGCCCAGGCTGGCAATGGCAGCGGTACTTCTTCCTCGCCAAGGCGTTTGGAGAGGAGTCGAACACACCTTCTCTCCGCTTGCGGCGGCTTTGGCCGACTCGCTGCATGGTTTGGTGAAAGAAAAGTACCAAAAATATGCATGCTGCATTCTTTAGACATATACATATACACACAACAGACGTGTTTCAGCTTCCTATTGTCCCACTCTTTGTTTTTGTTGCGTATAGTTTCTGAGTGAGTCATGAAACCCTTTCTCACAAGCTATTCCGGACTTAAAGCCGGGTGTTGCGTGATGTCATGAACTTCGCACATAGAAATCGCACTCCCGGCCGTTGGCGTGGCCGTGGCCAGGGAGGGAGGCCCCACGAGCGGTGCTTGGGCTGGTGTTTGCATCCCAACGCAGAGAAGTGGAGCTTCGGAGCGGAGAAAAAGCGATGAAAAAGCACCTGTTTTTGGTGCACGTGGTCCTAGTTTTGCTTATTTGAGGTGCTTTCTATTTTCCACATATGGTGAAATCCCCATATATGGGGAATGTGTGTAAACTTCTTCCAGGTTCCTGGACAGCAAATCCGGCTCAGCCCGAAGAGGTACCGCAGGTACCGGTGCTGTTTCTTTGGTTTGGGTGGGTTTTGGTGGCCCGTTCCATGGAGAATTTGAGGTTCCAGAGGCCAGAGATGTATTTGGGTCTATCTAATTAAAATTCTTCTACTAGTGAAAGCATATTCATGTATAGTCGTCGTAATCCACATATCCAATGTGATAAAGGACCTTATTGACTTTGAGGGTTTAGAGTGCATGAATATACTTGGCTGACGGCTCAGATTCCTTGTAGACACATGGTGAAAATGTGGGGAAGAATCGACATGCATGGCTGGGAACTGTAGCGTCTTGGTTTGGAAGAGCAAGGAAACAAAGGGAGCTACCAATTCAAGGTGCCAACGTGTGACCAGTGAATTCTACACTCTAGACATCTCCAGACACCCTTTTTCAAGGTCCTTTCCCAATGAACATGGATGGAAGACGCAGGGCTCCTTGAAGATTGCGTAGTATTTTCAACCCATGGTTGGTTCACTTTGAGAAGTTTTCTTTTGAATCTCGTTTGGAAGTAAGTCACCCGCCACCTTCTGCCGGCGTCTGAAAAAAGGTATCAAAATGGACTGTTGATGATGCACGCCCCTAGAGATCCGTGAAACAGGTGTGAAACGCCGATTCTGTTGGACCACGCCGTCTCCGTGCTTTTTGTTGCGGCTGAGGACAGGCCACATTTTGCTCCAAAGCGTGACGCAGGCCTGCGGGACCAAGTGCCTGTGGCGTCTGTCGCCCTTCCGTGTCGTGCCTGTCGCAGGGGCGTGTGCAACAGCGAATGCGGAGTTCAGCACAGCGGGACTGTGGGATGCGAACTGCCAAAGAAAGTACTTCCGATGTATAAAACAGCTTTCGAGAACCAGATGATTGAGGCTTCACAAACAAGCCTTTCTCAACCCAGTCCCAATCAGACACAGATGCTAGTTCCAATATGGCGGCTTGCTGGAGATCCCTTGACGTAGCAAGTGGTTGTTTGTGGAAAGATCCACTTGCTTCTGGTTGTTTGGGTTTCCAGCTTATATCGGTACTATATCAGAAACCTGAGTACCAACTATTTGCTGATCGCTCTACAGATGTTCGAGGCTTCACTGGCGTTACCTCAAGCAAGACTTGACTCGTCGAAAGATGTGATTTGGAACACGGCGACATTCTGTTAAACCATGATCAAGAATGCCAACTTAAAGAATGACATACAGTACATAACTAACAATGAATTTATAGTCATCCTCGAGTAGAGACGGTTGGGAGCATTTCAACATACAAATTTATGTTACTTGTTTGTAGATATGCCCCCCGCAGGATTCATTGAAAGGATGATAGTTGCACTGTGAAGTAGAAGGCAAGCAACATGTGAAAAAAATATGGTTGCTTGTGCGTCAATGGGTAAGTCAAACATGTTCTTCGTCCCTTGGTGAACGAGGAGCATCAGACCCTAATTGTCTGAATTAGTAACTGAACAGAGGGAAGCAATACCTGAGCTTCTTGTTACTAGTAGTAATGCCAGGAGCTACTGGTAGCTTCTTGTTACTATATATACCGCAAAATGATGCGGAGCTTACATTCTAGTTGGTGTAATTCCAACATTCAGCGCCTCCTACTTGATCTGGCTTCCTTTTGGAGGTCGTTGTTTGGGAACCCAAGACCCAAGAAGTTAAATATGACCCGAACCAACCATGGAACTGGAATCATATGCCGCCCCATTCATTGATGACCCCTGGAATCGATCGCACAACCGCACACGGTCCGAGGGGTCGGTCGACGGATGGTCTTGGTTGTGCGGATCAGGTGCACTTGATTTTTGGTCTCTAATTATCAATTACTCCTATATAAGTAATTAGGCCAAGGTGAGGTCTCCGTGATTCTCTAGATTTAGATGAGAGTACTAGGCCAAGGTGAGGCATTCTCTAATTAGGCCTCCGTGGTCGTACCGAACCGTTTCGTTTCGGGACGAGACGTTGGGACTGGGTTGGAGGGTCCTGACCCGAATCGGAGGAGCGACATATAGATACTTGGAGGTGGGTATGGGTGAAGCGGTGGAGCCCGGAAACTTGGGGAAGAGGTGTTGTTTTACTTCATTTCTTTGGTGCTCCTTCTTGTGCTTCCAGTGGTCTGCGTTTACAGGCTGGGGGGGTCTTGACTTCAGGAATATGTGGTATACCTAATTTGGTGGTTTGGGTTGGTAGTTTGCTCTTCTACCAACACCCCAAAACCGCCCAATTCGGTTGATTTTTCCTGGTTCCGGATTCCAGCAAATCTGGTCGTTCGCCAGTTTTACTCCACCACACGTGCCAGGTGAAGTCGGTGCGTGGTAGCGCGGGGGAAGTGCCTTGGAGGACGTTGGCTCGGACCAGAATCGGAGGGTGAGAAAGAACCGATGCAAACGATTTGCTTAATAGAAAATGGGTTGCACCTGGTGCACAATATGCGATACATCGTCCTAAATTAAATATAGCGTCCTAGGCTATAGGCTATAATTAGTATAAGACCGCTTTCGAACCCATATATATATATAGACATCCTGAGGACATCCACTTGCGATGCTTCAATCCGAGGCATGTGTGGTGATTCAATCCCAAAACCAGATCGTGGCCACAGTGAAAGCCCGCGGCAGCCGCGAGCGCGAAGACTGGTTGGACGCCCTGCGCAGATTGGGGGTGGCCGACCGCATCACGTGATCTCCAAAAGAAGCGCCGACCGCGGCAGCCGCGGCCGTCACTTTCGACAGTGTCGTCGCGGGTGTGGCGCGTGGGACGGGCGCGACGGCGCGCCGTGGGTCACTTTCGACGGGCGCGAGTCCCTACGGCGCTGGAGGGAGTGAAATGGAGGAATTTTGACGGATGTGGAGAATATTGGAGAATGTTTGAGACTAAATCCTTGTGGTGTGGTGCATGGCAAGAAAGGAAGTAGATGTTGAACATGGCAACTGCACCAGTCTTTTTGGCCGTTTCAACGTTGTTCCTCCAATGGTTGGTTTCAACAAAAGCAAACACATGGCATCTGACTTATTCGGAGTGTCAACACACCTAAGACCTACGCCGCTGAAACTGGGCGGTGAGATGTTCATCGTTGATGTACCTAGAACCTGAGCGGCCTCTTTTTTGGACCACCAACAGCCCAAAATAGGGTCTTTTAAATTTCCTAGCAAAACAGTGGTCAAATGGGCTCTAGGTAGGTGAAGATTCCACAAATTGTGTTGGTTCATGGTTGGAGGGTGCCGGCCACACTAGTGACCGACCTCGCCCTTTCAGTCGATGCTCTTGCTTCTTCGGACTGTCCAGGGGAACTCCTCTCCCTCCTACCCTATGGGAGCCGATGCGCTCCATCTCCGCAGGCTTTCCTGCAGCAAGGGGACCAAGAAGAGGCCTGGATGGGTCATCAGAGATGGATAAGATAATGTCCACCTCCTAATAATATCCCCCCCCCCGAAATCCAGAAAAATCCTAGAAAATCTTGATTTGAATTGGAATTTAATGGAAAGGAAAGGAAATTGAAAGGACAATGAAAGGAAATGAAAGGTCTGGAAGCAGCTGAAAATCAGGGTTCAGAAAACAAATAGTATTATTTGAGGGCAATTTATTGTTGGATTTTGAAAAGATTTAGTATTGTTCACGTCCAATTTATTATTACGAGGTCAACATTAGATATGTGCGGTATGCTGCTAGGCTATGCTAACTCAGGACAAATGCATCACTGGGTCGTGTTTTTTAATTATATAACATCTCCTACTCAGGTATCCAATCGAATTTGGTCAGTGCATCCATCTCCGGTGTACCAAAGAGTGCTTTGGGCAGTAGCAAAAGCCAGGGTAGACTATGACCAAGATTGTTTCACCAACTTCCATCTGAGGCTGTGATAAACCAAAGCTCTCATTTTGGTGCCACGTCTCCTGCATTGCAGTTCACCGAGACAGCAATCCTTCTGGCATTCGTTGAATTTCCGGTAGCTGCGCACTTTATGGTAGAGAATCTTACAGAGTCTCACACATATCCAGACCATCCATGGGACTGGAACGTTTGCCTACAGACCCCAAAATTCAACCACCCCAATAAATCAGTTTGTTTGGGCCAGTCCCATGGATGATATGGGACAATGTTTAGGCTAAGACAGGTTATTGCAAGGACTCCTTCCAGTGAGCTTGGCTGACCGAGAGTTCATCCCAAATGACGCTTGGCTGACCCTGACCTCCCCCCCCCACTCATTTAGCTGTGGGCAGCTGGAGCCCCTTTCACCAGAGTAGGTGTACCATGGTGGACCCCCCAGGTGCCATGACAAACCGCCCTACGACCGCCGCTCTGGACCGGCTACACGACCGGACCGGCACGTGGCACGTCAACCTGGTCCGGCAGATCAGGTCAAGTCACCAGCCACCAAGCCACCAGCCACTGTGCTGGTCAACAGGCCCTAAACCCTAAGCCCCCGGTCAACCGTGTTCGGCCAGCAGCTCGCCAGGCCATGCGGGTGGCCCAAGAGCTGGTCACCCTGTGCAACGACAAGCACGACGGCAAGCGCGAGGCGACTCGTCGCGACGGCCAGCGACGGGTTCTAAAGGGCGGAAACGATTCGACACCTGCGAGCAGAGAGCCCACCCAATTGGCGATACCGTAGACATCCAGGTTTCAGGTGCTCCAGCCACCTCTCCATGACTTGTGGCGCCCCAGGGAGCGAGCCGGCCGAGCCCGGCCTCGGGGCAGGTGTGGAAGAAGTACCCAAAGCTGCTCACTAGAAAGCCCACTTTTTTGGAAGTCGTGTTTTTAAGGGCCCATTGTCCAGGTCCATGTTGGTGAGTCGGGATTGTAGCAATCCAAGGGAGCTGGCTCCCCTACCATTCCGATGCAAAAAGATAAAAAGTGATCCTCACCATGACATTTGTTTGCTTTCATGCATGGTGAGGAGCATGTTGCCATGGTCATGGGCCTTGTGGTTTTGGATTTGGCTTGTGGGTCCAAGGGGTTAAGGAGTTCGCGCCGGGGGTGTTGCCAGGGTCTCCAGTTGGTTGTGTGTTTGTGGCTGTGTGTTTTTGATTGTTTGTGGTTGTGTGTTTGTGATTGTGTGTTTGTGGTTGTGGTTGTGGCTCTGTGTTTGTGATTGTGTGTTTGTGGTTGTGGTTGTGGCTCTGTGTGTGGCTGTTTGTTTGTGATTGTGCTTGTGTTTTGTGTGTTTGTGGTTGTGATTGTGTATAGCGTATAGCATTTTGTATAAAAGCACTATATAGGTTGACAAATCTTAACACAAGCATAGGCCCCCAAGAGACGATCATTTTATATACAGGTTGGTGTAGCGCTTGTTGTAGGCAGTTCATCCTGGTCCGACCATTCTATAAACGGCCATGTTTATAACATGGAAAGTCGCAGCCCAAACAGATAAGTCACCGGTATGCAGAAAGATCACAAGATTCTGATTGGTATGATTGATTTAATGATTTGTCTCATCAAAAAAGCCAGCAGCAGTCCGCAAAGCACAGTGACCACTTTTGCGGGGGCTTGGAGGCTTTGGGCCCTTGACCAACACGTCACTGTTAGTGGGACAGCTCCGAGGCCATTGCCAGGCTGATGGTGGCCAACATTCATTACAACATGTTCCTTGGACAAAAGGATGCCAGAGGATGGATCGACCCCTGCCCGCCCATGGCCGTCGATTGCTATGCAGCATTGTGTTGGCTGCCGAAGGGGATTCCCCAGGGATTGGGGCGAAGAAGGGAACCCCGCAAGGGAAACGAGGCCAAGGAACTGGGAAGGGAAGTGGAAGAAAGGAATTGGGAACCTCTATCTCTTCTTCACACAGGGTGCAGCAGTCCTTCTCAGAGGGCAACCCTTTGCTGCAAAATTGGATTCCCTCGTGGGGAGCAAGTCAAACCCCCACCGCCAGGGGATGTAAAGCTATATGATGTGAATCAAGTCTTGCAGCCAGCTGCTTGAGTTTTTGTGTGCAGTACAGCAGATTCTACAACCATACTGGAGTAGGTGGAAGTTGACCAAACCAAATAAGTATATTACCAGTTTTCAATTTTTTGTTGATGTGTTTGGATGTTCCTATCTATTGCATCTACTCCAGGAGGACTAAATCCGGACCGGTTGGAACTTTGAATGCCGCTTGGACCAGAATCTCAAGCGACTAAGGAAGGACTTCACTCAGTGCATTCTGGTTGCTCGAGAGGCTGGCTGAGATGCGCTTACATGGCACTCCAAGTCCAGGTATTCTATGTAATGTTTTAAGATGTTTTAAGTCGTGCATTCAGGGAGAGGCGCACTTGCAAATCTTGATGGTACTTATTTGGCAGATGTTTCAAGCTTATAGGTGCCCATTTTTGCATGTACCCGGACACTCCATGGGACTGGCATATTTGCCAATCAATTGACCCCTGAAACCACCCCAATGTAGGCAAATATGCCAGTCCCATGGAGTGTTTGGGGTATGGAAGCCAAAGAACCTATCAAGATGGTGCCCCACAGCCGAGGGTTCCCGACAGCCGTCGAAAAGGGGTCGAGAGGCTTCGCCCGTGCCCTGAGAGGTTTCGTCGTTTGACCTTCCATGCAGCCGAAACTTTCACTGAAAGCGTCCGATGTTTGTGATCCAACCCTCATCAGCTTCAACTTCAGGACACTCCGACGCAGACCGGTGGCAACTACACCACACCTGACTTCGTCGGATTCGCTGACTTCGTCGGTCAACCAGTGTTTTGGTTTGGAGTTTTGAAGTATAGGTAGACCATCCAAAACCTAGAAAAAGGAGGACGTTCAGTGATGTTCAGAAAAGGTTGTCTTTCTTGTTGCGGTTTGGTTGCAGTTGGAGCGCTAGATTGCCTCTAGAGGCAAGACCTAGCAGTTTGTCCATGGCTACTTGACCAACTAGCTGCCACTTCACTTGCGATTTTTCTTGAAGTTTCCGGGTTTGGGACCTCCAAACGTTGAAATTCGGGCACAGGCGCAGGTCCTCCTGCACGACTTGAGCGCCTTCATCGATGAGGCCGCCGCCGTGCGCATGGTGGCTGAGGCAGGCTGCTGCCGAGTTTTTTAAGTTTTGGAGGTTTTAGTGTGGAGGGTGCGGATGTTTGTTCTCGGTTGGTGGAACAAAGACCAGTTGAACAGTTCCACCTGTTGGTACTTCGTGAAAATGAGCCAGTTGTGGGGACAAAGCTCGGTGTTGCGTTTAATTAACTATATGTCTGGAAAACCGTTCTCGTTTTTGCCACCACTTTGGATTTGAGCCCAGAGCTCTTAAGAGTACGTGGTGAGGCCCGGGTTGTTCTGTATTCACTGATAAAATGACAATAGTTGTCGATCTATAACCTGTAGGCAGCAGTAGAGCATGGGAAGGGATCCCATTTTTTGTACATGCATGCTTACAATGAAGCCATGTGAAGCCACCCACATAGATTTAAGGGAAAGTAAAACCGTTTACCGAAGGTTCTAGTTCCAAGATACATTTTGCAGACCACAATGTCTTAAGTGGTGATATTGCCTGAAGCTGGCAGTGGGGCAAAACCAGCCAAGAAGACTATCAGTGGACTTTTTCACATGTTTGAGTGAACTACCCGAGGGCGGGGCAGTGTTGACCCAGTCGCAGTGCATCACCTTTTGTTGGTGGCCTTGGCACAGGCCATTCCTGGCCCGAAAGTATACGGCAGAGCCGTGTGGATTGAACAAGTGCTGTGATATGCTGTGATCTTGTATTTCCATCCTGTCAAGCGTCGGGCCATGCAATGGTTTTCTACTTTCGACTTTGCCCTGCATTGGAGCAGTCCTTTCCAAATGTCCTTTTGGCCGCTGACAGAAAGTAGTGTTTGGGTTTAAACATAATTTCCACCATATTTCCCTCCAAAACCCACCTACATATGTGCTTGGTGTGAAGCCATGCTTCGCCTCAGCACTTCACCAGGCATACCTGGCCAATGGTGAGCTACCACAAGCTGTCAAGGCAGCCGAACGTGCACGGTGGCCCAGGGACAGCGAAGAAGACGTGAGGCACTCATTGAGGCATACTGAAGCTGGTGAAGTTCTTCAGGTTGTGAGAAGCTTGATGTGGTGAAGAGTATACAGTCATGAGGAATTCTTGGACTTATTAATTAAGTTGTCTCATGATAGAGTTCTTTTCATCAGCATGATGTACGGAGCAGTTTTGAATTTACTGCTGTGATGATCTTCATGCGATCCTTGTAGTGCCGTTTGAGGAACTATAGATCCAAATGCGTGGGCGGCGTTTGAGATAGATTGGTTGCACTGGATGCACTTTAGGGCCTCATAGCACTTGTGTAGCACTTGCAGAGACAATCGAAGAGTGATTGAGAGTTTAGCGTGGCACGTGACAAGAGTCCTATAGCCCACAGGCTCTTGGACCCTCAAACTGCTCCGACATGTTGCTTCGCTTCAAAACCCTAGTTGTGAGGGTCAACACCCTAGCGAACTGAGGCTATGACATATGAGGATCCATTCTGAGCCTTTGGGAGGAAACGACTCCCACCCCAAGACCGGCCGTTGGACCGCCCGGACCGGCTGACCGCCCTCCGCCCTCCACCCTCCGCCAGTCCTTGCGGCTCCTGAAGGGCAAGCGCAAGGAAGCGGAAGAGGCCGGGCGCGAACGAGTCGTTCTTCGAACAAAGTCAGGTCACGGGTGACGCCGCGGTCAGGTGGGGAGCAAACAGCAGAGTGGAGCTTCTGGGAGAGGTGGTTAGGAGAACATGGAGCATTGTTTTTTTTGTGTTTTTCGCGGACAAAATAGGGGGTGGAGAACATGAGATGGTTTGGAGGAAGGCCATTCAAGAGGCGGTTGTTAGATGGTGTTAGAAGTGGTGGAGACGGAACCTAGAAAGCGCCCTTTTTGGCTGTAAGAGGATACCAGTCCAGAGTGGCCGATCACTGTTTCTGGCCAGTAGAGGACCACAAAACACCACACCCCTCTTTTCGCAAGCCTTTTACTTAGCACTTAATGTAGACTCTTGATCAATAAAGCCCATCAGAAGAGGTTCTTCAATCCAAATGTGTCGTCTAAAACCCGAGCCCGAGAGGAGCTTCACACTGTACAACGATGCAAGAGTTGGGTGTTGAGTGCCTCTCAACTGGTGCCATTTGGTGCCAACAAGCTGAGGGGCAGCACCACGAAGCACCACGGAAGCCTCAGCAAACACCGCTTCCTTTCGCTGCCCTCGTGGCGGCTGTACGCCAAAAAGAGAGCAGCTGCCTGTACGCCTCATTGGCCTGGGCTTTCATGTCGGCTAGGCTAGTAGGCTGAAGTTCCTTCAAGACTTCACAAACAGTCACACTCGATGTTTGCCGGAACCAAATATAGACATCACCCTAAGAATCCGAGCTCGGGCTCTCCATGGCAGGGGTCGGACTAACCTCCACCGAAACGCAGGGGTCCGGGCCCGAACCAAACCCACTGTTGGTTCGGGCCCGGATTCTTAGGGCATAGACATCCAGTCCCTTCATCGAGGCTGGTGACCGAGCATCGGACGGTCCATCCTTCTTCGCTCGAAGCGCACGGAACTGGAAGACGTATCTACATTGATCCTTCAAACATCTTCAAAACAGCTGAAAAGCCACCCTGAACGGCGCCCCGAAAAAGCGTAGGAGGCATGTGTTTTTCGTGTGTTTTTTTTTCCCATACATGGATGCTTTCAGAAAGAAAAGGACCCCTTGATTGATTCCCAGAGTTCCAGACATGGACAGAATGGACAGACCCTCTCAGTTTGCTTCTCAGATCCAATCCATGCTGGTCTTGGCCTCTGTGAAGCTGCAAGTGCTCGTGCAGGCCAGCGATTCGAACCGTTCCTCTTTAGCCAATCTTGAGCTCTAGCCCCTAATGTGCTGGTGTTGGCCCTTTCCACCATGAGATGAGTGTCGTGTCGGATCCTGATGGTAGACGAGCTTTTTCGGATGTTTTATGCACCGAAATCGAAAGAAACAATGCATGGAGAGTGCGATCACGGATGGATGGAACAGTGATCAGGAGCTGGCCAGGCTTTGGGGATGAGGAACATTGGTTTACAGTTTACATAACTTTAGTGTTGTTTGGGCCAGATCCTCCACTCAATATCATTGGATCTCAGTCTCCGGATACCAACTGAGCAACTAATACTCAACCCCGCCCAAAGCCACCCAACCACTACAAAACCCGCTCACCCACCAGCAAAGTTTACACTTGTTTCATGGTGGCCCCATCAAGCCATACTTGTCTTTTACCAAGGTGGATCGTACATGTTTGACTTTGTTACTGGTGGCCATCCATGGAATTGGTTTGCACCAAGCAGTACATCTCTCAAGCTATTTACAACATGAAAAACACATGGAATACAACCAGATGGACAGCTTCTGCAAACTAACACACCTCTTGCGATGTTGCACTCCAAAATATGTCCGTTTGGATTGTGCTGAACACCCAGCATACACCTCCCAACCATCCGGTCATCTAGGACAAGGTCCGCGCACAGCGGGGCACTCCGACCTTCAACGTGGCCTTGGAGGATGCCTTGGACGCGGCTTCTTGGGCTTTGTGCACGCGGCTTCTGTTTTCATCATACAGTCAGTGTCTCGATCGAACTGAAGAACTGTTAATTGTTTGCCTGAATCAGAACTGTTCTAGAGATTAAGGCAGAAAATGGTCCTTCAGTTGAGTCAATGGGAACACGCATCCCGGGATCCTGGGGTGCATGATCCCGGGATCCTGGACATAACGGTTTGCTGGAATCCAAACACATGAAGAAGTGGTAGCCTTTCGAATGACCGAACATGAAACACAAGTTCTGCAGAGAACACACTTGTGCATAGCATATAGGAGTGTGAGTCCGAGACTACTAACTAGCGATGGCCTGAAACCTAAATAGCGATGGCCTCCAACCTACGAACGGCGATGGCTTCCACCCTAGATGTTCATGTTGGTGTCCGAAACAGGTCCCCGGTGGCTTTTCTTTTGCCACAATCGATTCCCCACCGGTCATGAAGAAGCTGATTTCGCCTGTCTGGCTGAGCGTCCCCTGTCTTCTGTACAAGGCTGAACAAGCTGTACACTTGGCGCCCGGGATCCTCAGATCTCGCCGTTTTGGGGTGAATAGAGGTGGATCCCTACCAGAGGTGAATTATGACTGGACCCTGGCGCCTGTATAAAAGTATCTCCAATCACCGTACGTCAGGTTCGGTATGTGGATCCTTGTACTTATGGCATTTTATGGCTTTTGGCTATTGAAAGTTCAAAGTAGGCTTGATAGTAGCCGTGACTACACTTTATGGCTACTTCCGGTGAATTGTAGTAGGCATGTGTAGGCGTTAACAAAGCCATGGTTTTAAGAAAGATGTTCAATCCCGAAAAACAACACCGAATTCAACAATTCAAAAACTCAAACGTTCAAAACCAAGAAAAGTCAACCCCCCCCATTACAAATGTGCATTAAACAACTCAAAAGAATCAACCGCTTACTTGCCCTAACCGGAGCAAAACTGTCCAAAAGTTCAATTTCAAAAACTCAAACAGTCTACGAACAAGACCGGCTGTTAACCTTTTGAGTGCGCTGCCACCGGCTTCTGTGACAAAATCGTTTTGTCAAGCACTGCGCCCCCAGCGCACAGAATGCAGTTCTCAGTGGCCAGTGATGTGGACCGGTTGATTTCTCGGGGAACTCTGCAATGTTGAAGTTCAGGTCCGAAGGATGCGCCGTTCGGGGATCGGATCCAGGTGGAGCGGGAGGGTTCTTCTCGAATGGACGAGGCTGTCAGCCGTTTGCGCAGAGTTTGCGTAGAGCATCCATAAATTTGTTCTGATGCGTTTATGCGTGACATGAAGGCTCTACTTCCCAAGCAGAGTCAGTTTAGTTTTGCATGGCGTGACTATGTCGGCGCCAGAGAACGGGCTAATGTTGGCCGGGAGTTCTCTGAAGAAGAGCACGATTCTGAAGATGTGGAGGCGAGGATAGGGCAAGGATGTTTATGTTTCCACATTGCCATCCATGCAAGGGGAACGTATAGTGATTCGTGCACCACTGCATAATCTCAGAGTGAGTTGGAAACCTGTCAGGAAAGCTGTGACTCAAAGTTTGTTGCCTCACCTGCGGGCTTGTGGCTTGTTTCGCATTGTCAGACTGCAGATGTTGGGTTCACTGAGTCTCCTGAGTGCTTCTTGTATAATTTTAACCGCAGAGTCATATATGAGCGTCTCGTTCACTCCCCTCACTCCACTCACCCCCTCACTCCACTGCACTGCACTTCACTTCATTTCACTTCACTTCACTTACTCACTCTCTCTCTCTCACTCTCTCGCACTCTCATTCCGGGCTCGACACCAGGGAGCGTGTGAGGAGGAGAGTGGCAAAAAGGAAGAAAGAGGACCAGAGTTCATCAAGAAGCACAGGCTGTTTGAGTCCCGAAAGCCTCGAAGGAGAGGAGGCTGTTCGAGTCTTTTCGACCCCGACTCGAGGGTCCCAGCACCTCTCTCGACCCAAGGGCTGGCAGTGATGAGGGGCTCGGATGGACACTCCGGGCATCGGGATGGAGGACAAACCTGGTGTCATCGAAGCTGTGGCAGTCCAATATTAAAAGCAACAACTCCAGGCCAGAGCATTTGGCCCGGCTCAACGAGAGCTTCTGACATTGGCCTTGCCACCGAGCATGGAGTCGACCCCTATTGGGGTCGGACCGTAAGTCAGAGGTTGGAAATCATCCAACAGCCGATGGTCGCTCCGAGGGGCGCACAGCAGGAGATGAACATGGCCCAGGCGGCATACCAGGAGGCCAAGTTGCGCTACTTGACATCGTTGCTGGACGGGAGACAGAAGGGAGGAAAGCTTGGAGGAAAAGGAAAGGACTCTCAGGGAGGTTCGAGACAGGGACAGAGACCGAAAGAAAGGAAAAGGAAAGGGGAAATGAGACAAGAGCAAGGCGCACCCGCCCGCACACACACCCGCACTCACTCACTCACACTCAGCTCAGCAAGGTATCGCTTGTCCGATGCTTTGCATGTTTCAACTGTTCGAGTGTTCGAGTGTTCGTGGCTGCAAGCCCCGAAAACACTTTTGAAGTTTGCGACGCACCCGGTTGGCTCCGGTAGCGACACACACAAAGAAAGAACATGTTTTTCTTCATCAAATGCATAGGTTTCCGGTTTCTGGGTCAGTGATGTGATGTTTGTGACTGTCGTGTTCTTCACAGATGACGTAGAATCGCCACATGTTGCTGGTGAATGTTGGATCCAGCAAGTGATTTGCTGACATTGTCTGACGGATCCAGTTTCAGTGGGTTCAGTTTTCAGAGGTTGCCGATCAAAAAGGACGATTGAAAAACGTAATAGTAATGGAGCAGAACACTAATTTCATTTCGATGTGTTTGTTTGGTTTTGTATGCGGTTGTTGCAGACTCTTTGGTTCATTTGCTGGCCTTTGAATGGATGCAGAACTTCAATTTTGGCACCGGATAAAGGTCGTGCAACGTTCTTTCGTTGAGGTGGTAAGTCTTCAACATCCAAATGATGGTTTGACCCAAATGGCTCGGGGAACAATTCAGCAACCATTTATATAATTCTCCGAACCACTTGACTTGCCACTTGTGGGACGGCCTTCCCGTTGTAAGTCTCTGGACCTTGGGAATCATCACAGCCTGGCAGCATGGCAAATCTGAATAACTTTTCGGGTCTCTGACAGGGCGTGGTGAACTTCCAGAAACACCAGGTGATTTGCACCACCCCAAAAAAAAAGTAATTGATTGATATAATAGATTGAACTTTTTGGCGGGTCAATTCCATTCCGGGGACGCTAGCGGGTCGGGGGCAAGAAGTAATCCCTTCCTTTTCATTTCGACGTCAAAACTTGCTTAGGCGGGAGAAGCGAATGGCACAGTTGGGGCAGGTGGGGGTCCCGCGTTTGTTGGAATTGTGGATGTTCGACGATTCTTGATTATTTTTCGTTGAGTTGCCTGTGGTCGAGCAAACTCCAGCGATACTGATGAGTGTTGTCTCCAGATGTCTCCAGTGTTTTCTTCCTGATGGTTCGTGCTCATCCGGAACATAGCATGCTCAACTGGATGTCGGACGAGAGAGTTCTGGAAACGTCCAATACCCCAATCCACCTCAAATCCAACAGCAAACGTCGATTCCAAAATTCCGAAGCCTTAAAATCAACACTTCGTCACTGTGAGAACTCCCCCAGATTCATCTTTGTGCGGAAGGAAGGGAGTTGCACAGCCACACGAAATGCTGTAGAGCAGGAAACTCCTGTTTGCAGTGTCCTGGCTATGCTACCGTGACTGCCCTACACTACTATCCGGGATCCTGAGCATCTGTGAAGCCAGATAAACAATCTCTGCTTCCTACCATGGGTCTTTGGGCAGATTGCTAGCATTTAGAACACATGATAAAAATGGATCGCGAGACTCTTTTTTTTACAGAGATTGGGCACGTAGGTGAGACTATAGGGACTTACCACCACCTATCAACGATTCATCGAAAGTCGCTAAGCTCTTTCAATCAAACCCACCAATCCTGTGTCGCCTCAGATGCTGGTGGCCTTGCTCAGTCGTGGCAAAATGCTTCCACGCAATGCGTCCTGGGTCCTGGTAAAGGGATGTGTAGATATAGGTTCTAGAAGTTCTAGTTCGGCTGACTTGGATACACAAAGGACCAGAACAGACCATCCGGGTGCCCCTAAGTGACCCAAGGATTTAGCCAATCTTTCGAAAGCCTCCAAAATTGCCCTGACCGCCCTTGGTCCAGTCAACTGCTCCGTGCCAGGCGTTGCTCACGTTGGGTCAAGCACAGCTGGCTGGTCTCAGGACCAAAACGACACACATCACATTGGGTTGTGGAGAGGACGAGGTGCTTCTGTGGGTCGATCAGTGCTCTGTGGGTGCCCCAAATGGATTGCAAAAGGCTGAGCATGGCTACGTGTGTCACCATAAACGGGGATGACTCCCATGGTTTACCATCCAAATGGGAGTCTTATTCATCAGCAGTCTACATTGAGGTTGATGGAGGTTGATTTGGTGTCATCATTCGTCCTGACAGGAGCCGAAAATAAGGAGGTCTCAGAGGAAACGACCACCGGTGCCTTTTTTCGCTTTCTCCACGACCCAATCACGAGCCCGGCGAGACATCATCCACACGGTGCCGACCGTTTCGAATCTCAGCCTCGACGAACGAGTCGGGAGGAGGTCGAAGCCTTGACTCAAGCCCTAAGAATCAAGGACCCTCAAAGATGAAGGTTTTGAGGGTCCAAACCCCTGCTATGCAGGGTCCAAACCCTCCATAGGAGGGTCCAATGATTCTTAGGAAGGGATGAACTTCAAGAGCTCAAGGTGTGTTGGCACCCCCAATTGACTCGGCTTCCGACCCTCGGTTCTGCAGCGTGTTGGCACCCCCCCTCTTGCGCTCTGCGCCCAGCCGGTTCACCCGAAATCCGCTGACTTGACGAGACCGTCGGACCATCTGAGGATGGAATTCCAAGACTAGGCTTAAAATCCGACCTCGAAGTTGGTAGAAAGCTGGGGGCTGGGCATGTTCAGAGTTGTTGGAAGCCGATTCAGCTTTCTACCAGTTTGATGTGGGCCTTTACCAGCCGTTCACCTGAAGCAAGTTCAGCGAAACGACGAAATCAACGAAGACTCGACGAAAAAAAACGACCTTTGACTCGCAGCCCCGACCTTTGAGTTGTGACCAGGACCAGTATCGACAAGCTAAAAAAATTAGAAGTTACCTTTTCTTAGCTGAGCGATTCATACCCCCGAATCATACCCCTCATAAAGTATAGGTGTAAGAACACTACCTGGACCCTCCTGTCGGGGTGCCCTGTTTGGAAGCCATCCTAGGTAGTGTGGGGTAGTCCAGCCAGGACACCCCGACAGGAGGGTCCTGGTACAGCGTTTCTTCTGATCTGCAAGACCTGCACGACTTGCACCAGGATCGATGAAGCCTTGAAGACGGCCGCTGAGGCAGTAGCGGCAGTGCTCGGTTTTCGCCGCGGCCGGAGTCGCGGGCTGCGTGTGAGCTGTGTTCCTTGGAAAGCAGATCGAAAGTGAGCCGTTTCGGTGTGTCCTAGTGACCTAGCGTGACTTATCGTGAAGTGACAAATGTCCCGCAAAAAGAATAGAAAACACAAGAAACACACCTACTTGGACATGTTGGAGAGTTCAGCTACGGGGTGTGGGCTTCGCTTTGACTCGATTTGACATTGTTTTGAAGCCGAGCGACGCACGCGTTTGTCGGCTCGGCACGGCGAGGGTTTGTTCGCCCAGCATCTACACATATATCTACACCCTAAGAATCAAGGACCCTCAAAGGTGAAGGTTGTGAGGGTCCAAACCCCTGCTATGCAGGGTCCAAAGCCCTCCATAGGAGGGTCCAATGATTCTATAGGGCAATATCTATACACTGGTGTTTAGTCCCATCCAGTGAGTGGATGTTCTGGGCACCCTTAACCTCCATGGATAACACCCAGTCTTGTTACTGCTGGTTTGATGGGCTATGGATTTGATGGGCCCCCCATGCCACAGGGTTTGCCTCACAGTCGCCCTTCCCAGTCGCCCAAGTTACATGCGGCAGGCTTGGCCCCTTGGGCCGCGCGAGCCGCGCGATCGCCGCGCGAGATCTCGCGGCAGCCGCGCAGGCGATTGAGATCGCAGAGGCTGCTGGTGCCGAGCGGGAAAAGGCCAACGTCATGTGCCTCGAGGCCATCGGACCGAAGGATCAAAGAGCACCGCGTGCCACCGGGCACGGCCACTCGATCGGACGGGACACGGGACACGGACGGGACACGGCCATGATGTGTTTGGACTCTTCGTCGTGTCCTTTTTCACCGCTTCACCGGGGACCGAGGTAACTCGGACAGAACACGAAGATGCTGGGTTGTGGTGCAGTTTGCTTGGTTGTGGTGGTATGTTGTGGTAGTATGTTGTGGTGGTGGTGGTGGTGCTGCTGCTGCTGCTGCTGTTGGTGGTGATGGTTTTCTGCACGTGATTTTTGGGACGTATGGATTTGAGTGTTTGTGGTGTTTGTCATCCACTGAACCGTTGGCATTCGTTGGCATGGAAGAATGTCGGATTCACATGTGTTTTTTCACGCAGACATGATTTGAGGAATCGAAGTCACAACTTAAAGGAAGTTCCTCTATCATTGAAAGTGACATACCATGAAATACCTCCGTAATTACCGGGAACACCATGTTGACAAGAAATTCTGGGATTGATGGTAAAATATGGCCAACATTGGCAAACACATGTGTATTTTTGTTGCAAATGCAAATTTTGCTAGTTATCTACTGTAATACTGGCTATTGTGGTTTCAATCATTTATGTTTCCGCTGTTAACTTTCGTTGGCTGGGATGATTAACAACCCCAAAGACTAGTTTTGCAAATGGATTGCAAGCAGGGCAGAGATATATAGTTTGGGTCTGTCCTATTACCTGTAATTAACAGTCAGTAAACGATTAGCAAGGCCTTTACCAACCGTCATCCTGTTACTGAGGATGGACATGGATAGACCATGATAGACCCAAAGTATTTAACTTTATGTCGTGGGTAATTCTTGTGGCCTCTCACTCGATAATCCACCTCCGCTGATGGCCAGGCTGATATCCACTTCACGAACGGCAACGCTAATAAGGCGTTAGTCTTAGTGAACAAGGCGCAGAAGCTGGGGAGATGTGGACGGATCACATCTAGGATTGTGGGGGGGTGGTTCTTGATGGGGACACAGACACCTTCCATTGATATAGGTCATTCCTGGGTAATGTAGACTCTTGAGGACCATAACCCCTTCAATTTGAATTGGAACTGCTGCTTCCAGTCATTTTCCCCTCCACCTGAACTCCGCCTGTTTCGCTCCACAGGCCTTAGCGATCTTCCAGGAGTACCGCGACAGCCGCGGAGAGTGGATCGCGCCCCTCGGCGCCACTGACGCGTGACGCGTGCGGTGGAGGACGTGGTGCATTCAGTGGCGAACAGAGAGAGCAGAAGAGGACAGAACATGGCCACTGATGTGGTCATGTCTTTCAAGCTAAATCTGAGTGGAATTCAAGACTTCCGTTCCACTCACTCTTTAGTTTCACTGAACCTCAGAACTTCATGACCCCCCCCAAGCTTCATTGATTTTGTTTCGCCGAGGATGAACATCCTGGAGCAGATCACCGGCCCGCCGGAGGACGGGAATCACTTCGTCCGTCCAGTCGGAAGGAACGGGGTGAGAGGACCGGGACCTCCTGGCCTGAAGGGGTGGTATGGTTGACTGGTCGGCCCGAAGGGGTGGCATTTCGAAGAAACATCGGAGTTTGGGGATGCTTTGGGGTCGTTTAAATAAAGGGGTTTAAGGATGGTTGAATGAAGGGACAATTGAACATCTACCGGAAACCCGGGTGTGAAAACACCAAAAAGACATGTCATGTTTTTGAAGGTTGACAGGGCACTGGAGTCATTCTTGATGACTGTTACCTTCTGATTTTCAACAATTCAAGAACCAGGCTGGTGAGGCCAGGCTTTTCCACACGACCCAGTGTTCGCTTGCTCTGGTCAGCACTGGGCCGTTGGGCCATCTAGAGTGAAGGAATGTTCGAACAATGGGGCGTGCCATCCCGTTGCCATAAAATTTCTACAATGCCGCCGCATGAATAAGATTTGCGCCCATGTCGACTGCATGGCTCACTGATGTGACTGGTGCCCGCTGGCCCGTCTGGTCAAATTCAATGAGTGCTGTTGAAGGTGCCGGCTGAGATACTCAACAGTCATTTTGGGATGGCGAGGTGATGCGACGAACTTGAGAAAATGGAGAAAAAGATGGTTTTGTCATGGTTTTGTCCAGTGTCTCCCTTACTTTTTTTTCAGTGTGGTTTGTTTAGGTTTCGTCCGTTGTAGTAAGTCTACCTCGAGCTAGGTCGGCAGCTTCTTCACTTCATTTCTCCGCCTGTTTGTCCCGAAGCTGAGATACAGGACGATGAGTCAGCACTTGACACACATAGTTGCTCCCCCCCAAAAAAGGGTGTTGGAGATTCAAGAATGACACCGGAAACGAAAGGGACTGTGTTGTTTTGGATGCAGGGTCTACTGCTTTGGCTGTTTGGTTGACCAAGTCTTGCGTGCTTCAGCTGCAATGCCGGCCTTCCATTTGCGCAAGACGAAGGGTGATGGAACCATCTCAAATTCTTTGCTGATGAAACCTTGGTACTGAACAAAAACGAGGTTTAAGGAGGAAATAGCAAGGACTAAACACATCATGCAATGTTTGTGTTGTATTTCATGTTTATTGATTATTCTTCTTGTTCTGTTTCTCGTGTTTCTTTGTTTTGCTGCTTCTTGTTTGTTGTGTTATGTTTGTTTTTTTTGACGGTGGCGCTTGATATGGGATATTTCGATCATCGATAATGTGATCGCATGTCTGCTTTTCCATCCTTTGGCTAAGACCTCCATCAGAAGGTACCAGGCAGGGGCGTGCAAAGCGTCCTCAATTGGTGTCGGCCACCACGATGAGGGTCTCGCTCGCATTGCAGCCAACTTGGAAGAATTGGCAGAAGATTCTTCTGAGAACAAAGTATGCAGTGATGATGCGGAAGGATGGGACATGTCTGTGTCCCGTGACGGGTTTTATCTCGTCATCGCAGCTTTGGCCCATGCCGCAACCATCAACGGCACGAAGGATGAGGCTTTTCTTTTCACTCATCATCTGTTCGCGTGGGCCATGATCTACACTGCGCAAATCATTGCAGTTGGAGGAGAACTCATTCAAATCAATATCTTTGGCCTTATGGCCTCAGGGATCTGGCCAACTGGGTTCTTGAACTCATTGACAAGGTCATCAGACAAAATGATTTGCGGGGCGAAGAGCGCAGCGTCTGGGGGCGACGACAATAATTGCTCTTACGAACCCAATCTTCGGGATTCCGGGGAACTTGGCTCCGGTGTGAGGGTCAAGTCGGTGAAGGACGCTGAGGGAAACGTTGTCAAGGAGAATGGTGTCCCCCTCAAGGCAAGGAGAATCTCTGGCCCTCAGGGACCCCATGAGACCACGTCCTTTGAACTCTCCAAGAAGAATGGAGCATGGGAGTACAAATTCTTGGGCTTCAATCGCTTGGTGGCTCGGCTGTTTGTCAAGTCCAACCCTGAGACTGCCACCAGCGAACTTCCTCCTGGGTCAGATAGTACGTTGTCTTACAGGTCTATTCTGAGGCAACCGGCGAACTCTTCTGATCTTGCCCTCTTGGAGGAAATTTACCGACGCAAGGGCTGGGACTGGTGTGGTTCCAGCACCCCTGGATATTTTTGCTCACTTGTTCTCTGGCCATCGTAGGTCGATGGACTATCAGGAGTGCCTTGAGCAATGCGGCATTCGAGCAATTTCAGTGGATATCATTTTTGATCTCCAATACGGTGATCTTTGCCGTGGGGAGACCTTCGACCTTTTTCGTGCTGCTCTGGAGCAAAATGTCCTTCAAGGAGTTCTGGCTGGACCTCCTTGCGAGACGTGGAGCAAGGCGAGAGGTGTTGAACTGCAGGATGGGACCATCGGCTCATCGGCTCCCGGATTGTTCGATCTAATGTCCACCCATACGGACTGCCATGTCTTTCTCGAAAGGAGGGTGTACAGGTGGCCTTCGGCAGTCTGTTGCTTTCGGTGGCAATCCGCCTTCTGGTGGTTGCATTGGTGCATGGGAAGACGGGCATCCTCGAGCATCCTGCAGAGCTCGATACGGAACCGAATATGGTATCTATCTGGAAGACGCACATCATACGCACCTTACTTCGTTTTCCTCGCTGTCGCAAGCTTTTGGTTTTGCAAGGTTACTACGGTGCCAAATCCAAGAAGCCGACCAATTTGCTCTTGGTCAATGGCTCGGTTTTGCTGCGCGAGATCAACCTGTCTCCCAACTGGAGTGTCGATTGGCAAAGACGAGAACAACAAATCGAAGACAGGGGAGCTTAAGGCTTACACCCCTGCTTTCTGCTCGGCTTTCGCCAAAATTTCTGAAGCTAGTCAGCACAGCCCTAGCTCAGATGAGGCCGTTCCCTCCTGGTTCGAAGAGATTGTGGCCGAGATGACATCCGGCTTCGATCACCGGGCGACGATGGGGGATGATTTTGGGAACAGGTTTGATGCATGCCTAATTAATAATTGAATGCAAAGCGGTCACAGGCACTGCCGTTGGCTATCGCAAATGAAAAGGATGTTTGTTTTCCCCAAACAGTTTACTGTTAGGGGTTCTCAATTCTTTCTTAAGATGTGTCCGCCCTTTGTGTCACTGCTGGTGTCCGCCCTTTTCCGCTGGCCATGTAGCATTTCTATTCATTTGTCTCCCAGGTCTGTCGCTGCTGGGTCCGCCCTTTTCCGCTGGCCATCTAGCATTTCTATTCATTTGCAACATTTCTATTCACTTGTCTCCCAGGTCTGTCACTGGTGGTGTCCGCCCTTTTCCGCTGACCATGTAGCATGTCTATTCATTTGTCTCCCAGGTCTGTCCGCTGGCCATGTAGCATTTCTATGCATGTGTCTCCCAGTCTGTCGCTGCTGGTGTCCGCCCTTTTCCGCTGGCCATGAGCATTTCTATTCGTTTGTCTCCCAGGTCTGCCCTGCTGGTGTCCGCCCTTTTCTGCTGGCGTTGCAACATTTCTATTCATTTGTCTCCGAGGTGTGTCACTGCTGGTGTCCGCCCTTTTCCGCTGGCCATGTACCGTTTCTATGCATTTGTCTTCCAGGTCTGTTGCTGCTGGTGTCCGCCCTTTTCGGCTGGCCATGTAGCATGTCTATTCATGTGTTTTCCAGGTCTGTCACTGCTGGTGTCCGCCCTTTTTCTACTCATTTGTCTCCGAGGTGTGTCACTGCTGGTGTCAGCCCTTTTCCGCTGGCGATGCGACATTTCTTATCTTTCCCCACATAGTTTGCCGTTACGTAGGATTTCTCAATTCTTTCTTAAGATGTTTTTTTCCGAATGCGTAGCGAAGGGTTCCCGTTTATAGTTGGGGGTCTGGGGGTTGGAGCTGTGTTCGCGTGGCTTGCGTCGTGTCGTCGTCTCTCGTCGTCTGTCGTCGTCTGTCGTCGTCTCTCGTCGTCTGTCGTCGTCTCTCGTCGTCTCTCGTTGTCGTCGCGTCTCAAATTTGCTGCCATTGGGGGAAGCTTTTGCAAGTGACTTTGCATGGATGTGTCACGTGTCAGTTTGCGACGCTATTCCATTGTGATTTGCATGACAACGACATGTCGCGCAAGAAACGTGATGCACTTCGCTGCACAGGCGCAGCATTTTGTGAGATCCGCAGATTACGGCGCAGTTCCATTGGGATTAGCGCTTGGAGAGTCGTCTTTTTGGGGTGTTGGATGTGGCCGTGCCATTGGGATTTGCGTTTCAGGGTGTGGCATCGAAGCTCTGTTTTCGTGACAAGTCTCAGCTGAAATGGCGATTTTGATGGATGGGAGTGTGCTCTGAACGGGTCGAAATCATTCCAAACGTGTGGTGTGGTGCAAATTTTGTTGAAGCTCACATGCGATGATATTGTCACTTTTCGTGGCAGGCGCAGGACTTCGTGCGGGCTTTGAAGCGCGGAAGTGCAATTCTCGTGGCAGGCGCAGGGAATCGTGAGGTTGTGAGTTGTGGTAGAGGTGAATGTCGCTGTCCCATTGGGATTGGCGTGTGAGCGGATGTTGTTTGGAGGGGCTGGAATCGCGAAACTGCTTGGCAGGGCTGCGTGATGTGTGTGCTCCCATGGGTGTTTCCGCTTGACTTTTGGAGGAAGTCTCGTACGAAACGCTCGTTTTGCAGACTTTGACGCGTGAGTTTTTGAGGAAGTCTCGTACGAAACGCTCGTTTTGGAGACTTGACGCGCAACCCTCTGCGGAGATCGTGCGTGTCGAGTGCGCGAGATGCAGGCGAGAGTGCGATTTGTCCCATGCGCGCGCAACCCTCTGCGGAGATCGTGCGTGTTGAGTGCGCGAAATGCAGGCGAGTGTGCGATTTGTCCGGTGGAGCTGGAAGCTGAGAACTGGCGACCTTGTAGTACAACTGTAGTACGTGGAGTATCTGGGGAGCTGGAAGAGAGTCCCACGAGAGTGTCCCGCAACAGTGTCCCACTAGAGTGTCTCAAAAGAGTGTCCCTTAAGAGTGTCCTACAGGAGTATCCCACAAGAGTGTCCTCCAAGAGTGTCCCACAAGAGTGTCCCACAAGAGTGTCCCACAAGAGTGTCCTACAAGACTGTCCCACAAGAGTATCCTACAAGAGTGTCCCACAAGGAGTTCCACAAGAGTGTCCCACAGAGTGTCCATCCCACAAGAGTGTCCTACAAGAGTGTCCCACAAGAGTGTCCTAGAAGAGTGTCCTACAAGAGTGTCCCACAAGAGTTTCCTACAAGAGTGGCCCACAAGAGTGTCCTACAGAGTGTCCCGCAAGAGTGTCCTACAAGAGTGTCCTTTGGACATATTAGTTTTTCGATCGTGTTTGCATTCGGGTTCGTTTGTTCCATCTTGTTTCGTTTGTCTTTAAAGTGATTTCTTTACTTTTGTCTCTCAGGTTCGCTGCCTGCACTGCTGGTGTCCGCCCTTTTCCGCCGGCCATGCAGCATTTCTATTCATTTGTTTCCCATGCGGTTTGTTTACTTGTGTTTTCCAGGTTCGGTGCCTGCACTGCTGGCATCCGCCCTCTTCCCCTCTCCAGCATTTCTATTCATATTTTCGTGCACAGAAAGGGTTTTGCAAAAACCTATTCTACTAACATCGTGGAAGGCGCGGGACATTCGTAGAACCCAAGGCTATTCGTGGACAGTTCGTGGAATGGTGGGCCAGTAGGAGAACTGACTGCAACGAAATCCCAGAAACCTTCGCAGAACTTCGTGGAAGGTATTTTGATGCACAAACTTCGTATAAGCGATTTTTGCTGACCCCCTTTTTCCACACACCCTCCATTTAGCCTTCGTATTTGTCTCCCCGGTGATTTTCTGCACTTCCCCAAACAGGTTACTGTGCTGTTAGGGGTTCTTAATGCTTTCCAAAAGTGTCTGCCTTGCTGCCGCACAGCGTGTCCGCCTTCCGTCCGGCTTGTCTCCCTTGGTCTCCCTTCTTGTTGGTCACAGTGTCCCCCCTTCTTGTTGGTCACTGTGTCCGCCTTGTCTCCCTTCATTCTTTCTTTGTCTCCGGTCTTGTCTCCCTTCTTGTGGGTCATTGTGTCCGTCTTGTCTCCCTTCTGTTTCCTTTTGTCTCCCTTGTTGTCTCCCTTCTTGTTGATCATTGTGTCCGTCTTGTCTCCCTTCTGTTATCTTTTGTTTTTGTCTCCCTCTTGTTGGTCATTGTCCGCCTCGTCCCCTCTGTCTCCCTTTGTCTCCGGTCTTGTCTCCCTTCTGTTTTCTTTTGTTTCCCTCCTTGTTGTCCGTGTTGTCTTCTTTCTGTTTCTTTTTGTCTCTGGTCTTGTCCCCCTTGTTGTTGGTCAATGTGTCCGTCTTGTCTCCCTTCTGTTTCCTTTTGTGTCCCTTCTTGTTGGTCATTGTGTCCGCCTTGTCTCCCTTCTTGTCTCCTTTGTCTCCAGTCTTGTCCCCCTTCTTGTTGGGCACTGTGTCCGTCCTGTCTCCCTTGTGTGTCCTTTTGTCTCCCTTCTTGTCTCCCTTGTTGTCCCCCTTCTTGTTGGTCATTGTGTCCGCCTTTTCTTCCTTCTTTCCTTTACATGTGTCATGTGCCTCCTCTCTCCCCCCTCTCGCTTGCAACCCTTCACCCCAGCTGCTCTGCCCTGCAATCCTTTACATTTGTCTCCCTGTGTCTACATTTGTCTCCCAGCTCTGGACTGCTGTGTCCGCCTCTGCCTTGCAATCCTTTACATTTGTCTCTTAAGTGGAGTGGAGTGGGGTGGAGTGGAGTGGAGTGGTGTGGTGTGGTGTGGAGGGGAGGGGAGGGGAGTGGAGTGGAGTGGAGTGGAGCCTTGCAATCCTTTGTCTCCCAGCTCTGGACGTTGCAAGCTCTAGTTGCAGAGTGTTCCGATTTTGAAAACGCAAACTGTTTGGGGTCTACGGTGGTGTAATTGGTCCAGTGTTTTAACCATAAGTAGTGTGGGGGATCACTGCGAAGATTCAGGAATGGGCTGTTTCCCCATGGAGCATCCGTGTCACTATATAGTCCACCGTTGGACTGTTGGACAAGCATGCGCATGGTATCGTGCTCGTCCACCCTGAGGAACCAGGCGCACCGATTGGGACAGAAACACGTGAGCTCTGTTGTTCGAGGGGTTGACATGTGTCGACCACTTGGCGTGTTCTTTGCAAGAGCTGTAGATCCAGCCTGCCCAGAGAAGGTCGTTTTGCTGCCAAGACTGCACTCTTCAGTTCCAAAAGGCACATCGCTTGCCATTTCCCCAAGTGACCACATCCAACATCGGCTCAAAATAGGTGCGAAACATTGAGCATATTGTGTGGTTTAACCGCATTTGTTGCACCTTCCCAAGTTCTTTGATGTTCTTTGTTCACGTTGTTCTGTGATAACGCCGCCTCCTGCGGCTTTCAAACGGCCACGCGCGATCGGAGGATCCTGCAGCCTTGCAGCAAGGGGACTGGACCGAGGAGCAGTGGGCTCAATGGAATGCCTGGTCACTGGGCCTGTGAATGGGGCCCCACCGATCGACCGGATGGGGCGGGTCTGGGGCGGGGAAGACGAGACGAGACCAGCGGTGGGGAGAGGGGGTGGCCGCCAGGGTGGGGTGCCGGCGCATCATGTCCGGGTTCGGCGGGAGTATCCAAAATGGGTAGGGTGTGATCCTTTTGGGAGGGGTTTATATATACCGGTATATAATATATGTATGGTGTTGAGTGAAAAGAGGTGCGAACATTGGTTCAAAAACAGTGCCCAATGAAGCAAAGAAAGGCCAAGAAGGTGCTAAAAACACGGTTGGAACACGCAACGTGGCCAACGTGTGCAGCCTTTGATTGACTAAGTGAGAAGAACACCCTATAGCCTATATCCTAAAGTTGGTGAGTATTGGAAGATGACAAGATCATTTCTTGACCTGGTAAGCAAAATGTCCTTATTAGGTTCATGTTTCCATAGTTGAGCTCTTTTTCTTGGTGAAGAGTCATCTCTAACTGGAAAGATATCCATTTCTTGTAAAGAAACACCTTCCGAATGACAGACCAACCTGGGTTTACCCAGTCCCAACCAGAAACAATTCAGTTGTTCCAGCGCCATAGATCCGAACGTGGACAGGGAAGCCAGGTCGACTGGGAACCTGTCGGTCCAGGACAGCGCATGGTTGGAGACACCTGGATTGGTTACCATTCACTCTGCAAGACAGAGGCTTTGAAGGATACAACACGATTAGAACCAATGAATCGAACCAAGGACATGGTCTACCGGTCTTTGTAGCTATGCGTTTTCGCTTCCGCCTTTTCAATCAAGACTGCTGGAATCAATCAGGTCCAGATAAGTCCATGGTGTGTTTGATGTGTTTGTGATGTTCTTTTTGGTTTCCTTTCCTCCTCTTAATTTCCGGCCCCAGGGACTCCCACTCCCGAGTTGGATGCCCCAGCCATGAAAAAAATGCCGAGATTGGGAACTGTCAGTGAAGTTTCAAAGGTCATAGGTTTGTGGTGAGATTTGGATGAGATGAACTTCCATCATGTGCATCCACATCCTGATCACCCCGAAAACGCACGGTAATATAATGTAATATACGTAATTAGATGTTTTTTTGTGTTCAATCAAGCTCCAATGCAGGCATTTTCCAGGGGTAGAAGGGTTTGGAGTTGAGTCGTCCGTATTTGGGTCGAAATCACTTCGCATCGTTTCCTTAACCGCTTAGTTGTTCACAAAGCCTGCTTTTGTTTGGATCTCTTGCTAGTTGAATTAGTCCTGGAAGCCTTCATTGTGGACCAACCTGAAAGCTTCGGATTGGTCCCACACGGAGGTGCAGGGAGGTCCCTTTGCGACGCCCAGGCAACAACAGCAGGGCCAGCAGGGCGGCAGCCAGGTACCTCAAGCCATTCAAAGAGCCACGGAGGCCCTGGGGACGCCCTGGACGCGTAGACTGCGCGCGCGACTGGGAGGCGTTACGTGGTTGCGACGAGACTTACGTGTTTTCTGCAGAATATGTGGAGATGCAAATGTTAGCAACCAACAGAAAGTGAAGGAATATGTGGGAAGCAACCAACAGATGGTATTTGCAGAAAGTGAAGATCTTTGTCACCCCAAACATCCCGAAACGACTGGGTGGGAAGTCATGTGTCTTCCCCACCGAAAGAAGTCCCTCTGACCTAACAAGGGACGCTACTAGGAACAAAGGGCATTGCTACGCACGGAGCAAGAAGCTACAAAAGTAGCTCCCGGCATTATTACTACTAGGAGCAAAGATACAGTAGCTACTACCATGGGCACCACCCCTGGTGCAAAACAAAGGTTTTTTTGTTAAAAACCTGGTTTTATACATTACAACCCTCTTTTTGAGAGGGGGATATCAAAAAACAGGTTTTTGAGACTTCAGGATTTTGTGCTGCTGAAAGCAAACATGAATTGTAGCGGCTGATCAATTGGACACGTGCCTTTCACCCTGCAACTGCAGAACTAGTTTCCGCGTCGACGGCTAGCTAAGTCTAGCTAGGTCTGAGGGAACAAATATGTGTACTTACTTATTTGTGACTTAGCTTGGACTTAGCTAAGGTAGATTTAGCTTGGATTTAGATTAGACTTTGGCTCAACTGAGCTTGGCTTCCTAAGGCCTAGCCACTAGCCAAGCACACCTTAAGTCTAAGCTAACTCCGAGAAGAGTCTTCCGACAGCTCTTGTTGCTAAATGTTGAAGGGGAAAAGTGCAACAAACTTATTTGACTGTACTTGTCACTTCGTGTAAAGGCAATGCGTGTCAGAAAACTGTCTGGCAGGGTTCCCCCTGCACTTCAGGCTTAAACGGAATATGTGTCATTGTGAAAACCGTGTTTCCATCAACATTTTCTAGGACTTAGATTGGAATTACTTTGGACTTAGTTTGGACTCGGACTTAGGTCGGGCATAGGTTGGATGTACCAAGTCCAAGCCAAGTAAGTCCAAGTCAGCCGGATGTGAAATAACTTTGAATCAGCTAAGTCAGTCAGGCCTAAGCAGTTACTATCCAGAGTTAGCTAAGTCAAAGCTAAATCAAACCTAATCTGTGTAAAGGTTAAGTGACTTAAAACAAGGATTACTAGTAGGTTAGCAGGTTTATAACCTATATTACATATGGGTTGCAAGTAAAGTTGAGGATATACCCGGCAAGTAGGGATATTGGAGCAACAATGAAGTTGTTGACCAGACTTCTCCAGGAACGCATCGGCAATGAGGTGGAAATACAGGTCAGGTGGAATATGACAAATACCTCCGCTGGCATGTCAATTTCTGGATCGCGGATCTTGGAGGGGTCACCCAGTGCCAGAAGACTTGTGAGACCACAGGTTGGCGCTTGTGAGATTTGCAAGTCATGTTGCGGTAAGTTTTAGCACTGGAACAGGCCACAGGGTGGAAAACCGGGTTTTTACCCGTAGGCGGCCCGTAAAAAAATCCGTAGCCGTAGAAAACCCGTAAAAACCCCGTGGACAACCCATAAAAACCCGTAGGAAAATACGTAGTTTTACGTAGTTTTCCCGTAGTTTCCAACATCCTGGGATGTTGGGTTTTGAGTGGTTTTTGAATGCTCTTGGCCTGATCCGAGCGTTCCTGATCGCAGCCCAAAGGGATGCTTGCTGGGTCGAGGGCTAGCTAAGTCTATAGCTAAGTCCAAGGTAGACATATTAAAAGTTTTAGTACGAGTAGTGACTTAGCTTGGACTTTGCTAAGGTAGACGTAGCTTGGATTTGGAATAAATCAATTAGGCTGAACTTAGGTTGGGTTTCCCATTATATGTCGGTCCGAGCCAAGTCTCAATCTTGGTCTAAGCGAAGCCTAAGCCAAGTCCCACCTGAGTCTATTGAAAGTTCTTCCAAATCTTACTGGGGAATATGTGTCAGAAAATTGTCTGACAGTTCTTCCCTGTACTTCAGGCTTAAGAGGAATATGTGGCATTGTCAAAAACTTTTCTGACAGATTGGCTATAGGACTTAGCTTAGACTTACTTTGGACTCGGCTTGGACTTAGGTCAGGCAAGGGTTGGACTCACTAAGTCCAAGCTAAGTCCAAGTTAGCCTTATGGTGACTTCACTTTGATGTAGCCAAGTCAGACCTAAGCACTCACTATAACCTCCATTTTAGAGTTATACAACCATTTCCAAGCTGAATCACTTCGAACCTTTACCAAGGTTAAGTGACTAACACCAGAGTGACTAGTAATCTACTGTTGCATTACGGACTTATCACCTTTAGGTTATAAGTTCAAGTTAGCCATATGATATTCCCGGATATTTCCGGCATTTGATCAAAGCCTTAATGAAGACCCTTAAAAGGTTGTGATGATTCCCGTGCTGTGTTCGCATGAGCAGTTAGCCACTTCCAATAACTACAGCTACACCGTTTGTTTCCTCCAGCGAATCAATGATGTGTTTGAATACCAAGTATGTACATGAATCAAGCTGTGACTGTTGTTTTCTGTGCGGATGATGTGTGGAACGGTGTTGGGAACCAAGGTCTCCTACATCCATGTAAAAAACTACAACGGAAATCATTGTCCTAAAACCGGGTTTTTCAATCCACAACCGTAAAAAAACAGGTCGTAAGATATAACCTTCCTGTTTCATGGTTTTGAGGGCTCATGGTAGTAACTAGAAGCAAGACAGCAGTCACCGTCACCAGTGACCGGCCGGCCGTGAGCAACACGGCCGCGTCAGGAGCCCCGCGCGCGTCGGCGCACCGATCCGGGCGAGAAGCCGGGGCCTAGAGGGACCCCAGGGGGACGAAGAGGACCTGAAAAGCGAGTAGTTGGAGGGCTTCGATCCTGAAAGGAGCTCCTTTTTGTGACACCTTGGTCACCTTGATGACAGGAAACCCCATTTGGCCATGCTGGGGCCAATTGCTTGGGTTCATTTGGGTCCGTGATGCTTCCGATTCCCAAGTTGGGGACCCTTCAACCAACACATTGTTTTTTTGGGGAGCTGTGAGGCACCAGGCGTGAGGCGTGAGACAGTCGGAGGAGGATTCAGGTGCTAAGACAGTCGGTTGGAGACTTAGCAGATTAGTTTGGTCAACATGGTCACTTGGTGACTCTGGGTGGTGTTTCTTGGTGCTTCTTCTTTTTAAGCCATCTGAAGTGCGTTGACTTGGTGTAGCAACCATGTGCACAAGTACCAGCGGCCATGTGGCCAGTGACCGGAGAAAGCCTGGGATCCTGGGCGATCGGATGGCGCCAGACCATGGGATGTTAGAAGGTAATTACTTTCAAGCTAGTAACAAGTGCATCGCTTCTAGTAACAAGTGCCTTACTAGTAGTAACAAGAAGCTAAAAGAAAAACGATCAATTTAATTTGTTACTAATAGCGAACATTGTTACGACTAGTAAGGCACTTGTTACTAGAAGCGATGCACTTGTTACTAGTAGCGAACCATGGGATGTTAGAAGGTCAATGGAGTGATACTCCTCTACCAGGACCCTCCTGGCGCTGTTTGGAGACCCGACCACAGGTGGTGTCACGAAACACCGGACTTGTCACGAAACACCTGGCCAGGAGGGTGCTGGTATATTCCTTTATTTTCACCCAGCACCAACCCACTCCAGTGGCGAACTTTGCCTACAAAACACCTAGATGAACAGACAAGTTTGGGTTGAATATGATCCAAATCACTGTAAGAGTCGGTGAACAGTGCTGTTTGGAGTCGGAGAATCAGGCTGCTACGTATCCCCCACTTAGGCCGACATAAACCCTGGAGGATGCCGGCGTTTCGACTCCTTCGAAAGCCTTGTTTTGGGGGCCCTGTTGATTTGGAGCCCTCTCTTGAGGCTAGAATTGGCGCATGTGAGTGCGGGATCCTGGCGGATGGAGGAACGGAACACGAGGGATTGGAATCCTCAGGTCAAAAAGAAAGGAAAGAGTTCCAAGAGACAGAGTATATATATATAAGTACGTATCAATTCGAGACACCTTCTTTTTACGGCAACTCTCTTTTTTCGGCCTAGATGGGGAAGCTGACCTATAGTAATTGAATCCAGAACCATATATGGAACCCTTTCTATTTGGTAGTAGCCATTAGGTTCTTTATTGCATTGGTGTCCATCGAACATCGGTGTGGCAGGACGCACCCTTGGTGTGCGTGGACAGGCAAAACACTTCGATCATAGACATGGCATCTCAGGTGAAACTCTCAACAAAATACTTCAACCCAACAGCAATGGCCCAATGGCCTCCATCTTAATAGCGATGGCCTCCACCCAAAAGCTCCACAGAAACCTGGATCAATGATCAACCACCGACTCAACGCGATGAGTTACTCCACTCCTTCCACGAAACATCAGCAGCTCCGACTCACTCCGGATCCGATACCGGACATCGGAAGGCCACCGGTGCCACCGGTGCGTTTCGCGACTGGAAGCCACGGTCGCGACCGCGCCGTACCCGTCACTGCGGTTCATCGGTTCGCGACTAGAAGCCACCAGGTTCCTATTCTGAGTGTCCCAGGGTATGTGGATGGTGCGTGGTTGCTCAAACACTATAGGTTGGAGGTGTTCTTCGTTTTCAGCTGCCTTCTTCGCAACAACGACCACCAACGCCCCGGATGGGGGAATGCAAAGGTCTCGAAAGCAACTGGAAAGAAGGTGCACCGACTTCAACCTGCGAACTGGAGATGAGGTTGAAGTTTCTGCGAGCAGTTCATGGCTGCGATGACTCTTATGATACACCCCGTCTCAGACTCTTCAGACCTTAGGCTCGATAGAGCGGTGCGATCCACCGAGTCTGGAGTCCGGAGCGTGGGTGTACACCACCCCGGGTCGCATCGCAGTGAAGCAGAAAAGGCGCCGAAAAGGGCTGTGAGTGAGTCAGACTCAATCCATACCACACAGCACCTGAGGTGCCGTGCGTCAAGAGGCACGAAAGCATGACGACCGGTCGCTTTTTGGAACCGGAACCGTGTGCTTTGCATCAAGCGACAACTGTTGAAGAGTTCCTTCTACCGCCAGGGCCAGGTTTTGCTTTCGCTTCAACCTTTTTAGGTCACCATCATATTAGGAGAAGCCCACTGTGCTGACTAGGGAGATTAGGCTCCGCCTTTTCATCAAAAGCACGACTTTGCGCTGCCAGACCTCTCCCACCTACAAACACGTTGTTGAGGTGGTGTGGATCCATCAAACACAGAGCTTCCTTCAAATTCTATCCAAACATCATGGGCATGCATGGGCATTTTGTTTGTTCAAACATGTTGTTGTTGTTGTTGTTGTTGTTGTTGCCATTTTTCTCTATAAAAGGCTTCAACCCTCGGACAGACGGGCCAGACTTGGGGTTTGGATGCTGCACCCGCACGCCGCTGGGCCTCAGGCACCGACACCGTCCGCAAGAGGGTGGAAGAGATCGTGAGGCACGCGTTGGAGTCCCCGTTTCCTGGTCTACAGGCCTGCGTCAAGTGACCGAACCAACCAGAGGAGCAAGTTCGGTCACTTGGAAGAACCCCAAGAACCATAAAAGACTCAGACTCAGACGCTTTTCGTTCTCCTTTCTGTAGCCAGTCTCACCCCTTTTTTCCTTCCCGGCCGAAATCGCATCGCCCACGGCCTTTCGACCTGCTCCACACATCGGAGCGAGCGGCCAGACGGCGGCCAGACGGTTGAGGATCATTCGATACATCACGTGATGGCATGTTCTGTTGGCGTTCAGAGTTGTTTGCCTGTTCGTTCTGTTCTCTTCCAAGCACCGTGGGTCGGGGTTGGTTGGCCTTCAGCGACTTGGAACCCGACAGTCACTAGCCGACATGTAGCCGACAGGGGCGTCGTCTAGTCTATTGAATTTTGTCTCATGATACTGTAGAATCATAGCATCAGAAACAACATCCAATTGACCGCAGCTTTGGGTGTGTTTTTCCTAGACCCCATTCAATAGTTTTTGTTTGCAGCAAACTGGAGTTGTCATTGTGGAAGAAGCTGCAAGAGACTTGGGGAACCACTTGCCCGCCCCAAGCAGCTTCTCTCCCTCCAGGTTTTGACCAATGACCAACGCCGGCGGAATCGGCCGGGCCGGTTCCCTCCTCCGTCACGCGAACCACGCGTGAAGGTTTACCGCTGACCTGGATGATAATGAGCCGATCGAATTGGATCAGCCTCTCATGCAGGCGAGACGAACCAGCACCGGTGGTGCAGTTGTGCCTGGTGCCTAGGAAACTCAACAAAAATGCCCTTGGAAGCACCAGAAGACTCCAACAGGTCTCCTCTGGAGGTGTTTCTTCATTGGACCATTTGGACCTCTTGTAGAGGTCTCAATATGGGTGATCTGTCAGTGCTGTCAGGTGTTGGGGTACTCCACAATACTCATTTGCTGGGCTGTGTAGATTAAAACATGGGCGATGTCTGACCAACATTGTACAACGTACCCAGCCGGAATCGAAGCAATATCACCATCTTCCTACAGGTCCAGTCTCACCCAGGTCCATTCTCCTGGTCAACCTCATTTGGAGTCGTGTATTTGTACTGATCTGCATGTAGCAAGTCATAGTCTCAACAAAAACGAGGTCAAACTGCACCTGTAGAGTCCTGTAGACCATGGCCTATATGGCCGGCGTTCGGAGGTCGGGGTCACCAGCCGGACGGCGGTGGGGCTGCGGAACATGCTCAGCGAAGAGGTGGGGCGAAGGGAAGGGGCTGCGGAGGAGGTGCTTAAGCACCTCCACAGACACTGGTGTTTAAGCTTATAGAGTGTGTAGTTTCTTTTTTTTGGGGAAGTAAAGATTACAGCTCAATCATTCATTGTACCCAACAAGAGACATATATAATATATAACATAGTATAATATATTAGAATAATTCAATATAATATAATTAAGATATGATATAATATAATTCAATACAATATAATGTTACAATATATTATAGTATATATAATGATTTGCATGACGATTCGTGGTGAGAACCACAGACATGTCATACACATGGAACATGTTTTGTTTGGACAACGGTTCATTCATGGCATCAGTGGGACAGGACGGATTGTGCTGGCTACTGGTTGGATTGGATTTAGATTTAGTCTATTTTTTGACACTAGGGGTCCAGTTCCCCCCCAAAAAAGACCACCTTGTGGACTTGCAAGTTGAACTGTTGTTCCTCCTTTGTTCGTCTTTGATCACTGGTTTTGCGAAAGAAACATGATCGGATCAACATAGCCCTGTGGTGTTTCATGCTCAATTTCATGTCAGCAGCATTGCCACAAACAACCAGAAGCAGCAACTCTTCATATCTGCCTGGCGCCAGCGGGGGCCTTGTCTCGACGCGCCGGCGTCCTCTGATGAACTGCTGCATAGATCGTAGCATTTGTCCAAAGGAGTTGATCGTCGTGTTACCCAGCAAAACCTTACCTCCTTGAGTATAGTGTTTTTGTATAACCAACTTCAGTAAAACGAGGTCATTGGCTCGTAGGGCACGCTCCCTGGAAGAAGCATGGTTACGTGGATGGAAAACGGCTTCGAGTTCGGAAGACTATGTTCAATCCGAAGACCAAGCAGGGTGTGGTGAACTCCATTTCCACCATGTAAGTTCGCAGAGTCGTCATCTATCTAAAATCCATTTTGGTGCACACCCGTTCTCACCATCTTGATGGAGACTAAGTGACTAAGCAACAGCGCCAAAAGGCCTGCTAGACACCATAGACCTTCGACGTTCGACGACGGAGTTCGAGGGTTCGATGGATCGGATCGTCGCCGAGCCGAAGACGATCCCGCCAGTTGCCTGGGGTGGACTTGCCCTTCACCCTCATCTTCGACTACCCTTCCGTGGCCTCGATCTCCGTCCCTTGCAGCGTGTGGAGCGAGTCCGCGAGTCCGCGCCGTGGTTTGCGGGGGGGGAAGTGTCCGGCTGAAGGCCTTCCAAATCGGACGCGTTATTTGTTTGGGGGGGACCCAAGAACGGTGGTTGGGGCCGGAGAGGCTTTGTAGATCAAGCCAAGCAAAATTTGAAGACTCCCACCGAGAAAGGATACGCAGCTGCATAACTCTTTGGCAAATGACTCACATGAATCAGATGGTTGGGGTTGTTCTGTTCTTCTGCTGGTTTCTGCAACATGTTCCACAAAAGGCAGACCGAAGGTGTCTGAAGGTTTCGGATGGCAGGCATGTTGCAGTGAAACTCGTATCCGTATCGCCTACCTAACCAACTGAAGGATGCCTGCACCCAACGTCACCCAATGCCTGCATCCTCTCCCGCGCCTGAGGACCATGTCATGGCTCGGACCCTCAGAGCTCTCGGAGTCGAGCCCGTGTCGCCCTCGTGTCGCCCTCGATGGTCAGCAGCGAGGTGGAGCAGCGAGGTGGAGCAGCCATGGACATCTACGGAACTGTCCTTCATTTCAGTCGAATTTCAGTCGAACATGCCACGTGTGTCCTGCTTTTGAGGGAGTGGGGACGTCCTGGCGCGTCCTGGTCGGTTACAAGAGGATCACTCGGTTTTGAGAAGGACCCTTACAAAAGAGACACATCACATCCATCCACTGTTACTGGTCATGCAAATACCCAAGATCAACTGGTTCAACTGACCAGACATCTTTCTGAAACCTCATGTGCGCACGATGTGTTTCTTTGCGAATTCGGTGTTCGGTGGTGTTGCTATCCGGTGTTCGGATGTCAGTGTGCCTCAGAGTGACCCCGCGACCTGGTCCGCCGTTCTGCGCGCATCACTACCTGAAGAAAGGCATCTTAATGACGATGTGACGATGCTCGAAGCGCGCGAAAGAACCTTCGTTCTTGAACGTGCTCCTTTATACGTGCAAAAACTCCATGCAAGGCAGTGGAGGGAGGACACTGTATATATAGCTGCGGCACAGGACAAAAGCTTAATATTCAACTGATAGGATGTTGACAAGTTTTTACAAGGAGGATAATGATGTTCTCAAGATAGTGAGTCTGGGCTTATTGACATGGTACATGTTCACCATCTTCTCCAACCATCTGGGCTTTTGCCTTCGGTTCACTGAGGATAGCCTGGGCGCTGTTGGTTGAGCGAGAAACTGCACTGCACTGCAGAACTCGGTGAATCTCACATAGTTTGATGTGAAGCTATCCACATGATAGTACCTGGTACTCACAGAATCTTCTAGTGGGTATGTCTCAAACATACCAAGAGGCCATTGACAAACCACGGGTGGTCCAGTGGTCATGTTACTCAAACAGATTGGCAGAGAGATGAATTGGAGATCATGATCCGAGTTTTGCTGCCCTTCAAGCGCCCTTGCAGTGCCTCTGCCTCTCGTAGTAGGGGAGTCTTCCAATCAACCAGCTGACGTTGGTTCAGCTCCCCGTCGACAGCGACACCAGCAAACAAGCGCACGCGACCGGTGAGGGCTTCGTTGGGATGTGTTGCCCTGCCACCCGATGGTCGCTGCTGACGATAGCAGATGGACCTATCCGGATATATGGGGAGACACCTGTTTTGGAAGGAGAGTCCCGGGCATCAAGGGGTGACAATCACATCACGTTCTTTGTTATAAGGTGATTTTGGTGTTTATACACTTACTTACCAACAGAGGTTGAAGGACCCTATAGACTATTCCAGTTCGGTACCCCAGGTGACGGGTCCTAGTTCAGGTCACTGGCTACCTCTCTTGGTACCGTGGGTGTTTTTGGATGAAGGAGAAATCCGTTCACGAATTCACTCCACTGGACCTTTGTGTATTTCGCGACAAGGCACTGGATCTGGGTGGCACCGTCGATGTTGGGGCGTGGCTGGTCAGGGTGTACACCCCAATGGTGGAGAGTGAAGAGTTGCTTCTGCTTAAGAGTTGGTTGTCGTTCTTCCGATCCAGGTTAATCCTGTGGGACAGATGTGTTGCCCAGGTTCCTCAAGCAACTCCAAGATGCTTCGGGATTCGGGCGGCTAAGTCACTGGTTGCGGGATAGCTCAAGGAGGATCCAATGAGGAAATGTTCCGCAGCCCGTCGCCGTTGGGGGGATAGCCTCTGCCGGGTGAAACGTACGAGTCGCAGCATGTGAAGGTCAACTGAGATGAGGCCGTGACATCCAAAATCTGAGTAACACTCCCTGGAGTTGACACTCCGAATAGGTCTGATGGCCTGAAAGGAAGTCATTGTTAGACCTCTACTAGGATTGTTGTCTTAAAAGTGGATGAATGATGAATCGACCTCTTTGGATGTTCACCCCTTTGCTTCCTCATGTGATGAGTCCAGTCCGCAGTCGTTGACTCGCCACTCGAATTCGATCTGTGTTGGAGGTGCAACTGGAAGGCCCCAGATTTCCACGACGTTCCAACTGTCATGCCGAGACGGCTGACTGCTCCGCTGTTCCACGCTGTTCCACTGGGCTTCAGAGACAATTCAGTGCACTGTGGAGGTTGTGAGCTCACCGTGGAGATCGATTGACCAATTCAATGCCCAGACGTCCAGAAGCATTGTGAACTGCTACGAATGAGAAGCACTGTGAAGCACTACAGAATGGATCTTCATGCAGTGGAAGGAAGGTGGAATAATAGTAGTTCATTTGATGATGCTCTCTTGCTAGCTGCCAGCTATTGATGTTTTGGGTGTGTTTGGAGCTTTGACAGGGTTTGCGCGCAAAACCTGTGGAGAGAGATTGGAGCCACTGAAGAGTCCTCTTGTTTTTCTGCATAAAAAGACATCAACAAAAACACCATCCGCCAAACCTAGGCTGTGTCCAGGACCGAATTCATTCGCCATGGAGGGCCTCATGCGGCCTTTGGAGTCCCCGGACTCCTTGAACTTCGCACCTGTCAGCAAGGCAGACCGCCGCAGTCGTCGCGTTCGGGTGCCGTGAGAGAGGTTCGAGAGGTTCGAGGTTTAGCACGTCGGGTAGAGGCGCCCCAAGTTGGGTGGTTGAAACATGGACCCCCCCCAACCAAGGCGGATTGTGAGTTGTTATCGCCAACTACCCAACCTCCGAACCACCCAACCATCCAGAATGGGTGACTAAGGCGGGCCCCCCCCCCCATTTGTCTAAGTCATCTATCGAAGTTGGATTGTGAGTTGTGCCATCGAACCACTGAATCCACCGTAGCAGGGATGGGACGGGGAGGTGTTAGTCGGGGCGTGGGCGCTGGGGAAGTGGATTCACGTCCGTCCGAGACGGGTGCGTCGGAAGGACTCACACGACGTAAGGTCATCCGAGATGGAAACGAACTGCCTCTGAACAAAGGAAAGAACATCACGGGGCATGCCTGGAGAAGGAATGTACCAGTCAAACACTAGGCGAGGCTTGAACGATTATGGCCATATCTATGGCCCACGGCCACCAATAAAAATGGCGAGTTCCCTCACACTTCAATGCGGCTGAACCACGCATTTATCCATCCACCTTAGTTATCTTAGTTGGACCAAAAAAAGGCTTTGGTGTTGCCATGCAACCCTTCATGGCCGGGGGACCTGGTCAGGACCTGGTCAGCTGCGGGACCGGCGGGACTTCCGTGAACGACCCCGGGACAGTCAGTCCAGGAAGCTGGAGGAGCAAATCCCTTCGAAAAAAAGAACAGGACAATCAGCTCGCCTGGTGATCCTGGTGACGAAGGTCGACTGCAACCATGAACTTGGACGACCAGGTCCTTTCAAAAGCCTTTAGGGCTCCGAGCAACTCCGTTTTGGTTTGCTGCTGGTTGAGGTTGGGTGGTTGTTTTGGGATGGTTTGACTACCGCTTCTGAGCTTCTGAGGATGTAGGCCAGGAGCCCAACCGGGAAATGAAGAACCAAATAAATCCCCATTTAACATCTCCCCCCATATAGAATGAGTGATCTTGGGTACCTCAAATAGAAATCGATAATTATTGTATTTTACATGTCTATCCCAGACACTCCATGTATGCCACATTGGGGTGGTGCCAGGGGGGGTCAACTGATCGGCATATATGGCAGTCCCATGGAGTGTCTGTGTATTCTAACGGGGATCCAGACACGTCATCCTTTCATGCATCTCGACGCCGGAAAGGGATCCCCACGGATGGGCCGGTCCGGTCGGGTGGAAAGCGTCGTGGCCCACCCCGTGACCGGACGCCAGACACTCTCATGGGACAGGAAAAAACAGACTACCACTGAATGTTCAATTGACTATCCACTATTGATAACAGATAAAGATGCCAATTCCATGGAGTGGCGAAGAGAGGGTAGTGCCGTGGGGTACTTTTGAGACGGTGTGGAGCGGCGAAGCTTCGCTTGAGACGTGCAGGTTGCTCCGCTGGTGCAGAGTTATATTGCCCTGCCATCCGAGAAGCTCCTGGAGATGTATTCCCAGGACGCTGATGGAGTCGCTTCGCTCGTCTATCGTCGCTGAGAAGATGGCGTCGAAGATGGTGGCTGAAGACCGGGACGTTCGGTGAAAAATGACCAAAAACGACCGAGTCAGATCAAAAAGTGGCTTTGCGAACTGGTCAGGCGATATTTCTTCCGCAACCCAGAGACATCAGGTCTGACCAACCCAGACTATATAGTGATAAGTGATAACTATATTTAACCATCAGTTGGGTTAGCTTCTCAATAATACGCCAGTCCCATGGAGTGTTTGGGTAATGATTGGAAAGATCCACATGTTAGACATCACATGACATATACTATAGTAATCATTTGACATCTCTTACAGTTCTTACTTACATCATTTCACTGGGCCTGGCCTGGGTCGGGTGTTGGTTCCCGTAGGGCTGCTCAGGCTGCTTCTTCGTTCGCCCGAAGCGTCTGCGTCCGAGAGGGTATGAGAGGGTTCTCTCACCAGGAAACAGGCGATTAGACTTGACTTGGAGTATCCAGCTGTTCTAAAAGGGAGCCAGTTGGAGCCAGTCTTGGAGCATTGAACCACTTGTGTGCTCGTGGTCCCCAGCAGATAGTTTTGGAATGTTTTAGGGGGGGATATGACTCTCCATGTATCTTGGCATATCTACATTGACCCCCGAAGCCACCCCAAAAAGCAAACGATCGACACATATCGAAACTATATATGCCATACATATCATACCCAGACACTCCATGTATGCCATATATGCCTACATTGACCCCCAAAACCACCCAATGTTGGCATATATGGCATACATGGAGTGTCTGGGATAGACATGTTGGCGTTATGTATCTATTTTGCGGCGCGGAACACGACGTCGGCAGACGGAACACGACGTCGGGGATTGGAGTCGGTGAGTCGGATGGAGTCGCAGCCGGTGAGGGAGTCGGAGGCCGTGAGGTCCTGGTGATCCGCGTCTGTTTCGTTTCAGACGTATCCATCCCCGAACCCGGTGGTAAGAGGGGTTGTGAATGAGTGGTGTGGCTGGTCTTGGAGGGAGGAATTGGATTCTTTTCACTTTTGCTTGGGACCGTTCCCAAAGTGAGTTCTTCATCGTGTTTTTTTCAGAGCCCGAATTTCCAGGAGCACGTGGTGAAATTGGGGCAACTTCTGGTTGCACGTTTCTTCAATGATGCTTGCTTGCAAGCAGTTATTTGTCGACAAGTTTTGCATGATTTGTCGTGTGGAGTGGTGCTGATACAGCTGGCTCAGATCCAAGTGGTGGTCTGACCGGTTTTCTGGACAGCAAATTTGTTGGCTATGAACTGTTTTGAGCTTTGCCGATCATGTTAAAGCAGCTCAGCTAGCTTGCTCAGACAGATGTATAAACTTAGACATATACCTATACAGAATGAGTTGGAACCCCAAAGCAGTGGTCGGATGTGATTTTGATGTTCTAAAGTGGCTGTTGACTAAATATATAGTGCCAAACATTGCAACATGTTCATGCTTTCAATACCTTACAGCATTTGAGAACTGTCACCCACTCACTGTTTTCGTCCAACAAGAGACACCGACACGGCCCCGATGTCGGACCGATGCCCCGATCTTCTGTGTCCGTCGTTTAGAGAACATGAGGGTCGCGGCTTGGGACCTGGCGACCTGGAGGCGAAGACTTCCTTCGGCTCTCGCCAGATTCTTTTGACTCGGCCTCCAAGCTCCTTTTTGGATGGCCTCCAAGCTACAGATGGCCTCCCCACATTCTTCATCATTCTTCCACTCTTTGTTCTGCTCGGATTTGGGTCAAAGCCTATAGAGAAAGTCTAGGGTCGCGAAAGTTTGGGTCCGCGAGTCACAGATGATGCGGGTCGACCGGCTGGTCAACCGGCATCACGCTTTGAGGAATGCTTGCAGTTGCAGCGCGGCTTGAGCGACCTACAAAGCTCCTTGCAGTCCAGCGAGTAGCTGGGCTCCAAGGTCTATAGATGGGATGCAGAGCACCTATTGCAGAGCTGGGTTTGTTGGATCTCTTCGGAAAGATCCGTGAACTCACTTCCATCATTTTTTGAGCAAAACGCTCCAACTCAATCTTACTTTTGGGTCGGTGGAGGATGTGTTTCTCTGCTGAACTCACTGTTTCCATCCGGAGGCTCTTGGGGGGAGCCCCGACTTGTTTGATCGCTTTGGGGAGGGGTCCGTCTTCAGAAGGAGTCGGTAGAACAAGCTCCGCTGGACGTTGGTAGAACGAGATCCGAAATCTTTGGCACCGAAAACAGCGGTATTTAATGATAATTTTCAGTATTGCTTCCAGTGCAGTGACCCCAGGATTTCTAGACCAACATATGAAGACCCTTCAAACGTGGTTGTGAATCTCCATCCATATCATTCCATATCCATTTCAGGCCTCTATCGAATCAGAAACGCATTGCCATGGTTTGACCTGTTGGTGTCTCACACCTGAGGCAACGACGAGAGGCACGAAGAAGTGTGGTGTGGCAGGGCAGTGGGACGGGCGACGGGCTTGGCCAGGGATTCCCTAAAGCACCTCTCCATTAGCCTACCAATCTCTAAGGACATGCCAGGTAGTGCCCAGAAGTCTAAGATGTGAGTTCCACTGTGCTCCACTATGGGATTTCACTGTTTGATTATAGGGATTCAGTCAGCACTTTCTTCAAAGCCGAAATGTGGCCATGCCACTGCACAGTGGCAGTGGCCAGACAGGTTCACAGTGATGGCCAGATTTGTGAAGATGAAGATGAAGATAAAGCCGAAACGGTAGACGCGGCGATGTTTCGCCCAATGTCGAGTGCATTTTGGGGACCCGGACACCACCAAGAACCGCTCTGACCAACTCACTCCCCCTGCGAATCCGATTTTGGACGGGGTCCATCGTCAGACGCCAGGCGTTTTCGGTCGTTCTTTCACGTGCGATCAAACGGCCTCCATCCTGGAACCTCCTGTTGGGCATGAAGTTCGAGAATGTGGGACAGTTCACCTTGATTCTTCACTTGAAAGAGACCAATTATGACAAATGACTTCAACAACAATTTCACTTTGAGAGTGGCTCCAATCAACGTGGGCGATCTCCAAAGGTGAAGACAGGAGATCAACGGCCATTCCGGGTCCATCGGAGGGGGGGCTGCCGCCTGCCGCCTGCAGGAACTGGAACGAGGCTCGCTGGCTTCCCAGGCGTGTTGTGTGTCGCCTGGTGGCTGGAGCGGAAGTTGAGCCGTTAAAAGCCCAAATACAGGAGGATGTGATGTGTTTTAATAGAGTGATTGGACATGTCAAGACATTTCTTCTTTCTGCCGGAAGTGCTCTTGGACTCTTGGTTGTGTCATTGTAATTGGATGTTTCCTGATTGACAGAATGTTTACTGGATTCTGAAGGTTTCACCAAACCATACCAAACCTCACCAAATCAAAATCCTGGAATTGACACCTGGACTGGAGGTGGCTGAGGTGGCTTGAGTGGCGGCTCGTGGCGGCTCCCATTTGAAGCTTCTGGGAATTTGCTCTCTTTGAGCCGAGGTGACTCTTTTGAGCTGAGGTCTTTGGGTTTTAGCAAGTGAACAAAGACCCTTTATCCATGCCTGGTTGACCACGTGATAAAACTTACCCAACCCATTTTTCTGCATGGGTCTTTGAGATTCTTTGATTATCAATTGTTTATCCATACCACCCCAAGAGTCCAACGGCCAAGCACCTTCGAAGGACCTTCAAAGACCTCCTGTTGATTCCTTGGGACCATCCCTGCACCCAAGGGTTTGGATCCTTTTTTGTGCAGGAGACTAAGGGTTTGGCCATGGCCATGTCTTTTACTTTCAAATTGCAAACCAGAATACAAACACTAACGGTGGCTGGAATCCGATTCTTGGCCATCGCTTTTGGACTTTGCGGTCGATGATGATGATGATGATGATGTGCTCACCTCTGCGGGAGTCAAGGGAATTCTCCAAATCCAGTGCGAAAGTGGACTCGGAATTTCTCCGTCTCGCTGCGAGAGTGGAGGCCTCACCAGGGAGACCTCCACACCCGCGTCGTTCGTGATTGACCACTTGTTCTGCTCGAGACGGGGCAGCCGCTCCTGGTCAGTCCCTCTATGTCTCCTGCTCTCGTTTGCTCACCAGGCGAGCTTGCCCATGATGCCTGAGATCACCCTCCCTGGGCGGCGCGAGGCCGAGGCTGGGAGCTCGGCCTGGGCGAGGCGTCCAAGGTCTTGGGCGTCCGAGTGGAGAAGCTGCAGGTCACCTTTTGGGGTGCCCAAAAACACGCGACGCACACCTCAAATCCAACATGTTGGAAAGCTGTATGAGTTTAACGGCTCGGGGGTCAGATACACGGAATGAGTGAACCCCTAAGCGAAGTCAGAGGCAGACCTGGCTTGAGGCATGTTGGAGGAAATCCAATGGTGCTCAGGGTTGGTTAAACAAAAGGTCACTGTCAGATCCATTTGCTTTTGAGTGTTTTCCTGATCCATAGAAGGCAGAGTATATATTGGTTGGTGGATTAATCGAGGGGATACCCCCAGCCATGAGCACCCAATAAGTATGACAGATATAGATCCCTTACATCAACCCCTCTACTAATCCAAAAAGGACATCATTTGGACTGATCTCCATGAAACCCGACGCAAGTCTAAAGCTGAAACTCACAGCATCTCACAGCTCAGTGGATCAATCGGGTGGAAACTTACCGTGGATTTTTCTGCGTCAGGAGATGAGGATGGAGTGCGCGCATTGTTTGGAGACCTCGGAGAAGTTGAGGATTGCAGAGGAAAGACTACAGGAGATGCAGGAGAGATGCTGGTGGGTGTTGGTGGACTGGTGGGTTTCTTGCATGTTATCCAGAAACTGGATGATTGGGATTGTCCTTTGGGAAAAGGACGACGACCTTCGGAAACTCCGAAAAAGGAACAAATCAAAGGGTGAAGTTTCAGACATGCCATGAAATGCCTGAAGGTGAGGACGTTTCCTTACTGCCAAGAGCATCCAGATAGTGTACGAACGTGAATTTGACTACTGGATCAGTATCCTAACTGTATCTGAGACCAATGCGGAATCGCTTCTTTGCAGCACCGACAGACACTCAGAGACCTTCGGCAAAAAGAACTGCCAGGACATTTTCTGCATGACTCAAATCCTCTTAAATGTTTGTGACACTAAACCTCACATCTATGACTTCCCCCGCAACTACTGGAAACCTCGAGCGCTTCCGTCGCCGACAACAGGAGCGAGCGCTGCAGTACTCACCCAAGGCACAGGTTTCTTCGGGTAGCGTTTTGATTGAACGGGTTTCTAGCAGTTACTATGCTTTGGTTGAGAAGTGCGCCTGGCCCAGTGTGGGTCCCTTGGTTTCTTGGGGGTTGTTCTGTTCGTACCTGTAGGGAGGTCCAATTGAAGACAACATCCTGAACCAAAAAATATTCTAGGAATGGGCTGAATGTTTGAAACCTTGGTCTGTGAGCTAGTCCAATCTGTCGGAATCTGTGAGCCAGGTGCGCCAAGTGGAGAGATACATCGCCGGATTGGACGGCTCATGCAGTAGCATTTTTCAGAGACAACCCCATGGGTGGACAACATTGTCTTGATGCGAGGTGATCCTTTGTGGCTGCCGTTTTTGACCAACACTAAGGACTTGGTGTTGAAGAACAGGATTACAGAAGCCAAGGCAACGCCTCTCCCAACACCAAAGTTCAGGCAGTTCATGCCCAGTCCCAGCGATCAAGGAGTTGTTCTCTACGAAGATGTTTCCTGGCAGTGCAGAGTGCAGAGCCAGTGGTACGGCGAAAAGAAGCCAGAAGTCGACGACTTGGTGATGGAGACAGTGCGGCTGGCCTGGGCGCACAGGGCCCCGCTGCAAGCATCAGGATCGAGAATCCGCATCGGTGATGCGAATGGCATGAACCTCCAAGGGCTTCCAATAGAGAACTGCAGAGTATGTGTCGGAATGCACTTCCCAAGACGATCTTGGCGTGTCGGAATCGTGACGGTTTCATCGTTCAGGACATGTGTGTGTGACTTGATCAGTCTTCTCTTGTCGATGTGTGGAGGACATGTCATGATGATCAAAGATCGAGCGGAAGATGTGCAAGACCTACTGATGATTTTGTCCATCAACAGTATGGCTGATGTGCTGGTAAGCTGTGAGATCCTTTGCACTCGGTTAACTGAGCACGAAGGTTCTTAGAGAATCCACAAGCTGACTGAAGCTGAACCTATGGAGGGGTGTCGTGGATTACATCATATTCACGGGTGCACCTATGTGTGCTACATGCAGATTGCATGTGCAAGAGTTGTGCATGTCATTCCAGTGAAAGTAAATGCAGAGGAATCCCTGATGTGAAACCCAGTGGTGGACTGTTTAAACTACTTGCGTGTTGGTTCAAGCACAAACGGTGCCCTTCTTTGGCTGTTCCAGAAAGACGATATTTTGGGTGGTTGGTGGTCCAAAATGGAGGTCATTCAGGTTCTATAGTGGAGAGACCACACACACACACATACCTCAAAACCAACATGTTGGAAAGTGCGTTATGGTTCACCGCTCAGGGGGTCAGATACACGGAATGAGTGAACCCCCAAGCAAAGTCAGAGGCAGACCTGGCTTGAGGCATGTTGGAGGAAATCCAATGGTGCTCAGGGTTGGCTAAACAAAAGGTCCCAGGTGCATCGAAGGGGTGTCCATTGGGCACCCCTTAGACCCCAAAGTCATTGGGCACCCCTTAAGAATCCAAGCTTTGGGAAGCTATGGGAAACCCTGTTAGGACCAGATGTCATGAAAGCCAGGTGGTGCGAGCGCGTCGAAGCGTTTTCTGGGGGCGATCCGCTGTGCCAACAGCCTGCCAGTGGGGCTCAGCGGGCGAGACGGATCACGAAGAAGGCAGGACAGTTGGCCACCAAACCACCAAATCTTCATGAATACACCACCTAAACTTGAATATATCCAACAAAGTTTGCCACAAACATCCAAACAGTTCACCGCAAACATACAACCTTAACAATAGTTCACCATCGATCAAACACGTGTTCATTTTTTCCTTTCACCTTCACCTCGGAGCCATGGTGAAAAGAAAGACTGTCACTGCTTCACCAACGGCGGTGAATCTTGTCAGCATCATGTGAGTTTGGATTGGTCGACCAGGGTTGATGGATTGCATGTGACGTGCTCTGAGGAAATTGGCCAGAGCGTTCTACAAAAGGGTGAACCCTCAATATGTTCACAAGAACGATGAGCTTCTTCCTGGTGGGGATATTCGCAAGAATGCGAACCAGTGGGTCAGAGCGGCTTTCTCGGACACGGGGCTGAAGGTGGTCCCCCGTGAAAATCGCATCAGGGAGGCGGTGGCCAAGCTGGTTCACAAGAAGAGATTTGGTCTTCAACTTAGTTGCCATGGCTTCAACATGGCTTCAACATTCCCTCCAAATTTGGTTGGTATTGGTCCCTCATCACACTAAGGTGTAGAAAAGGATGAGGCGACCAAGACACAATGGATTGTGGAACAGGCCAGTCTCATTTGATTAAATAACTTTTCGTTTTGGTATTTGGGATTGTGGTGAGATGTTTTTTAAATCACCTCCAAATAAACATGCGAGGCCTATAGATGTCATTCGGTCTTGGTGGCGCACGCCAAATCCAACAGAAAGGGCAGATCTTTCTTATCCCCAGGGAGCAAAGGAATCCGAGTAAAGAGGGTGGAGCACCTTGGATCTATTGGATGTGTGCTAGTGGAACCCACTTTCAACACGATCATCTTGACCTTTGACCATCCGAGGACCAAATCGGTTGATGACATGGAAACTTTGCCGGTTGATTTGGATGCTCTATTCCCTCAATTTTCCTTTGGCTCATCCTCGACCCTTAGCTATTCTGAATTTTGGGTGCCTGAGTTGAGTTGTGGGGGTTTGCATCTCGGTCGTTGGATCGATTCAATTTGGCTGAGGATCGAAGACGATGGAGGTTCCAAAGAGGCCGCCACAGAGGTGCACATCTCTTGGGGTGGGAGATGTGTTCACAAACCATGTCACTAATTAAATGCACCCATATGGTTTGAAAACTTTGGGGATCAAGATCGGTGCCTTCAACAACATGGATTGAAATTGTAGGGGATCAAGATCGGTGCCTTCAGTAGTATGTTTTCAAAACATATTCCCAATTTATTTCAAAATAAGATACTATAGCCTATAGCGCTATATAGTCGACGTCGTTTTATTCATTTTGCTCACGGATCGTTCTTTGCATGTCGTCCCTAGTCGACGTCGCTTTCTTCATTTCGCTCACGGATCGTTCTTTGCACGTCGTCCCATATCCGATTCGCACTGTCCGACCAGGACCAAAGGAAGAAAGCAAAGAAAGAAGAGGAGATTGAAAAAGATGAGGAAATGGAGGCCTGGGATGATTGGGAATTCTAGGGTGAGACTTTTGGGTGGGACTGGATTTGGGATTTCCTTCTTGGGGTGTGATGGTTTGGACATGTTGGGACTGTCCGTTGTTCGTCGTTGCCACTCCGACAGGATCCCGAAGAAGAGAAGCAAAGAGAGGAGGAACGAGCAGAGGACGACAGAGATGAGGACATAGCAGAGGACGACGGAGCAGAGAGCTCAAAGGAGGAGGGCAGAGCAGAGGACGACCGAGCAGAGCAGAGGTCAGAGGAGGACAAAGCAGAGGTTGACCGAGCAGAGGATGAGATGTCA